AGAGGGTAAGCATCTTGTGTGTCAAAGGCCTTTTCAGTTAAAAAAAAACAACAACAAAAAAACAGGAAGAACACATTCATAACAGAGGATGAATAAACAAATTTTGCCAAATTTGCTCTGCTCTGTGATGAACACATCTAAACACATTAAAAGCTAGGAGGCCAGTGTGGGAACCCAATGTTCCAGAAGGTTAGAGGAGAAAATCATGTCACACACATGCAGAACTATCTGACCTTGTAGGGACCTGTTAGGGATGTGTTTAAAAGTCCTGAGGTGCCAATTTAGCCTGACAATCAACCACTGAACTCCCAACAGTGAGTAAAGAAGGTACAAAAGTAGGAACAGTGAATGAATCAGGAAGGAGATTTATCCAGGCCTGACTAAAAATGTATTTTGAAGACATTTTTATATGAAGACCAGCAGGAGCCCAGCTGCAGGTGAGGTTTCCGTGATCTGCAATTGCATCTCCAGAGCACAGCCATCTGCTGCTGCTCCAAGTCTATAAATACACACCGGAGACATGCACTGACAACACAACAACACACATTCCTCTGAAGTATGGAAACAGAATCAGACTTTGGAATAACTCACATGAAAACCCCAAAACCTCTGATTCTAAAATCAAAAATGTTTACATAAACATTTGCTGCTCTTGAGTTTAGATGCTGCCAGGTTCCTTCTGGGCTCACCAGGCACCTTGTAAAATATTTAGAGTAGCAGATGGTAAAAGCAGGCGACAGACACCAACGTGTCCCACATTAGAAGACATTGTATTAAAACACTGATCAGGAAGGCCATTCATAATTTAAATGGGAAAAAAGAAAAGAGCATTTTTGTCTGCAGGGATTTGGTGGGAAAATCTGTACGTTCAGAACACACACACACACACAGTCTTACACCAGCAGGTACACATTTTCCAGTTTCAGAACTCCTGCAAGCACAAACCTGACAGAAACACACACACTAACTGAGTTTGGCTATATATAGCCCTGGTTCACCCAGCCACTAAGTGATCACGTAGTGAGGAAAAACCATCTCAGCCTGAAAACGGAACACTATTTTCTACTTCTCTCAACGAAGAACAGGATATCTACAACCCAGGTGTGGGAATCCTGGTCCTCCAGGGCCACTACCAGCATGTTTTAGCCATTTTCCTGCTCCAACACACCTGATTCAATGGTTAAATCAGCAGGTCACCAATCTCTGCAGAAGCCTCTTAATCATCAATCAATTGAATGAGTAAAATCTGAAAAAAATCTGTCGAGAGGGCTCAGAGATCAGCTGACCTCTCCGCCACCGTTCGCAGCCTGGTTCGGCCTTGGTCCCGTCGACAACCCCGTACCTTTCCCAGAGCCTGGGAGGACCATCGTGGACCCAAGAGACGCCGCAGCCACCAGCCCAGTCCCAGACCGGCGCAGAACCAGTCGCTAGCAGCGACCCCGAACCCCCCGACTCGCCACCCACCGGCTCAGCGTGTCAGAGGGAACCGATTTCTTGCTCCAACCTGGACCTGGCAGTCCCAGGATGTGTGCAAGAACCAAAGGAAATGACTTCTTGGGGGAAATGTGTGTGATGTTCATGGTGTTTGTGACAAATCCTGTTTTGAAATACAACATTTAAACCGCTTAAAGAGCAACATCCTGTCACAGCCCTCTGCGGCCAGTTCGAACGAGCCGTCTGCTGTTTTTCCACACGTTTCCCACACCAAGCACAACCCCTCCCCCCAAACACCTGTCACAGGTTAGGGTTAAGTCATTACCGGTCTCCTCCACCCCGCTTACTCCATACAGGGGTTTGGGTCATCCAGCTAGGAGGACCGTGTCATTACACAACAGCTCAGGGAGCTCAGCGTGCGCGCACTCTGCCTCCAAACGGAGTTTTCTCCCCACTGTATGTGATGTAAACCAGCACAATGAGGCTTCTTTACATTCACTGCGGCCACCAAAGCGAGCTGTCGTTTCTGATTTCCGCCCCTCGGCGTGCGCTTTGGAGCCTTTCCCGCATGCGGCTGATGTGCGGCAGCGCAGTCCACACTCGCCTGTACAGCGCAAGCGACCCATTCATGAATCTCACTCAGCACCACAGTCACACGCTGTCAGGATTCATGCCCACATGCCTCCTTCCCCAGGGAGCTCGACATCGGCTGCATTACAAATTAGCAGCCTGCCCTTTCCCCACCGGCCCCCCATGGGTCGCCCCAGATATTTTCTCGGGTCAGGCGACGGCGGCAAGGGCCCACACCTGGATTTTAGACGCAATGCAGGCCCAGGCACTGTGCACGCGCCCACTGTCAGAACCAAGCCCCCACAATGCGGCTCTAAAATTGGTCTCAACCCGGAAGTACCAAAAATTGCAGTTCCACCCTCATCCGCTGGGGGCTGGTGTCAGAAGCGAGCAAATCCTCATTGATTCCCATGTTAAAAATACCAATTTCACAGCAGAAATAAACATGTTTACAGCCTGGTACCAAAACACGTTTTTGGTTTAAATTATCTAGTTTACACTCATGACAACTCTGAGGGGGGTGAATTTTTTTCTCGGGACATCATTTACAACGGCCACAAGCTGCAGTTTCAGTCCCGCCCACCCCCGTTCTCTGGGATTGTGTAGACAAAACTGACGTCAGCCCCTCAAGCCTCCGCCCTCGAGGCGGAGCTGAGGGAACTCCTGTCAAAGGAGGCCATCTCTAGGTTTCCTCCAGGGGAGGAGAACTCTGGATTCTACTCCCATTATTTCCTGGTGCCAAAGGAAACTGGTGGCTCCAGACCAATTCTCAATCGATCTCTTTTCTATGCTCTGAGAGCGGTGAACCACTTCCGCGTTTGTTTATCTGTTTCAGGGGGTGATGTTTATTTGTTTAGTCAAGTGATAGTGATTGTAAACATCTCAGAAGCATAAATGTGTTTACTACATGAACATAACAACAAATTCAGTTTTAATCATTTTCATTCTATACAAAATCTGCTAATTTTATAAGCATTGCTTGCCAGTATATCTGTATCGGCATATACCGGTTATCGGCCATAACAGTTATCAGATGTTGTATCGGCCTCAAAATTTCATATCGGTGCATCACTAACGTTTACTGTTGGCAGCTACTGAATCGTTGCAGTTTTGTGTTACAGTACACTGATGTAGATTCTCAGATTCAGGACATCATCATTTTGAGTTTTATTAGAAAAATAACAGGGACCTCCATCACTTTCATCGGATTGTTTACAAGCAAGGAAGTAAGTGGAACTTAATCTCATTTCCTGCCTCTGCTCACCTTTGTTTCTCACTTCACTATTTCTTCTTCCTTTTCTCGGTTTTCACTTTTTTTAGGGCAATCTGGAGTTTCAAAGACTGACAACCTCGCCTCTTCAATCAAGACTCCTGGCTGATTTAGACAGAATTTCCACCAAAGTTGTTGCTGCCATTCAAGATGGCAGTGGAACCACGAGGTAGAAGACTAGGGACATAATGACGGTGTTTCATTCTGTAATCTTTTTTGTTGAATAAACTGATGCTAAGGGCTCCATTGCTTGGTTCTTTTCTAAACAGCATAGTAAAGATTTGATTTTACCTTTAAAGCTGACAAGTTTCGGAATGGACCCCACTTAACATCAGCGGTGCACTGAGGAAGGCTACAGTGTTAGCCAAAGCTTGTCAGCATAAAAGATAAAAACAAGCATGCTCACGCACAAAACACCTGAAAATTAAACTTTGTGATTTAGAAACAAAATCGTGATGAGAAAATGTGCGCAACTTTAAGCAAACTTTCAGTCTGACTTGGAGACGGGGAGAATAGCAGCACAGCTGGAGAGATGGTAACACGGTGACTTTAAGACACATTTACTTTGTGTGTGTGTAATTCTGTAAACACCTGTAGAAAACTTGGAAAACAAAAACAAATGTAACAACTGCTTACATTACCAACACAGTGGAAATTTCTGGATGAAATCAGTTATTGGTGGCAGTCCACCAAACAAACATCTCTGCTGGCAGCTGGGTCAGGAAACATGACTAATCACTGGTGCCACACCTATTCTCCACAACTGTAAACTAGTCTGGGAACAAACATGCTGGGATACACTTTTTGTTTTGCGTTTTGTGGTTTCTTAATTTCACATCAAAAGAACAGAAAAACGGTCGAGCAGAGTGGTTTGACCACTCATCACTTTTCAGAAAGGAAAACAAAGATTTCTCCAACCTAGTCCAAGTTGTCAGTAGGCACAAGCAACACAGATCTTACAGGAAAATTAAACAAAGGTCAAGTTCAATGTGATAAAAATAACCTGATGATAAATGAAGGTAGAGCAGTTTTAGGCCAGAAGAAACTTATCAAATGACTACTCACATCAAATGTAAATAAAGATAGTTTACAAGCTATTAAATCCGCTTTTTACCTTTACCACACTTTAGGATTAAAACGGGACACTATCAGATGTGTTTGACAAAAAATGACATTTTCATTTTAACACTTTTTTTCCATTCATTAATTTCAAAACACTGGTGTGATGTTGATTCCTTCATGCAGTAAGAGGGTGTAGAGATCTACCCGCTGGCTTAATTGGGTTTAATGCGTAAAACTCACAAACCAGGAGCCAAAGACATGAGGTTAAAATCAGCGGAGTATAATGGCCAGCCAGTAAGCATTTCTTTAAAAGGGGGTCACTGCGCTTAGCAGCCCTTGGGCAATGGTTCTCATGTGAACACAGAGTCCTGCACACTCCTGACTGTCGGCTGAACTCTCATGCACCTGGCTGGTCCGTGACAAATAACGGCTCCACTTGACCCCGGTTCAGACTGACTTGTCACATTTCACACACACAGATAAAGAATGATAACGTGTACGGTACGTTAACGGCTTCTTTATCACGAGAAAGAGCGGAAGGACGGCAGGAGCAACTTTGGAGAGCTATTTCCAGTCACTGAAAAGAAACATCTGACCGGGACGCTTATGGCGGTAATTCAACTGTCCGACAAAACAGCAAAAACAAACCACAGGAGCAGCTTACCTTCCACCCCAAACACCAGACACGCTGAGAAAAGTTTCTGCCAGAAGAGAAAACGCGCCTCCTCCACCATTGCTGCTGCTTTAGTCAGAAGGACAGGACCTACAAACTGGCTCTAGAGATAACCCCACAAGAGCGCGGCCACGGAATGAACAACAACGTCGCAGCGAGAGCTCAAGCCTTTATAACCTCGCAGCCAGCAGGCGCACGTGCGCGTCAGCCCTTATCCAATAGGGGTCTGTTGTTAAACTGTAACCCCACCCACTTACGTTTGTTGTTGATGGATAGACTTTTAAGCCAAGAGGCTAAACTAAAGTCACTTCTTTAAATTTCATGTAAATTATTTTTAAACGGACGCTCAGTTTTGTACATTACAGTAAAGTAGTGATAGTGTTCACCATACCTGCCATAAAATCTTTAAATAACAGCAAGGTTTCTTAAGAATTTCAGATTATTTCCAACAAAATAATTAATTCGGCTCATAAAGCTCAACCATGAAAAATCAAATAAGAAGAAATATAGAGAGTTTACTTGTGTCTGTTTAAAATTTTAAGACATAATTGCTGGTAATTTGATTGGCATGTGAGCTGGTGCATAATAGGGCACAATCAGGAACAAATTTTGTGTTTTAATGATTACTGGTTGAGGGGGAAAGCTAAAGCATTTTATCACTGAATATTTCAGCAACAACTAGAAAGTTTTAGTAGGAACCTGTGATATAAAAATATGCTTTCAATTGATAAATTGCTGCATTTTGCCTATAGTGTTAATTTGATTGACAGTTAAACATTTGGCATCCATCCATTCTCGTCCACTTATCCTGTGTCGGGTCGCAGGGAGAGAAACCTAAGCAGAGAGGCCCACACTTCCCTTTCCCCAGCCACTGAGACCAGCTCCTCCAGGGGAATCCCAAGGCATTCCCTGGTCAGCCGAGAGACATAGTCTCTCCAGCATGTCCTGGGTCTTGCTTTAGGTTTTCTTCCCAGTTGGACGTGCCTGAAAAACATCACCAGGGTGGCATCCAGGAGGCATCCTAACCAGACACTCGAGCAACCTCAACTGACTCCTCTCAATCTAGAGGAGCAGCAGATACTCCAAGCCCCTCCTAGATGACTGAGCTTCTCACTCTGTCTCTAAAGAAGAAGCCCAGACACCCTGCAGATAAAACTCATTCCGGCCACTTGGCTCTACAATCTTATTCATTTCTTTCACTCACTACCCAAAGCTTGTGAGCATAGGTGAGGGTAGAAACATAGATCAACTGGTAAAGCAAGAGCTTTGCCTTCCGGCTGAGCTCTCTCCTCACCACGACAGACCGGTACAATGACCGCATCACTGCAGATGCAGCACCGATCTTCCTGTCGATCTCGCACTCCATCATTCCCTCACTCGTGAAAAAGACCCCGAGATACTTACATTCCTCCACTTGGGGCAGGACCTCATCACAGACCTGGGGAAGGCATTATACCCTCTTTCTGACTCAAGATCATGGTCTTAGATTTAGAGGAGCTGATTCTCATCCCAGCTGCTTTACACTCAGCTGCAAGTTCTGATGAAGCCAACAGGACCACATCATCTGCAAAAAGCAAAGACCTGATCCTTAGGCCACCAAAATGGATCCCCTTAACACCTTGGCTCCGCCTAAAAATCCTGTCCATAAAAGTTATGAACAAAATCGGTGACAAAGGTCAGCCTTTGTTGAGTCCAAATCTCACCGGACATGAGCCCGACTTACTGCTGGCAATGCGGACCAAGCTCTGGCACCGGTCATATAGGGACCTCAGAGGGCCTGGTACCCCATATACTCCCGAAGGAACCCCCAGAAGGGCTTTCCAAGGGACGTGGTTGAACACCTTCTGAAAATTCACAAAACACATGTAGATTGGGCCCTGTGATGGACTGGCAACCTGTCCAGGGTGTACCCCACCTGTTTGTCCAAAGACAGCTGGAGATTGGCACCAGCAACCCTGTGTAAGCGGGTAAGCGGGTAAAGAAAATGGACGAATGGATGGACATGTAGATTGGCTGGTGTGGACTCCCATGGACTCCCAGGACCCTGTTAAGGGTATAGAACTGGTCCAGCGTTCCATGGCCACGACTAAATCCTCATTGCTCCTCCTGATTCCGAGGTTTGACAAACCAATGGACCCTCCTCTCCAGAACCCCTGAATAGACCTTACCAGGGAGGCTCAGAAGTGTGATCACTCTGTAGTTGGAACACACCATGTGGTCCCCTTTTTTAAATGGGCGGACGACCACCGCAGTCTGCCAGTCCAGAAGAAATGCCCCTGATGTCCAAACATTTGGCATTTTTTGTGTAATTAAAAGGACATGTTTCTGTTAAAAAATTCCTGGGTAAAACAAATCCAAGTAAATTCTCATCTAAAATGCAAACTGAGGCCACAGTTTTAAACCAAAGCTTGATGTGTGGGAGTGTGTTGAGCTGACATCCAGTGAGTCAGAGTTTCTGGTCAGAAGGAGTGGGTGTTCAAGAATATTTTTAATGACTTTAGTTTTGAGAATTTTGCTCTAGAATTCCTCATCCGTTTGGTCATATGCTGTTTTTAAGGCTTTGCCTATTTTTTCTTGTAGCAAAAGATTTTGTCTATGTTTAGATTTTTTTCATCAGGCTCTATCTTGGAGACACACATGGAGCCACATCGTTTGCAAAAAGCGTTCTCCTCACTTACTGGCTCATTAATTTCCCTGCAGCTTTCAGGGATATTTTTAACAATGACAGCTACAGTCAGCACATCACCCTTAGATTTAAGAAGAAAGCTAATTCCTCTGTAGCCACAAACCACAGGAATTCAAATGCAACCTGGGTTGATTCCACACAAACAATATCTTCCTTTTTTTAGTTCCTCTTTGACAAAGCTTCTGCCAATCACTAACCTTTCATATGAGACAGAGAACAAGGTTTTATATTACAAGTCAGTGTTTAATGAGACAGGAGTCTCAATCCTTGATACAAAGTTATCAGTCTGGGCATAAATGAAGCAATTCAATCCTGTTTTTTCCTCAGTTGTAACAAAAACCCATATTTGTGTCATCGATCATTTACAATAAATTCAATGTTAGTTTTAGAAAGGAGATATTAACAATAGGTTTCCAAATTTGAAAAGCATAAGAAAAAAATTGTAACACAAACTGTGAGTTGACAGTGCCCTCTAGTGGGCCTTAAGAGTCTCAAACTAGTAAAGCTTTTACAAAATATAAAGTTGCTAAAATATTTTATCATCATTCGTTGTTCTCCTGTTCTAAAGCATAGAATTACCATTTACAGAGGGTAGGTATATTCTGTTCTTGCTGTTTAATGTTTTTACTTTATTCTAAAAATATAATTTGATGATTTTTTCTCCTGTTAAGTCTGTTTTTACTATAATCTGAAACAGCGTTCACAAACAACAACAAATAAGAAGTAGACTTTTTTCTGTGGCCCTTCAGGTTTTTTGTGATTGTTTTTCAAATTTTAATAAAAATATGCATTCTGGTCTACATTTTCCACACATTGTATAATACTATGTCTCTTATGTATCTTTAACTTTGTAAAAAATTGATACAGGACTTTAAAAGACCTACATGCACAAATAAAATGTGATAATTGACAAATGTTTGGAAAATACACTAATTTTGCTGATCTTGATCACAATTTGAAGTGATTATTGATGGTGAATGTGAGTACTTTAGAGCAGAGACATGGTCAGGATGGAATGATTAAGAAAAATGTTCAACCCACTTTAATTTGTTTCTTTGTGGCTCCCACACCACCTTGGTACAACAGGTAATTTTGTTTGCTTTTCCATAAATTGTGCACACGCACACACACACACACACACACACACACACACACACACACACACACACACACACACACACACACACACCTCTAAAACCGACGGGTACGCTTTTAAAAATGTGAGGACCAGAAAAATGTCCTCACTTTGAAAAGTGTCCTCATATTGTAGGGAAAATGAAATGGTCTTCAGTAAGTAATAAATACAAGTACACACACTCACATTGTGCGTCATCGTGTGTTCTGTTTTTGCTTTTTAAATTTTTTTTCTGATACTGTATATTAAATTAAAATAATAAATCAGGTTCTGAATTTAATGCATCGAACCTAAACTAAACAGACTGCAGAAAGAATTATGTATCTTTAGTGAACTTATAAGCTCTCCACTGGGTGTTACCGGTTATAAAAACATTTACTGTCTTGTTTACTGTACATATAAATGTAATCAGTAAGTGGGAAGTTGTAAAATAAGGTTCAGTAAAGTAGAGGTGATGCGTTTAGGTGTTATACTCTCCACCTAATAAGCAATCACTTCTAGACATAAATCTGAAAATTGTTATTTACAGAAAACCATTATATACAATGCAAAATATATTAATGTGTGGATAGGGAAAGTTAGGAGCATAAAACCTTTTGGGAAGAATTCAGAATATATTTTTGACAGGATCGAGTTTATCGTGTTGAAAAATCGGAGCTTTGCGAGGGGTACGTGAAGGCATCTTACTTCAGTGTTGGTCAGTTTGTTCGCCGCGTTCAGACGGAGCTGAGCGACGTGTGGGCCGGACCAGAACCCAGCCGAACTCTACACCATGGTAAGTTAGCCCGCAGCTCACTTCTATGAACTTTATAAAACTATTTTAGAAACCTTCTCTCGTTTTTGTCATTGCCTCCTTCCTACCCAGTTCTTCTCGGTCACACCGGAGCAGTTTAAATGAAAAAAAAAAAAAAACTACAACAACAAGAAGGGTCAGGAATAAACGTGTGTTCAACCTAAAATAGTGTTAAATTTTATACGAGCTCAGAAAGTTTCAGGGTGGTTTTATAGCAGCTGACCAGCCCACAGTCAGTTAGTTTTATACTTATGCTGGCCCTCATTAATATTCCTCCTATATTTGTGTTTTGCAGTTCTGAAAAGGCACCGTGACAACTTTTTTCAGGCTAAATTAAAAAGGTGAGTTAAATTTAAAATGCACATGGCATCACTTCTGCTCAAAACTAATAAAACCTAGGAAGTGTAGTGTTTGTTATATAAATATATATAAATGCAGGTTGAAATGTGCTTGGAGCCCACGTGTTTTAGAAGCAGACATTTAATAAAACATTGTGCACATGAGTTTTATGAACAGGCAACATCACAACAATAGTACTGCACACTTAACAAGGATGTAGGTCCCTCAACATTTACTTTTACTGGTATTGGATGAAAGAGGAATAAAAAGATTTTTTTTAATTACAAACACATAAATACCTAAAGTTTAATACCTGATTGATGATACGCTCTACAAAATGTTTAAAGTGAAGCAGTTGTGAAAGATTTAAAGCCACATTGATGCCAGAGTTAATCAGAGCAGTTGGGTGGAGCATGGGGGCGGCGGCCTGGGGTGGATTCTTGGAAACCGTCTGAGATCTCTGTCCAAACAGTGAGTCATAACACTTCCTCTATTTTTTTGTTAACATCATAAGTTAAATCACATCAGGGTAAATAAACTGACTTGTGGGGTCATTTTAAGATAGTAGAAGCTACACCTTGTTAACGGTTAGCCTGGCAAGCCATCCTATATCTGTAAATATTTAGTCTGGACACGACCCATAGACAGAGTTCAGTCGTGGGGCGGGGTCTACAGTTGTCCTTCAAAACATCTCTGCACACAATTGGACAGCTCTAGGACCAATCAGAGTAACGTGATTTAATCACCGCTACGGAAATCAGTCAATGGGACAGTCCCGGTTGCATATGTCCCTTTTCTAAATAAAGGACGTAAGTACCTTTATCTGCTTGTGTGTCAATGAAAAGCCCAAATCTAAATCGTCCAAAGTTGATGCCAAAGCCATTCCAAACAAGCACCGTTCCTGAGCTGACGCCATCTTTGTAGTTTTCTCTGTCACAGTTCTGGTGCTAAGCCTGCCCAACATCTCTCTACAAACAGAGTGATGTGATTGTTCTGAACTAGGGATGCACGATATATCAGCATCAATATCTGTATTGGCTCATGTTAGTCATTTTTTAACATGTCGGTATCGGTCCAATAATTAAAACTGGGTCGATATCAATAACCAATATTTTTTCCATCTTGTTTCCGTTTGTGTATCTGTTTCAGAGGGTGGGGGGTGATGATGTGTAATAGTTTAGTCCTGTGGTAATCATCTCAAAAGTGTAATTGTGTGTGCGTGTGCGTGTGTGTGTGTGTGTGTGTGTGTGTGTGTGTGTGTGTGTGTGTGTGTGTGTGTGTGTGTGTGTAATAACATATTACAAATTCCACTTAATAGAAATAAAGCAGAACATTCAAAAACTCAGCTTGCATTATTTTCAGTCTATTCAAAATTTACAATTTCAGAAGCGTAAATATCAGTACATACATACTGTGCATGCATGCATACATACATACATACATATATAACATAACAGTGATATTAATATCGGTATCAGCCCAAAGAATTCATATCCTTGCATTCCTAGTCTGAACTAAAATTGTTGGGGCCGGTGGTGGACCTGCTGAGGCTACAACGGAGCGTGGCCGACCTGCAGAACGAAACCTTTTGCTACTTCTACGGTTTGTCTAGAACTCTAGGATAATGAATCGTCTCTAGTTGATTGTAAACAAAATAATGCAAAAGTAGGTGAAAGATGAAAAGGGAACACTTATTTATGATTCTTTTTCAGTCACCTGTAATCCTGTATATTTAAGTTATCTAACTTCTGTTAACTTTTTTCTCATGATATGTTTTAACTTTTTGTGTCAACAGCATATCTTCTGAAATACCTACAAGTCCATCATGGAGGACAGTGACTTGCAGACCTTTGGTGCTGAGCTGCCACTTATGTTTGATGGTATGAAGCTGGCTGCGGTGGCTGCTGTCCTCTACATCATTGTCCGCAGTCTGAACCTGAAGAGTCCGACTGCACCACCAGCGATTACCTACCAGGACACACCTCTCAGCCGCTACCTGCTGAAGTCCTGCCCAATGCTGTCCAAAGAGTGAGTTTTATGTGTTATCCATCTGCTCGGTTTTATATGTCATGTTGGTCTTTGATTTAGATCCCACACACCCTAGAACTAGGTTAATCAATTCTGGTCCTGGGGGACCGGTATCTAGCATGTTTTAGTGGTTTCTCTGCTCCGACACACTTGATTTAGTGGTTGAATCACCTATGCAGCAGCTCATCAGGCTCTGCAGATTAAAATCAGGTGTGTTAACAGAGTAAAACCTAAAGGTGCTGGATATTGGCCCTCCAGGCCTGAAATTGAATCCTGGCCCTAGAACATTAAAATTGCATACTTTACTCAAATATGTAATTACATTGTGCTTCACACTTGCCTGTGTTTGGATTGTTTTGGCTCATAGCTTTATTTGTATTGTTGCGTAACGACTGATATTGGGTCATTTTTACTTCCTCTAACAGAAGGGTATGTACAGATCTGAGTAACTGAAACCTGAAAGGGAAATAGTTGTGGTGAACATCTACGTAAAAGTACTCTGAGACTGATACTAATAGACTAACTGTGTGTGTGTGTGTGCTGCTAACAGAAACGCTGTTTGGTAAGAATCTTTGCTGAAACACGACATGAATTGTGCTTCTCAGGTACGTTCCTCCGCTACTGTGGGGTAAAAGCGGTCACCTCCAGACGGTGCTGTATGGCAAGATGGGGCGCGTCAACACCCCGACACCTTGTGGGATTCGCAAGTTTCTCCCAATGCAGGATGGAGCCACAGCAACCTTTGACCTCTTTGAAGCTTCTGGAGAACACAGAACGGGAGGTTAGATGCAAATGGTTGTGCTACATCCCAATCGCTCCTAAACTCTGCTACGTGTTTCATTTCATGTGTTTCCTTGTTAGTCTCGTGCGATTGTTTGGCTTGTGAGTATTAGCCTGACAAATGCAGAAGCAGGAATACTCTAATAAACTCTCAGGATGTCACGTATCATAGGTGCCAATTAAATCAACCTACACACACACACGCGCTATATCCACTTCACAGTCACCCATGATGGCTTATGTTATTGTTTTTGCATTCCCACTCTCGTTGTGTGTGTCAGATGACATTACCATGGTAATCTGCCCTGGGATTGGTAACCATAGTGAGAAGCGCTACATTCGGACCTTTGTGGATTACTCCCAGCGGCAGGGTTACCGCTGCGCCGTCCTCAACCACCTGGGAGCTCTACCTAACGTGGAGCTCACCTCGCCACGCATGTTCACCTATGGTAAGGAGGCGATATGAGGTTTTATTCTGTCATCCAGTATTAAGACCATGTTTAAATGGCTTAACTGAACAGGTTACATGCAACAAAAATGCATTTGCAAAAGGGCCTCAAAAAAAAGTGTGGCAAGTTTAATCAGACTAGTTTCATGTGTCTTGTGTTCAGGTTGTACTTGGGAGTTTGGGGCCATGGTGGATTACGTCAAACAAGCTTTTCCTCAGACGCTGCTGGTGGTCGTGGGCTTCAGCCTGGGGGGAAATATCGTCTGTAAGTTCCTGGGTGAAAAGCGATCCAACCAGGAAAGAGTGCTGTGCTGCATCAGTGTCTGTCAGGGATATAGCGCCCTCAGGTTGGTGGCCTGCACAAGAAAAATGACCAAAGGCAGGATTTGACCTTCTAATTATATGTTTATTGACTGTAATAAATACACATGCAGAGCTGTGAAAGATCTGCTTTCCTTTAGATTTCTTATGTTGCTTCTTTGTCACGTTCAAATGTTTCAGATCAACAAACACATTCAGGGTCAGACAAAGATAGCCTTGGTAAATACAGAATGCAGTTTTCAAATGATGATTTCATTTATTAAAGGAATTAATATGACTTTTTTAAAGTTATAATTGTTGTATGATCTATACAAACCATGTTCATAAATTTATTTGCCCAAAACCCCTGACATAATGTTATCTCAGCAGCTTGTCTTATCTTGACATTTTCAATACCTTCCATAATAAGTCATTTCAAGGTGCCCACTCCTTCCTTGATAGGCTGGGTGTTTATCACAGTAAAATTGGGGAAAACGAGTCACATTCCTGCTTTCTCCACCAACAGCTTTATAAGTAAACCGCTGTGACTCTTTCAATTGATTCAAACCTAAAAACCACAGAGGTTGTGTCATCTATGCACCCACACATGCGTTATAACCTTCATTTAAAAGCCACACAGATTACTGGACAAATAACTCCTGAGCCAAGCCAGTTCATGCTTAACTCTGACAGAAACGCAGATATCCTTATTTAAAAGTAATCTCTCTCATCTGCTGACTCGACACAGAACAGGCACAGCCCCTTCTGTCCGCAGAAATTTGCTGGCTAATTCCGCCCAAATCAAGCCGCACCGGCTTTAAGTGTTAGCCACAGCTCAGCGCAGCCTCACGTCTCCATCCATTCATCCATCTACCTTAGGGCTGCACAATATATCGAAAAATTATCGTCATCGGGATAACAGGACATGCGATAGGCCCATCGTAAAGCACGTCAAAAACGGCGATAAATGTTTGGTTCAACATTTCCATCCGTGTCATACATCAACTTTTTGTAAACCAGCTCTGTTTTTTTACGCGGAAGTATTATATGACCAATCAAATGTAGCCCTTCTGATTTGCGGCCAATCAGATGGGTCCGTTCACGTAATACATCCGCCCCCTACTTAGACCCTTAGGATGGAAAGCAACACCCGAACTGAATTAGCGACGCCGTTCCCTTGTTCGTCATGCTGACTCAGAGCAATGAACGCACTTTGTGCTGAGATTTCTGGATTCAGCGCTGCTTTTAAACGTGAACGTGACTCCGCTCGGTGTCGTTAATCATTTTTACCAGGCTGACTCCGACACATGCCGGTGAACCAACCCACCTTCATGTCGCTAGTGTTCTACCGGGTGGTGATGTTAGCCCCAGGCTCCAGTTAGCTTCCAGCTAAAAGGCTACAGCACTCTCCTCCCAGTCCCACCCTGCTAAAGAGGGCCTGGAAAAGTTCCCCCACACATCAAAGTGATTTTTCATTTATGAGCTTTTATAACCTTGTTAATCAGGATAGTTGATTTGCTGCTGCACATAAACTGTCAGTCAGAAGCTCTGCTAGCCAGTTATCTTAGAGGAGCTAGTTCAATTTGTTAGCTTGTCATCAGAATCATAGTTGCAGTTTCATCATCTGAGCTGCTTTTTAAGATCTAGGTAAACTTGTTCAATTTGGGGTTAAAAACAAACATTTTCACATATTTTCCATGTAGTTTTTTTGCCAGTTCCTCTTCTGAAAGGTAGACAATTGTTTTTCTCTTTCCCTCAGAAAATCTTATTATTCTCCTAGTTTGGCCCAGCACAGTTCACTTCCCAATAGCAGCAACAGCCTTCTATCATAATCACATAAGTGGAGAAAATGCTCAGTAGCAGTGGTTCCCAAACTTATTTAGCCGCGCACCCCCTTCTATGTGCCGACCATGTCGACGCACCCCCCCCCCCCCCCCCCCCCCCCCCCACACACACACACACACACACATCACGGCATGGCTATATATATATATATATATATATATAATATATATATATATATATATTTCAGACGTCAAGCTAAACAGACAGGGTTAAAAAATATGATCGACCTTTTTCCCCATCACTTTAATTTTTTAAATAGTAATTAATAAACATTCGATACCATTACAATTTCCTTTGATTTAATTTTAAATAAATATTTAGAGAGCCCAGGTAGCACATAAACAATGCAATTTAACGGTTTTCTTAAAGTAGGAACGTTTAACCTGTGCGGCCAGAGCGCTCTCCTTCCTTCTGCTCTGCGTAAACCTTAACTGGCCATACTTGTGCGTACTCAAATGTCTATAGGGGAAAAGGAAAAAGCTTTAGCCATGAGGTTCACTTTTGCCTCAGACCGACTTATTGCTGTTTTATGGTGTGGCTGAATCTGCGATCCGCTGCCACGCGGACAGGAATAACATGCTGCAGGTTCGGAGTCACTGGCTGGAGCGGACCCGACCTTAATACGTCATCCCAAAATAGAAGCTAATATCTTAATTTGACCTGGAATGAAAAATGTTATAAAACCTCTTAAAAGTTTTTATCACAGAGGAGGCAGAGCTCATTTCTGCCTTCAGTCTGACGGTATCAGTCTGGCGCGCCGCAGTTTGCACAGCGTGCACTTATTGAATGTGTGTGTGTGTGTGTCTGCGCGCGCGGCACAGCTCCACGAAGCTTGGTTTATGCTTGACGCATTCACTTTCCGCTTGGTGATGCGGCTCGCGGCTGGAACGCGCTTCACAACTTGCAGTGTTTAAGTCACTGTGTCTCGTTAATGGCGCTATTTAAACCAATGCTGTAAAATTACTTCTGCCCAGCCCAGATGTGCTCACTTGTGCACACGTGAGCCGTGGTTCCGCTGGACCGCGTCTGACCTCTGACAGACGCACTCTAAACTTCAGATCTTCAGCGCGTGTGAGGTTTACAATGTCAGAACACCTGCATGAGACAGGTGTTAATTACAATCTGCCAGAATGACTCACCACCTTCAGATTTCTCCAACACCGTTAAAAATGATAAAATACGGAACATATCGGCGTGCGCAGGCCAGAGTGCTGAAGCTCGGCGCATTGTTATTATGAAGTTAGGGCACATGTGGAGGACACACACACACACACGTAAAATATACTTGTTTTCAATTACATTTATTGTGCCCACTTACTTTTTCTTTGGCCCACCCACAAATGAGTTTTCTGGCAACGCTAATGGTGACACCTGACAGACTTCTCTGAGCTCCGCAGCCATTACACTTTTCACCTCGCGCACCCCCTAGTGGCAGCTCGCGCACCCCCGGGTGCGCGCACCACACTTTGGGAATCCCTGCTCTGTAGCAATGAGAGAATTTGCTGTTGCATTTAAGTGATGTTAACTATTATTTAACATTTAAACTTATTTTCTGTTTTTTTTTTTTTTATTCAACAACCCTGGTAAGGGATGATTTTCTGTATTTGGAGCATCAGAAAAAGTTTTATGGTGGAGGTGATGTTTTAAAGTCACTGAGAAACTGCATGCATGCAGTTTGTTGTTTTGCTGCTAATACAGTAGCAGGTGCAGCTACATATTTTTGCAATAAAAATGTTATGTTGTCATAGAATTCATGCATTAGTTTTTGTTTGCTTTGAACCCAGAGCAGAAGTCACACTCCAGAGGACATCAACACTGCATACTTTAGTATTTGTTCATTTATCGCAAGTAATATCGATATCGCAATATTAAGCACTGTTATCGAATATCGCAGGTTTTCCTAATATCGTGCAGCCCTATTCTACCTCATCTGCTCCCTTGGTCAAAAGAGGTTTGCTGGTTAATTCTGCTGTGTACGGTCCAACAGAGGCCCAAACCGAACCTCTCAGTGAAAAAGATCAGTCTGCTTTAAAGTGGTTATCACACACCAAAGACTGTATGTGTTTTCTAACATTTGGAGTGTTACAGAGGCAGTAGCAACATGGCAGCTCAAAAAGATGCAAAAGTCAGATTTATGTAATATGGGAACAAATCTCACAAAAACCAAAATGATGGTGCTCTGTGTAAAAGTAAGTGACCTAAACGTACTGGCAGGTTGTAACACCCATGATGTAAAAGTTTTTTGGTAAATGTGAGACGGGGCTTTGTGTTGTTTTGGGTCAGCTGAGGTTTTGACTCACCAATCAGTGACATTTCGTTCCTCCCCTGACCTCTGACCTTAACCCTGACCAGATGAGTCCTGCAGGGCTTAGATGTTTTTTTGTTCTTGAGCGTCTTCAGAAAGGAATGTTTTTGCTTTTAGCTTACTTCATGTTGTCAGACAGGTTCTGTTGGAGTGATTTCTTAATTCTGTGTCTGGTAGTCTTTAACTCTGGTGAAACTGAACTCAGCTTTGTGATTAACAAAGGAGCTAGTTACTTTTTCAGACAGGACCAGCCTGGTTTGGATTGCTTTGTTCCAGAGCCGTGTCCAGGACTTTTAAAATGGGGTGGCCCATGTGGGGCACTTGTTTATGCATGGGTGGCACCAATGGTTATGCTTATTTATTTTTTTTACACAAATCGTTTATTTATTTATTTACTTTCTAGTGAATTTTGGAGTTTCACATTGCACAATCACCTTTTTTTTTCTATTCATCTTCTAGTTTTGTGGTGGTTAGCAAGTCACTTCTTGGTTAGCAAGTCACTTCTTGTTGCATTATTGCCACCAACTGGAGTTGATTGGGACTCTAAATACTATTTATGTGAATATGAAAAAATAATAAATAATATTAATACTACAGAAATGTTCTGTAGGCCTGGGCTAGAAGACAATGTTAAAGGTGCATGTTACCACACACTATTTTTGGAGTTTACAACTCACGCCTTTTGTCGACAATGTAAAGTCAATTTAAACTGGAACTTAGTAGGGTGGCACCTGGGTGGCCAATCAGATTCTAAGGGTGGCATGTGCTACCCCAGGCCACTCCCTGGACACGCCCCTGCTTTGTTCGCTTAGTAAAAGAAATCATTGTCATTGGAAATTTTCATTCTGAATCTACTCTTGTTATTTTTAGGGACAAAAGCAAAATAAATCTGTAAAGGAAAACTGTTTTCCAAGCAAGCACAATATAATCTTTCATTAAAATTAGTCATCTTAAAACATTTAAGGTGAAGCAGCGTGCGTGCGTGCGTGCGTGCGTGCATGTGTGTGTGTGCGTGTGTGTGTGTGTGTGTGTGTGTGTGTGTGTGTGTGTGTGTGTGTGTGTGTGTGTGTGTGTGTGTGTGTGTGTGTGTGACTGACTGACTAACGATCATTGTTCTTGTGTTTAGAGCCCAGGAAACCTTCCACCAGTGGGACCAGTGTCGGAGGCTTTACAACTTCATGTTGGCTGACAAAATGAAGAAACTCGTTCTGTCACACAGGTTGGAAAACCCCACATGAGCATCATATTAATACAGACATTATTCATAATTAGATATTTATTTTGCTTTTATGAATGGCTGAATACATCTAATAGAGATGAATGGAGGAAATGTTCAGCCCTATTTTATCTCGATGTTCTTGGATAGAAGCACTTTTTCAAGCATGGCCTCCAGCCTCATTGGTGAGGCGGACCTGAACCGACTGCTGGCAGCTACATCTCTGACGCAGGTTGATGACAGCGTCATGAGGTGAAGTACTGCTGGAGTTTGAATATGTCTGTCAGCTAAAACTTTCTGAAACTGGGGTTATCACATGATTTTCTCTGTAGAAAATTTCATGGCCACAGATGTTTGAGGGAGTTCTATGAGAAGGAGAGCTGCGTGCACTACATTCACAACGTAAGTCCTAAATGTCTCAAAGTCATATTTCTAATATTCCTACCACTGAACTATATTGGTAGCCTGGCAAGCCATCCTATATATGTGAATATATAGTCTGGCCACGACCCACAGACAGAGCTCAGTCGTGGGGCAGAGTCTACAGTTGTCTTTCAAACTGTCTCCGCACACAATTAGCGCTAGGACCAATCAGAGCAACGAACAGTATGACATTCATGGCTACGGAAACCTGTCAAAGGGGCAGTCCACCGTACAGAATCAAAGAAGCAAAAACATCCTTTTCCCAAACAAGGGACTTAAGTCCCTCTATCTGCTCATGTCTCAAAGAAAAGCACAAGTCTAAATTGCCCAAAGTTGATGCCAAAGCGATTTCAAACGAGCGCCGTTCCTGAGCAGATGGCAAATTTGTAGTTTTTCGCCATCGCTGCCCTAGTGGGTAGCCCACCGAACATCCCTCTACAAACATAGAGTGCTGTGATTGGCCTGATCTAAACTTGTTAGACCAATGGTAGACCTGCTGAGCTGTGGCTAAAGCCTAATTTATACCTTTCCGTCTGCGTCGGGACAGACACAGGCAACGCCATTATCTGTCCAATCGAGGGCTCTCCGACAGGCTCGCAAGGACGGATAGAGTCAAGCTCTTTTTTAAACATCCATCCTTTGAGACAGAGAATGCAAGCTTGTGATTGGTCAGGACACCGCTGTTGTCGACAATGCCACCATTGCGCTCTCAAAAACATAAAGAGAGCCAAGGATATCTAGCGGCAGACACGGAGAAGCTTGCAGAAAAACTCTAAAAATATGAACGGATAATTCCCCGTGACTGGAGGAGTGAAAAGATATGCAGCAAGCATTTTATTTGTGGACGGAAATGTCGGGAAATGTGGGTTTAGAGGTGGTGAGCGCATGAAGAGGTGGAGGAGGATGAGTGACAAATTTGTCCATGTTAAAAAGTCTCTTAAATACAAAAAAAAAACAATATAAACACACTATCTAGGACCGATACATGACAGGATACCACAGAACAGTGCTACGCCCTCTGTTGTCCTGGAGGGGAAATGCTTTGCAACACTCCCCAGGAGACGAAGTAGGAGGGCAAATTGTCTCCGTGCATGCGTGTCTCTCCCTCGTGGAGCTGACAGAGAAGCATAAATGTGCAGAACAAAACCATTTGCTACTGCTACAGATTGTCCAGATTTCTTGGCGTCTATATTGTAATACTCATTATTGAATATTTATTTTTGCTGCCGCTCGCAGACATCATTCCTGCAAAATCAATGTTTGGATAAAACTGCTGAGCCTAGGTGGTATGTACAACTAAAAACGTATGGCAATAATCTGAACCAGCGTTTTTCCCCCAGGTGTGTGTACCCCTCCTCTTGGTAAACTCCTTAGATGATCCTCTTGTTCATCAGTCGCTTTTGGATATTCCATGCAGGCTTGCAGGTTTGTTAGTTTCACACATTTCCTCACAGGTTTTGTGTTTCTGTAACTGGGATCTGAGGACTAGGGTCAGAGGTCACTGGAGCACTTGGAGCTGTAAACCCCAAATAGGGAGAGTGGCTCCAACTGAGATCAGCATCCAGAGGAGTGGAGTTTTAGGAACAGCTGAGATTCAATGTAAAAATAAGACATTTCATCCTACAAACGTTCAGGAATTCTGTCCTACTGCAGGACTTCATAACTGGTATATTTAAATGATTCTCATGGAACCAGAGGAACCTCAGTAGAGGCTCTGGTCAAATTGGTGTGGCGTGAATGAACCTGTTGTCCTTTCTGTGAGTGCTCAGTCTTAAAGTGCTGATCAAGTCTTGTTACAGTCATCTGCTCAGCACCGCTCAGCCCAGACGGTCTTGTTGAATTTTTCAAGGCCATGTGATCTGCACTGGCTGCTGGATTATATATAGGCCCCATAGCACCGTGTGTGTGTGTGTGTGTGTGTGTGTGTGTGTGTGTGTGTGTGTGTGTGTGTGTGTGTGTTTCCCCTGTCCACCGTATGTTGTTTTGTTCTGAATCAATAGTTCACAAATGTCCCCTGAGTGTAAATATTAGTGTGTAACAAGTGAATTTGAGGTTTTTTCTCTAAAGAAAACATTCAAACCGTTTGATCCTTGATGTAAAAAAACTAAAATTTCAGTTTTTTTCTTCTTTCATTCAACTGTTTGAAAAGTTGTTTTTTCCAGAAATCATCTTTAGAATTACAAGTTAATGAAAAAATGTCTTTCTTATTCCAACTAAATAAGTCATGATTAAATGTACTGACTTTGGTTGCATACAGGAAACACCGTCAGTGTGTAACAGTTTATATTTATATTCATGAATATCTTTAACAGATCTGGAATTAATAGTTTTTCTGCAAACTTCACGAGAGCAGAGTCAAAGAAAAGCATTTGGGGTTGTGCAGAAACTGAATGCCTTGACCTCTGACCTCATGAGTACGGTTATACATGTGATGTGAAAGTGAGAGAAGCTGAAATATTTAACAAGGAATGCTTTTTCAGGAAAATGAACAAAGATATTATTTTCTCTACAGCTGCCAAGAAATTCATTAATGTGTGACATATCCTTTTTCTACAGTTTCTTAGTGTTTCCCTTGTTCTGGGCATTGCTGATAAACACACCACATTTAGTGCTCTTTACAGTCATAAGTAGTGGATTTCTGTTATTTAAAGGTGTGGGACCCCCCTTTCAATCAATATTCATTTTCATCCATTTGCAATGATCTTTGGTAGGAATGCCTTGCAAGTTGTAAGCTCAGAAGATCTTGTTTCAGGAACTAGCAGAATGCCACATCAGTGGAGAGCTTAAGACGGCAGGATGCAGTCTTATTTCCTGATATTTGGACATCTCGCCTCGGATTGGATAGCAGCAACGCAACTCTACCACTGACTCCTTTTGCCCTGCAACGTTGATGTTTTATCTCCACAAATAACACAAGCCTGTAGGAGTTCTGTGTTGTGGAGTTGCTAATGCTAACGGTTAGCTCCTACCAGCCGAATCATTCTCTTCTGTTTCCTGAACGCTAAAACAACAACAGCCTTCCTCGTCGCAAGTAAATATGGGTGACTCTATGAATGTTAAAGGTTGACCATGGAACACAGACAGTCCGGTGTTCAGAGGTGGTATTGCAACAACAGGACTCACTTTCCAGCCGCTGGGTTATTGGTTCACTGCTGACACGTTCCAGCACCATGTTCAGATACACATCATACAGGATAAGGACTCGTTTCTACAAAGTTTAGTTTACAACAGTATTTAACGTTAGAACATCTTCTGGGCTCAGAATCAGCTGCTTGACTTGTCAAGTCTGCCATTTTACACAGTCCCAACCTCGCCTTGCTGAGCGGATGTTTTAGCGCAGCGGTGCCCTCTAGTGGCTGGTAGATGTAAACATAAACACAGTGTCATGCCCGACAGAATAAGCATTTGGTTATTTATCTTTTTAAATATAGCTTTAAAAGGAGAAACTGTACATTCATTTTGCACACCTCTGAACGCCCCATGGAGGTATTATTTTGTTTAATTGTAGCTTTTTATTCAAATGTTCCATATTCTAACTTTAAGTGACAGTGTGACGTAGATCTGTCAGACTTTTGTTAACAGAGCGATGCAGAGCTCTGGGAGCTTCTCTCAGTTGGAGCTCTGTTCATGGGGACTGTGGAGCACAAACACCTTTAGGTCTGCCTGCCAGACTAGTTCTCTGTTCTACACAGAGAACTAGTCTGGTTACTCACAGGCAGAGAGGCACATGAGGAGCGGGACTAGCCAGCTCAAAAATAGCTCAAAAATAACCAATCAGGAAAAAGGCGGAAATGCCGACTGTACCACGTAACATTGTAGACTTAGCTGTAGTGACAAATGGCATCTGGCGACAGTGCAAACATCTTTCTTTAGAGTAAAGGCTTTTGGCGCTTCTACTTGTTGTGGTTTTAAAGACTTGTTCAAGTCATTTAGAACAGAGAAAAGAGCCGCAGCGAACTCCGCTTCAGACGCCATGTTTATGAGATACTCTGCAATGCGGTGTATGTGTGTGACATACGCTGCTCAGCGCTGATTGGCTCAGTCAGAATTCAAAGGGGGTGGGGTTATTTGAATAGAAGAGTTCCCATAAGGAAGCATTGGGAAAAAGGCTAACCTTTAGGATCAACTTGTGAAAAAACTTAACTCATTCACTGCCAGCCGTTTCCTGATCGCCAACGGCCTTCGCTGCCAGCGTTTCTCACCGTTTTTACTGTTTTTTTAAGGGTCACAGAATGTCGCGTGCTAGCATGATGTTGATGCCAAAACAACCAAAACAAAGAGGAGACTCACCTCTTACATCAGGAAGAATCCGCGTGTTTCGAGCGTTATCCGTTCTTTCATAATCCGTTGTTGAATTGTGATCGGCAGACACTTTTCCGGTTCGCGCCTCACTTTTTTTTACAGGAACGGCCCAAAACGATCTCCTAACACATGGATGATCTGCTTCCTGATCATGTGACGTGTGACGTATGCAGATGTAGATCGGCTTCAGGGCTGAGATGTTTGTTCTCTCAGCCTGGGGGCTCGTTCCGATGCTCAAACAGTAAAAAAAATCCAAATGACTAAAGTCGTCAATGGCAGTGAATGAGTTAAGTATCGCAATAAAAACCGCCACCGTCTGACCACTTACGAACGATCTAAGGCTCCCAGATGCTGGCTCAGCTTTGCGGCAAATTGGTGGCATTGTTTTATAAAAGGGACTCTTGAGTTTCACTGTCTATTTTCTATCAGATGCTAATGCAGGATATAGGTGTAGGAGACTATTTTCATGTTCAGCCTGCATGCTAAACTCAGAGTGACCCATTATAATCAGAATTCATCATTAAAATATGTTTTTTCAGTGTTCCACACCTTTAAACTTTCTACCAGTAACTAACAGGATATTGTTTTAATGCTTTTCCTTTTAAGGATTAGTGCCGGTTGTTTTGTTTTGGTTCATTTGCTGCACAAACTCAGTCATATTGCCATTGGAGAATATACTACAGGAATATGCATTTACCATGTAAACCACCTGGTATGGTCTTTTATTTATTTACCTCCAGCTGATTGGAGCCCAACTTGGATCAATGGGAAGTAAATTTTAAGCTAGGTTACCCTGTGTGAAGTACAGCCTCGTTGTAGCAAAACAGAGTGTTCTGTTTGTAGGCACAAGTAGCTTGCTAAGTTGAGAAGCCAGCAGTCCGCTGGTGTTAGGTTTCGCTGTATATTATGGCGTATTTCTTGAGACTTCTTTCAAAATGCCAGGGTGTAAATATTTGAAAGCAGTGGATCAAATGTCGTGTAACAAGAAAGGGTCACTTGTAACTTCAAAAACATAAATAATTACTATCTTGCTCAGTAGCCTTTGTCTCTGCAGGGTAAACCATGTTTTGTTAAGCCTAGTGCTGTGTTTAGTGAGACAGGTGAACTCTGGACTCACCAGCAAAGTGCTGTGCTCCCTTTTTTCTGTTCTGTTTTCTGATCAGCATTTGCACCAGATTTGTGCTCGAAGCGTCAGATTCACAAAGAAAAGAAGGTTCATGTGAACAACTTGCTCTGTTTAAAGGAGTCACATCCTCGTTATTTCAATCAATCTGCTGTGGTCTTCAGTGTGCATGAAGGCCTTGCGAGAAGCTCTGGTGCTCCTGTTCCAGGAAGTAGAGGTTTGTCAGCGGAGTGTGTGTGTGTGTGTGTGTGTGTGTGTGTGTGTGTGTGTGTGTGGGTGGGTGGGTGGATAGGATTTGGAGTTTTACTCATTATGAGCTGCTAACTCTCACGCACTGAGTGTGAGACACACGCATTTGACCCTCTTCACACGCTCTCACGCCACACCTCCAATATCTCACGCTAAACCTGCGCTCCCCAAACGCGCATCACGCACGCTGTGTTGGGCTTATGAAAAAACCAGATGATATTAATGATGGCATTAGCTGCTGAACAACATGCACACAAACAACACTGAAGTAATAATTTAACTGGCGTTTTTCCACACGTAATCCCATCTGTATAATCCAAGCTGATGTGCTTTTTTCTGCTCTGGGTGGTGAGATGAGCAGAGTGGTGAGCTCCACGCTGTTGATGGGACGGGCATGCCCGGTTCTTCCAGAACCATGAGCTGCGGCTGCGCGCGCCGCCATAATGACATGCTTTATTTAGAAATGCAGCCGTGTTGCCAGCCGGTGTTGATGGATCTTCAGTCCCGAATGTTTTTCTTTTGTTTTCTCTCATCAGCCACAGATCGCTGCTCTCGCTCACAGCAAGCTGGGCTTCCTACCGTGGTGACTCACTCACATGTTCCCTCTCCTACATTACTTCGTGACGTGGATTCCTAATGTTTTAATTCACCGCTTCACCAGTGTGTTTTTCCTGTTTGTGAGACGAAAACTACTGGTACAGAAGCCTGGAAAGGCCAAAATTCCTCAAACATTTTTTTTCCCTACTGGCTGATATGAAGTAACATAATAGAATAGAGTAAACTTTATTAGTCCCACAGTGGGGACATCCACTCATTACAGCAGCACACACACTTAGAGACACAGATTACAGTAAAACTGATTCCAGCCATGTTTGCTTTGATAACTTCAATAACTTCATGCTGATGAACACATGAACATAATCCTGTTTAGTGGATGCAACTACATCATGAAGTTAGTTTAACATGATAGATTATTTTACTTGGCAGGAAATAATAACTGGTAATTATTCCATGCTGTCGTTCTTTTTTAAAACACAGAAACGGTTTCGTTACCTGTTTTGTCGCTACGTTTCGCCGGCGGCTGCAGACTTCCTCAGGCTGACGCTGATGGTGGCGCGTCACTTCCTTCTCCGTTTATCTGCGGGCAGCAGAGGACGTTGTCGCCCTCTGCTGCCCGCTCTCCCCTCTCCGACGATGCAGTCCCATGCGCGGTCTAACGTGTACACTCCCTCGTCCCTGTTCATGGTCCCACATCCACGTCTCCTTATCTCGATTGCTTCTTTAATCCATCTTTTGTATTTTTGTTGTTCAGTGTTTATGATCCTTGTGTTGTCCCAGTCCATTACATGGTTTTCTCTTATGCAGTGATCTGTTACGGCTGACTTCTTTATTGTACTTTCTGCTTCTTGTTTTGCTGCTCTCGTGTGTTTTCGACTTGCCTCTTTCTTGCACTCCTTTCTATGTTCTATTGTTCGTGTGTTGAGTTGGCGTCCGGTTTCTCCTATGTATGTTTTATTGCAAAGTTTGCATGGGAAATGACTCCACATTTAAGTCTAGCTAGTACAGCACAAGGATCATAAACACCGAACAACAAAAATACAAAAGATGGATTAAAGAAGCAATCGAGATAAAAAAAGAACGATAGCATGGAATTAGAAACAAGACACAGCAAGAACACACCTAAGATGTTCAAAAATAACTGGTAATATTATGAATAACATGAGATTGCCCACCCCCAGATGGAATTTAAATCATTTACATTCATTATAATCAGTGTTGGAAGTAACGCGGTACAAAAGTAATTAATTACTGTAATGCATTGCTTTTTGCTGTAATGTGGTAATGTAAGGCATTACAGGGAAAGAAAATGGTAATATTTACTCGGTACAATTGTCAGTAACGCAGTAATTACAATGCATTATTAAACCCAGAATCAAGATGTGGGTTTCCTAAAAATTAAATTGCGGGAAGCCTGAAAAAAGATCCAGTATCCACATATATGACGTCATTTATGGACTCCACTTTGTGGGCATTCTGTGAGCAGAGAGGACGCAGCGGTAATGGCTCAAACACTCCAGCTGCGTCCTGCGCGCGGCCGCTGTTATATTCACAAAATCGCTCCACCAAAACAAAGTAATTTACTTGCGATCGTTCATATCAGCCCATATTCTCTGGTACTTCATGTACTTTTCAGCTGAGTTCATAATCTGTGCCCCGGTGATTTCAACTCATTACTGCTGGAGAGCAGCGCATATTAAGTTTATTTATTTATTGGCTGATTAGTTAGAAAGTAGGAAATCTAGTTTACAGTTTTTCTGGAAGACGGAGAAAACATGCAGCATGCAGGAAGGTTAGAGAGAGAAAGGACAGGAAATGATTGAAATAAAATCAAGAAAACAAAACAAAGTGCTTGAAAAGACAAACAGTAGGTAGATTTATCCCCAATACACATTTTTACCAGTGAAAAGCAATAATATATAAGCATTTAATATTTATACATGTGATAGAATCAGATCACCCCAGAAGTCAGTCCCACATCCAGGGCCGTATCAAGGCATTTGGGGACCAAGGCAAATATAGGCTTAGAGCCCCCACCACCTCACTCCCTGCTTAGTTAATATAAGATGGCAGCATGCTGAGAGTACAGATTGTTGTTGCTTTTATTTAATAAACAATCATTTTAAGCACTGTTACAACCAGCAGCTGGGATGAGAATCAGCTCCTCTAAATCCGAGACCATGGTCTGGAGTCGGAAAAGAGTAGAATGCCTTCTCCAGGACAAGTAGTTGTTTTATTTTAGTTGTTAATTCAATAGTTTCATTGGGTCTATTTAGTGTAGTTTTACTGGACCTTCATTACTTTTGGTTGTTGTATTCTGGTTGTTTTAATTCCTTGGTTTTATTGTGTCTTTTTGTTGTTTTTACTATGAATTTTAATTGTACTGTGACCTTGGGTGTTTGAAAAGCGCCTGAAATTAAATGTATTATTATTATTATTATTATTATTAAGGATGAGGGCCTGCCTCAAGTGGAGGAGTTTAAGTATGTCGGGGTCTTGTTCATGAGTGAGGGAAAGATGGAGCATGAGATCGATAGGTGGATTGGTGCTGCATCTGCAGTAAGGCAGTCGTTGTACCGATCTTTTGTGGTGAAGAGAGAGCTGAGCCTGTGGTCACGAGCTTTGGGTAGTGACCGACAGAATGACATCGTTCAAAATGAGTTTTCTCCAGAGGGTGGCTGGGCTCTCCCTTAGAGATGGGATGAGAAGCTCAGTCATCTGGGAGGGGCTTGGAGTAGACCCGCTGCTCCTCCACACGGAGAGGAGCCAGTTGATGTGCCTCCTGTACGCCTCCCTCTGGTGAGGTTTTCTGGGCAGGTCCAACTGGGTGGAGACCTAAAGAAAGACCCAGGACACGCTGGAGGGACGATGTCTCTCACCTGGCCAGGGAATGCCTCGGGATTCCCCCGGAGGAGCTGGCCCAAGTGGCTGGGGAGAGGGAAGTGTGGGCCTTTCTGCTTAGGCTACTGCCCCCGTGACCCGACCCCGGATAATTGGATGGATGGTTGTTTGTCTTAATGTTTCTAGATGTATTTATTTATTTTTTTATTTGTTTGTTTTGATTGAAACTTCAGACAAACTTCTTTCTCCTTTTGTCCTGTTTAGATAAGATGCCCAATGTGATGTTTGCCCTGACGCAGCACGGAGGCCACATGGGCTTCTTTGAGGGAGATGTGCTCTTCCCACAGCCTCTCACCTGGATGGACAAGGTCATAGTGGAGTACACCAATGCCATCTGCCACTGGGAGAAGAAGCGACGGCTCTGCAAGACGAACAGCCATCAGGACACACGCACTTAGTCGGTAACAAAAGTATAGTCTGGGCCAAACGCACAAAGACCAACAAGCACCTGCTCAGCCTTGTCCCTTTGGACCTGCTTTACCTCAGATGGTCTTACAGATCAGTTTTTCATTTGTTGACCTCTCAAATGTAATTATAGCTCGCACACTGCTACACAATGTCTCATTCACAGTGAGGGATGATGACTGGAGAATTTATTATTTAACTCACACGAGATTTGTTCAAACAAAACAGGAGAAAATGTCAGAAGTGAAACTAGGATCAGAGCGCCTTAATAAGAGTCTGTAACAGATTAAAGTTGCTGATACCATATTCTCATGGTGAGTGTCCGTGGGGGTTGTTTAATGGTTCACACTGATAAACTGTTTGCAGACATTTTAATCTGTCTTTTTTCTATATTTAAATTGTCTTTGATTAAACGTGAAGTCTTTGTTGTTATTTGAATTTTGTGATGAAGTGATTGAAGAATGATTAAGTCACGTGAGCACCTTATGAAACATGTTTATGTTCATGTTGCACTGCTTCCATGGCACCGGTCAAACAACTGCTCCTCAGTGCCTTAAGGGTGACATATTATGCAAATCTGACTTTTTGCTGCCTTGCGGGTCTCTTCTGCCTCTATAAACACGAACAAACCCATAATTATTTTCTGTCAGTGTTCAGTTTCAGGATTTTAATGCTTAAAGTGAGTCGTCCCTTATAGTGATGTCAAGATGAGGGAAATTAGACAGAACCCCCCTCTGAGCTCTCAAACCTGGGAGAGCATCGGCTCTACTCCGAACCCCTTCTTAAAATCAGAGCCAAACAGCCTATCAGGGGAGGGGTGGGCGTGGCTGCCACCAACCTGTTTTTCTTTAAGTGACAGATGCCTTAAAGCTAGTAGCAAATCTGCTAAAGCAACTAGCTTTAATCATTTTTCATGCCTCTTAACAACGTTCTAACATAGTATAGCTATAAATATTTTGTGGAGATTAAAAAAAGAAGAATGAGTGTGGTTTTCTTGCATTTGTCTTAAAACCTCTGCCAATAACACGGCTCAGTCCAAAAACAACCATTGGCCCCTCCGGTTTTACGTCTCACTTCTGCATTTACCTGGGTCCTCCATCCATTACGCACTTGTGCATATAGCAACAGAGCACCACTGGTGTGAGAGGTTTTCTGCTCGATAACATCAGAGAAGGAGAAACAGCCGGCTGCTACCACTTCAACTTTAGGACAAACTACCAGAGTCCCAAAAAGAAAAACACCATTTGAAGTCACAGACAGCAAAAGACGTTTGGACCTAGAAAACTTCACTTGGCGTTTAGCGCTATCTTGCTTACTGTGGCAATGCATGTTCCCATATCAGGGCCTAGGGAGGACGGCCGACAGGAGGGCTGAAAGTTCCATGAGAGTGTAAAAGCTAGCTTGTTGGGCAGATTTGCCGTTGCAGCTTTAAACAGCTCATCCTTTCAAGTTTTTCAATTCAAGTTTATTTATATAGCGCCAAATCACGACGAGTCGTCTCAAGGCACTTCACGTAGTAAACATTCCAATACAGGTCAGGTCATTAAGCCAATCAGTAAAATGTTTCCTATATAAGGAACCCAGCAGGTTGCATCAAGTAAAGATCCTTGAAGATTGCTTTATGTGGAGAGACTTAATGCAAAACATTCATGAACATGTTTTGTATCGATTATAGAACAATAATAAACATAACATGTTCCCTTTACAGTGGGCATACACTCTATCAAGGGTGCCCAATCCTGTTTCCGAAGAGCTGGTCTCCAGCATGTTTTAGTTGTTTCCCAACTTCAACACACCTGATTTCAATTAGCAGGTGATTAACGTTCACCTACAGAGCTTGATGAGCTGCTGAACAGGTCAACCTACCAACCACTAATTAAGTGTGTTAGGGTTGTGGTCTCTAGTATAAATGAAAGTCATGTGAGTTGTTTTCTAAGAAAAAAACAGATCTGGTGCTCCTGTTTCAGGAAGTAGACATTAATCAAAGGAGTGTGGGTCGGAAACGTCAGAATTTGGAGTCTTAAGCCACTTTCACACCAAATGCAGACTGGATGCAGCCCTGTTTCCGTACACCCTCCACATAGATCAAAAATCATTGATTCCAGTCAGAACACAACACCGGCGGTGGTGTGGATCTGTATGCAGAGCTCCGGAAAGTATCTGCATAGAGTCTGTCTTCCATTTGCCACATGCAGATCGTCATGAATTTAAAGAGGCTCCATGAGCCAGACAGGAAGTGAGACTTGTGTTAGCATGGTGCATCAGGTACATTTCAAAATAAAAGCAGTGTAACAATATTTTTGCCAGTTTATCTTTTATCATCAATGATAGAGATATCAGTTCGAACGGTATGATAGTTTCCACTAGTTTCACAGTTTTCATATTATTTTAAATCAACACAGCCTTCCCTGGTTGGAGCTAAGATGGGTGAGTCCTTGATTGCAAATTTGCAGTGTGACGTGACTTTTTCTGACCCAAGCGTTTACCTGTCTATTTCATTTCTGCGGCTAACGCAGATGATGAAGATGAAGACATGTTCAGTCTGCATGTGAAACTCTGTGACGATCATATTTTAAAGACCGGTGTCTCTGTTTCCTGGTCTAAAGGTTGGTGTCTTTGTTTTCTGAACGCTGTTGTTTACAGGGGTCATTTAATCCAGCTCTGCACTTTAATTGGTTGCAAAAGGAAACACGTTTATAATCATGGCTTTGGTAACAATATTATACTGAAAAACAGATTTTCTTACATGCATATTTTTCTGTGATTGTATTTTTTTTTTACTTTTTCTGTCATATTAAAAGATGCATGCTGTTTACTAGTGTCATACTGACGAACACACGATCACATGTGTGAAATAAAGTCTGTGCACCTAAGACTTTTTGCTCATTTCTCATTGGTCAACTTTGATCTAGGTTAAAGGGATTTTTCCACCTTGAAGTGTATTTCTGGGTAAAAGTGATAAATGCTAAACATTGAAAATAACCTTTACATGAACTTCATTAAAACTTTGTTAATTTGAGCTGTTTTATGATGTCCACAATACATTTTAGCCTAGCTGTTAGCTCATCAGTACTGTAGGTCAGGAAGCTGTCTACAGTGGATTAAATTTATACCTTTTACTCCAAACTAATAAAATATAAGGGTAAGTCAGAATGTATCGGGAGTCATGATTTGGCCCTACGGTCTATGCATAAGCTGAATTGAACTGTATAAACATTAAACTGAGCAACTGAAATTCCATTGTGAACCAAATTTTCCATCTGAATTTGTTTTTACTTCTTTTGGAAACAGCTCCTCCTCTGCTACCTGGGTGCCTAAAGTCACACCATCCTTAAATAGTTCAGCATATGTTGGTGGAAACTTCCTATCCTTTTTAGGTAACTTGCATTCATTTTATGTTGCATCATCGTCACCTTTTACTGAGTTAGACTGTTTATGAACTAATATTGTCTGTCGAGGAAGCTGCCAGCACACTGTTGTCCTGAAGTTTTGGACCGCTTTCATGAGTACAAGTACATGCACACAACAACAGCATCAATGCAACCCTATTTATGGCATAACAGCTTGCCATATATGTACCTATTGTCCCCTCTGCTCAACCATTTTCACTAATCCGATTTGAAACAAACTTGCAGGTCTTCTGTTTGAAATGGACAGGATTTTCCTTTGCAGGTAGATAAAACACACACCTCACCTGTTCCTGGATGAGTGGTGATCAGGGTTAGGGTTCTGATGGGTTTCCTTTCATCCTCACTTTTCTGCTGATTGTAATTAGTTTTGCATTGAACAGCAGATTCAGAGTCCAGCCATAAATAGATATCTGCTTCTTTATGTTTTAGGCTTAACTTTGGAATATTTAGATATATAAAATAACCAAAACTTATATTTATATACAGTTTATTGCACATTCCTATCAGTGTTCCACAGCAGCTGGGACAAAATGATCTAAAACCAAAACACACAGACAGGCAGGCACTTGCTGGAGTAGAGCCTCGTAGGAAACGGGGTGGAAGCTGGGACCAGCCAGTGTTCAGACAAGCTGTGTGCTGCACTTCCCTCCGAACAAAACCAATCTGAATGCAGGAGAGACAAAAACTCACTTGTTCATGATTAAGCAGATTGGATTTACCACAGCTTGACCAAAATGTTGACTATTTTCTGAACAATGGAGCATTTTAGATTTAATTCCACCTCCAGGGCAGCCCGTGGTTTCTGATCACTTGCTGCGTAAAACAATTTGTGTAATCTAGAAATCTGCTTAAGACAACCAATCCTTCTCGGTGAACATTATGTTTGCACACGTAGACATCTCTTTCTGTTGCGCTTACATCACAGCATGCTTTGGAAATTTCTGCCTGTTTGTGGCCTTTCAGGAATCATGGTGAGAAATGTCCAAGTGAGCTTGCAGACCAGGAATCAGACACTAAAGAGCTAAACTGGTGGTTTGGTGGTAGCAAACTGAAAATAGCCTCACATCCTCCTATGTGTCTATAATCCATCAGGACCATTTCAAACTCACTCATATGTTTCATTAGCACAGGCTGACATCTAGGTAGGGCTTTGATTCTCAAGTCTAGGGCTTTTAACAACGCTCAGCCTGGTTGGTGACGGGAAGGAGCACGCTCAGTCAAACAGCTTGGCGGATGTGGCCTTGCCATCATACTTGGAGCCTTTTCCATCAAACTCAGCAGGAAGAATCTCGGGATCAAACTCCTTGTAGTAATTTTCCAGCTCATCTCCGTGAACAAACACCTAAAGCAAAGATACAAGTAGTTTTGTTGGTATTTTTGTAAGAAAATTTCAAATATTTCTTCTATCATTTTTTTGATGTCAACTGTACATTACAGCAGACATCCAGCAGTGAAAGACAAAGGAGCTGATCTCATTTTACTACTTTTCTCCAGCTAGCTCTTGTCACGCCAGTTTGAACCCTTTAAAGGAAAAAAATGTGTTTATTAAACTGAGTAATAATGTTTTCTATGTAATTTTATAACACCATTCATCACCCGTAATGTTCAGGTCCTCCATGAAACATGAGTTTTAATCCAGCAGATTTTAGAGGAATGTACTAATCCTGTTAAAATATCAAATCTAACAGCAGAGCAGGGTTAGATCTGTTTGGGTTGATTCTTAATTTGAACTTTTTCTGATCTAGCTTTAAGATGCTGAGACTGGTGCAGCAATAATCTCACTGTTGTCCTGTTTCTGAACTAAAATCCCTCAGTACCATTTGAAACTGATCATAGTTACTATTGTTATTAGTTTATTTGTTTTGATTAATTTGACTCACTCTTTCTAGCAGTTTGCTCTTCATGAGGGGTTTGACCACGTTGTAGGTGGTGGTGAAGTACCAGGGCTGGTGGATGAAATGCACAGCTTTGAAACGGGCGGGGAACGAGTCCTGGTGGAATACAAGACGGCACACAATGGTATTTTTCAGCAGACAGAGGAGCAAAGCTAGAATATTAACTTTTCTATTTTCAGTTGCTAACTTCTTTAAGGTTGAGGGTGACATCCTACCTGCAGCATGTCCACCATCTTCTTCAGCTCAGTGGGTTTAATTCCTGAGGCTTGCTGCATGGTGAAGCCTTTAAAGTTCTCAATGATGCAGAACCCATTGATCTGGGTCTCCTCATTCTCCAGCAGCTTCTCCAGGATCACACAGTAGGCACGCAAGATCTGAACACACATAATGGTCATTGTTAAAGGAAGACTTCTGTTCAAGCTCTCTACCAGATCAGAAACAGGAAGTGTTATTGAAAATCTCCCCGCTGAAATTGGAACCTAACACCTGTACCTCATCAAAAGTGATCTCTTCATAGTCCCAGTTCTCGATGTTGAAGAGCAGAACCACACGGCCGTATTTGTCTCTGCTGTGCAGGATTCCGGGGTAGCCGGCCTCGATAGTGCTGCGTACTGCCTCTGGGGTCAGATTCTCAAACAACTCAGGGTAATCCTTCCTGAAACGAACATACCCTGAATCCAGACAAAAGGAGGATCTGTCATGTTTTTGTTGATCGTATGGTTATATGGAAACTGTTAGAATGATAAAATATAGTAGGTGTAAGTTGCTTTGTATCCTGACCCACCCTTCATCAGCTCAAAGGCTCTGACCACATCGTACTTCCTGGCGCGGATGAAGCGGACCAACAAACTGTCTGGTTTCTCTCCAAAGGTGTCCTGCACCCCTTTGGCCAGATCATCTCCCCCGTCTGCCTTCTCCTTAATCATCGCTCGCAGCTCTTTCACTGCAGACACTCTCCTCTCATTGGTCTCATTCAGCTCGTCCTTGGCCTGCAGGGAGTTATGAACCAGACTGTGTCAACTCTCAAAGAGCAACATCTTATCTTTAGTTTAAAAAAACAGAGTAGGTGATAGACGACGATTATGACAGTTACAACAACCAGAGCTTTTGTTTGAAGGCAAGGCAGCTTTATTTGTATAGCACCTTACAACAGTATAAAACCGACCAAAGTGCTTCACGGAAATTAAAACAATACACAACATAAAAGACTCTTATGCTGAGTTAAAAGCCAAATCATAAAAATAGGTTTTCAAAAGAGACTTAAAACCAGACAGTGAAGTGGCCGACCAAACGCTCAAAGGCAGCACATTCCAGAGCCTAGGGGCCGCTACAGAGAAAGCCCTGTCACCTCTGAGCTTACGTCTTGTTTTTGGGACTTCCAGGAGCATCCTATCAGCCGACCTCAAGGGGAGTAAAAACCAGTGGCTCAGAGGGGTAATCTGGAGCAAGACCATGCAAAGATTTAAAAGCCCATAAAAGCGCCTTCTACTGGATTCTGAAACAATCAGGCAGCCAGTGCAGTGAGGCCAGGACAGGAGTAACATGCTCCATCTTTTTCATCCCAGTGAGCAGCCATGCAGCAGCATTCTGCACCAACTGAAGACACAATTGTGAAACACCAAGGTACAAAGAATTACAATAATCAAGCCTTGATGTAAGAAAAGCATGACTTACTGTTTCAAAATCCTGTTTTGACAGCAAGGTCTTTACTTTGGCAATCCTTCTTAATTGATAAAAACAAGATCTCGTCACCGCACTGATCTGGCTGTCCAAGACAAGATCCCCATCCAGTACAATACCCAGGAAAGTTGCACAGTTTCAAGAATGGGGCGAGCTGACCGAGGTCAACTGCACCCCCTACACAAAGTCCTTGGACCAAAACTACAACCTCTGTCTTTTTATCATTCAAAAGAAGGAAGTTAGAGAACATCCACTGAACAGGCAGCATGACGAGTTAGGAGGTTGTTTGGCTGTACTAGGTCAAATATACGTACATTTAAATAATAAGTAACCAGTAGAGGATTTTAAAACCACTTCTTGTTGTTTAGACCTGATTTTGTTTTGTCATGACTAGAATTAAAAATAAACATTTTCATAAACTTTGATAATTCTCCACAGGTTTACATGATAAATAATTTAATTCACAGGTTTGAGTTTCAGAACAGTAAACCTTTATTGTTTGCTGGAAAATGTAACGTAATATTTTAACAAGACTGTGTCACTGACAACTACAAATGGATTAAATCATGTTTCCAGGGAAGAACTAACATATCTATTATGTTGTTTCTCTTCATGTCTTGATCTGATCCTAATTAATCCTAACACCTGCTGTTCTGTCCACCAGGGTCATAACTGATGTGGTCACCTTCTGCCTGGTGTGGTCTGGCAGCTGAACACAGGATCCAAACACCGGTCCATGGTCTTTCACAGTGAGACGCTCCAGCTTGGTCCTGAGGGCCTGCTCCTCCTCTGACACCATACGGTAAGTTCCACTCTGAGGAGAACGAGGCGGAGATGGACCAGAAAGGAAAAGAACTACTGTTAATACATATTCCCTGTAGTAGATAGCATGGTCAATAACCTCAGTTCTTGAAACAGATTAATTCTGACTGGACAGGTGAGCTCAGTTACAAAGTGCCTCAAAAATTTCAATCAATCAATCAATCAATCAATCAAAGCTTTATTTATAAAACGCCTTCCGCAACCCTGTCAGGAAGCCCAAAGCGCTGAACATTGTTCAGTTGAAGGTAAATATATTGAATAAATCAAAAATAAAAGCAATTCAAATTACAAAATACAAATTACAAAATAAATTACAAAACAAATTACAAAATTTCAGATGTAAGCAAATGCAGTTTTGTAAACTCTTTATAAATAGACCCTAACCCTACCAGGAAACCAGTTCTCCTAACTGTAACTCCAGCTTTAAGCGACGCATAACAGATGCATTTTTACCCACAAGCTGCCTTCTCACAGGAACGTTTAGCAGCTAAAGTGTCATGCAGCTGGTCCCATGAGGTCACAATATCACTAGAGAATATTAACTCCATGAGTGATTTCATCAGTTCACGTGATAACAAGCAAGGAGAAAGATGGCTGTGTGTATCCAAAAACGTCCGTGGTTTATTTTCTGTTATTTTTTCCTTGGCTATGGAGGTTTCACAGGAAATTATGTACTATTTTATTAGTCAAACCACTGAAAATCTGCACGTGACTTTTATTTTGAAAGTTTTGGGATGTTTTACACTACTTTCCTGCTTGACTTCCTGTCTGGCCCAATCTGAACTTCTGAGGTGGACAATTTCTGGAAGCGTAGCACGTAAAAACTTGGACAGTCCATCCCCAGTCTGGGACGCTTCCAAAATGCAAGGCAACTGTGGGTAATTGCTACATACTATGTTTCTCAGATGTTACGCTATGCTTGTGCATACGGTGGAAAAACCCATTTCTTCCTTCCTTAACATTGTTGGAGCTTCAGGGTAAATTCTGGGAGGGGGAATCTAGTCCCGGTCCTCTCAGCTGTTGTTCCTCCAGACATATTCTGCTCTTTCTGGACTTTACACAGATGTCAGCACATCATGACTGCTTCAGCAGAGAATGATGCCACTGATCAGTGATGAAATAGCACCCACAGTAACCATTAATACCATAAAAGGTTTTATTCTGTTGAAGTACGGTGTAAATGGTCCACTCAGCTACTCCACCAGGCCATCCCGAGTACCTATCTCTGTTCCGGTACGCCAATAGTTTCTGAAAATGGCCGTTCGGCCGGCCCGGTGAAGTGGGGACACGTGCGCAGTGGCGGATTTAGCAATTTGGGGGCCCAAGGGGAACACAGACATGGGGCCCCCTTAAACTAAATTTTCGACAATCTTATCTTTAACTGGATTTGCGAAACTCTCCCCTCTTCTGACATGAGTTATTTTCCCTTTTTATTAGTCCTCATCTTTTTTCCTGTCTTTCTCTCCATTTGAGTGCTTTCAATATTTGCTCTGCTTTCTTCTTCCTGTCAGTGCTCCTGTGCTTTTGCCTTTTTTCGTTGCCTTCGTCTTCGTCTTCCTCCGCTTATCCGGGTCCGTGTTGCGGGGCAGCATCCCAACTTGGGAGCTCCAGACCGTCCTCTCCCCGGCCACCTCCACCAGCTCCTCCGGCAGGACCCCAAGGCGTTCCCGGACTAGATTGGAGATGTAACCTCTCCAACGTGTCCTGGGTCGACCTGCCGGCAGGACACGCCCTAAACACCTCCCCAGGGAGGCATCCAGGAGGCATCCTGACCAGATGCCCAAACCACCTCAACTGACTCCTCTCGATCCGGAGGAGCAGCGGTTCTACTCCGAGTCCCTCCCGAATGTCCGAGCTCCTCACCCTATCTCTAAGGCTGAGCCCGGCCACCCTACGGAGGAAACTCATTTCGGCCGCTTGTATCTGCAATCTCGTTCTTTCGGTCATTACCCAAAGCTCATGACCATAGGTGAGGATTGGGACATAGATCGACCGGTAAATTGACAGCCTGGCTTTCTGGCTCAGCTCTCTCTTCACCATGACAGATCGGCTCAGAGTCCACATCACTGCAGACGCTGAACCAATCCACCTGTCAATCTCCCGATCCCTCCTACCATCACTCGAGAACAAGGCCCTGAGATACTTAAACTCCTCCACTTGAGGTAGGACCTCTCTCCCGACCCGGAGTTGGCAAGCCACCCTTTTCCGGTCGAGAACCATGGTCTCAGATTTGGAGGTGCTGATCCTCATCCCAGCCGCTTCACACTCAGCCACGAACCTACCCAGCAAGAGCTGAAGGTCAGAGCTGGATGAAGCTAGGAGGACCACATCATCTGCAAAAAGCAGAGACGAGATTCTCCTGCCACCAAACTCGACACACTCCACACCACGGCTGCGCCTAGAAATTCTGTCCATAAAGGTTATAAACAGAACCGGTGACAAAGGGCAGCCCTGGCGGAGTCCAACCCTCACTGGGAACAGGTCCGACTTACAACCGGCTATGCGGACCAAACTCACGCTCCTCTGGTAAAGGGACTGAATGGCCCTTAACAGAAAGCCACCCACCCCATACTCCTGAGGCGTCCCCCACAGGGTGGCCCTGGGGACATGGTCATAAGCCTTCTCCAAATCCACAAAACACATGGGGATATGATGGGCAAAATTCCGTGCCCCCTCCATCACCCTTGCAAGGGTATAGAGCTGGTCCACAGTTCCACGGCCAGGACAAAAACTGCATTGCTCATCCTCAATCTGAGATTCAACTATCGATCGGACCCTCCTCTCCAGTACCTTGGAGTAGACCTTTCCAGGGAGGCTGAGGAGTGTGATCCCCCTATAGTTTGAACACACCCTCAGGTCACCCTTCTTAAAGATGGGGACCACCACTCCGGTCTGCCACTCCACAGGAACTGCCCCCGATGACCACGCAATGTTGCAGAGACGTGTCAACCACAGCAGCCCTACAACATCCATAGCCTTGAGATACCCAGGATGAATCTCATCCACCCCCGCCCCACTGTGTAGTTGTTTGACTACCTCAGCAACTTCTGCCCCCGAGATTGGACAGTCCATCCCCAGGTCTCCCAGCTCTGGTTCCTCCTCAGAATGTGCGTAGGTGGGATTGAGGAGCTCCTCAAAATATTCCTTCCACCGTCCGACTATAGCCCCAGTTGACGTCAGCAGCTCCCCATCCCCACTGTAAACAGTGTGAGCGAGTTGCTGCCTTCCTCTCCTGAAGCACTGGACAGTTTGCCAGAACCTCTTTGGAGCCAATCGATAGTCTTTCTCCATGGCCTCACCAAACTCCTCCTACGCCCGAGATTTTGCCTCAGCAACTGCCACTGCTGCACCCTGCTTGGCTATCCGGTACCTGTCTGCTGCCTCCGGAGACCCACAGACCAGCCACACCCAGTAGGCCTCATTCTTCAGCCTGGTGGCTCCCCGAACCTCTGGTGTCCACCAGCAGGTACGGGGGTTGCCACCACGACTGTACCCGGCCACCTTGCAACCACAGCTAGCAACAGCCACCTCACCAATTGCAGAGTGGAACAAGGCCCACTCGGAGTCAATGTCCCCCACTGCTCTCGGGACGCGGTCAAAGCTCGGCCGGAGGTGGGAGTTGAAGACCATCTTGACAGGTTCTTCTGCCAGGCGTTCCCAGCAGACCCTCACTATGCGTTTGGGTCTGCCAGGTCTACGCGGCATCTTCCCCTGAAATCTGATCCAACTCACCACCAGGTGGTGATCAGTTGACAGCTCCGCTCCTCTCTTCACTCGGGTGTCCAAAACATACGGCCGCAGGTCAGATGATACGACTACAAAGTCTAACATCAACCTGCGACCTAGGCTGCCCTGGTACCAAGTGTACCGATGGGCATCCTTATGTTCGAACATGGTGTTCGTTATGGCCAAACTGTGGCTTGCACAGAAGTCCAATAACGAAACACCACTCGAGTTAAGATCAGGCGGGCCGTTCCTCCTAATCACACCCCTCCAGGTCATGCTGTCATTGCCCACGTGAGCATTGAAGTCCCCCAGCAGGACAATGGAGTCCCCTGATGGAGCACTATCTAGCACTCGTTCCAGGGACTCCAAAAAGGGTGGGTACTCTGAACTGATATTTGGCCCATAAGCACAAACAACAGTCAGGACCCATTCCCTGACCCAAAGGCGCAGGGAAGCTACCCTCTCGTCCCCCGGGGTAAACCCCAACACACAGGCAGAGAGTCTTGGGGCAAACAAAAAGCCAACCCCAGCCCTCCGCCTCTCACCCGGAGCAACTCCAGCAAAGGACTTGGGTTCCAGAGCCAATGCTATGTGTCGAGGTGAGTCCGACCAAATCTAGCCGGCACCGCTCAACCTCTGCCACAAGCACCTGCTCCTTCCCCGCCAGCGAGGTGACGTTCCATGTCCCAAAAACCAGTTTCCTTGTCAGGAGATCGGACCGCCAAGGCTCCCGCCTCGGTCTGCCACCTGATCCACACTGCACCGGACCCTTTATGTTCCTCCTGCGGGTGGTGGGTCCACAGCTGGATGAGCCCATGTATCCAGTTCGGGCTGGGCCCGGCCGGGCCCCATGGGCGAAAGCCCGGTCACCAGGCACTCGCTCATGGACCCCAACCCCAGGCCTTTGCTCCAGGGTGGGTCCCCGGTAACCCTCCGGGCCGGATTCTCCGACTCTTTGAATTTACATCCATGAAAGATCCTCTGAACCGTTCTTTGTCTCACCCTTCACCTAAGACCAATTTGTCATGGGAGACCCTACCAGGGGCACAAAGTGCCCCAGACAACATAGCTCCTAGGATCATTAGGGCACTCAAACTCCTCCTCTATGATAAGGTGACGGTTCAAGGAGGCCTTTTTTTTCTTCTATTTTCCATTTTGGTCTATGTTTTCCTCCCTTTAAACATTTTCCATTGTCTTTCCTTTTCTGCTTCCTTTTGATGTTTACATAGAAAAACAACGTCACTTTTGGAAGTGAAGATAAAATCTTTTTTGAGCTGCTTCTTTCTCTTATTGGAGCCACTATAACTCCATTTCATGCTTAATGTTTTGACTACTGCTTCGAGTTTGTTACGAACGCTCCTGCCTCTCTTCTTCTTTTTCTGCTTTCTCTTATTATCATTATTTGTGGTCTCATGGCACTTGGCAAACGATTTGGTGCATTACCACCACCAACTGGATTGGACTGGAATGACTACCAATCACTTCCTGTTTGTGCATCGGCGTCTTAAAGGAAAAGTCCATTGTGGCATTAACAGAGGGGTGCCCGCAGTCAGGGCTAGGGGGCCTCCCAGGCGACCGCCGACCTATGCCTAATGGTAAAACCGCCACTGCACGTGCGTGCCGGTAAAAGTTCTGGTAGTGGAAGCATACCATATCTAAACAACCTCATGGTCTAACTTAAAGTGATAAAAATGAAAAGCATTCACATGAACTGCTATGAAATCTGTGTTTTGAAATGTCATAAATACTTTATAACTTGTCACCATTGGTTAGCTGCACAGTTATATAATTTCTAACTTTATTTTTCAAACCAAGAACCATTCTTAAAGATTTAATAACCTAAACAATTTTGGGTTATCTCATTTCAACCATTTTATTGCTCATAGCTTTAGCTCTTTGGTTTTGAAATACATCTAAACTTCTAAAACCTCCAAAACAAACCAAGAAAATACAATAATTTCACTACAACAATAAAATAAGACAAATTGGAATGCAGAAAAATGAACATGTTAGGTTGAAAACCGGCAGTTCTGTAGATTTTGGCTCAAAGCTTACCGTGTGAGCCTATCACCTGACCTGGCTGGGCTCTAACACATCTAATCCACACCCCTCCACTAGTGCTGCAGGACCATAATCAATAGACCTCAGTGTTCATGTAATCTGCTTCACATGAGTCATGAAAAGTCTGTAAACACAAATGAAGACCAGCTGGAGGCAGTGATCAGAGAACAGCAACTTCTGCCGCTGTTGATGGAGCTTTGAGCCTGAGCTGCTGCAGGAAGGATGCAGTTTCATCGGTTTCATTCACTCACAACACCTGCCTCTGTCATATATATAGTTTAACCAAAGGAAAGTCAGAATACTTACGACTACAGCCATGCTTTTATTTTGCTTTTCAGACCAGCTTTAAACTCTGTAAAGAAAAAGAATGAAGAAGGGATTTGTGACTCCTGGTAAATAAAAGAACAATCAACCCTCTGTGCTCTGAATGAGTCCCCTCCATCCCATCATCTCTGCCCTCACAGCCACCCTAGTGCTATTTTTGGAGCCTGCCTTCTTCTGGATGATTTGATGGGAGGTTTAAATGCAAACAGCCTTTTGGGTTAATTGTGCCCACAGGTTTAGAGCAGCTGTCAAAGACTCATCTGTATTCAGGATAAACATAAATGTTCTCATTAGTTTAATAAAGTATGAAAATATAAATGCCTGCACTAGAGTTTAGCTAAACCACATATGTGCGATAAGTAGGGGTTGGGATCCCACTGTGGATCATAAAAACAAGATGGGAGGTCTGCAAAAAGCAAATGACTTTTATAATGCTATGGCAAAGTGATGTAAAAATATGAGGTTGCTGATTAAGAAACTAAAATATGACCAATTTTAAGGTTCCTGGTTTCATTAAAGATGTTTGAAACCTCAAGAGAAACATAAACAAGACTCCAGTCCTTCCACACCACTAGATAAAACAGCTGTGTCTCTCATCCAAGACTTTTATATCAGAGGACAGGGAAAGATGTAGAGAGATGCCAGCAGACGAAGCCTACCTGTGGCAGATGAGGAGGATCCAGCGGCGAGTTTCAGGGCTCAATGTGGAGCAGAGGCTGAAGGAGCCGATGATTTGTAGTGTGGGGATTAGTGGCGTCACACCAGAATCCACCCAATTCATTCATTGTTCTTTTTCAATCAGCATGAGGCCGAGTGGTAGGAGTTATTCAAAAGGGGTAATTGGGACACATCTGATGTAACCCTGTGTGTTTAGGTAAGAGGTGGACAGATTCCTAAAAATATCCCTGACAGCAATATCCCATATGATCTCTAAACCTCCTTTTCTTTGGTGAGCATATTTCATTTCCCAAAGCTGTTTGGGATTGGTAAGACCAGTTAGTAGTAAAAATGTTTAAAATAAATGCAATTTTTTTAATTTATCAAACCATTACAAACAAACAATTAAAGAGAACATATTACGCCATCTGACTTTTGCATCTTTTAGTGCTGTGGCAGCCTGGCAATGTCATGGGGCAGAATTTTCGATTGTCTTTCAAACTGTCTCGCACACAATTGGACAGCGCTAGGACCAATGAGAGCAACGAGCAATGAGACGTATTCATCATTACAGAAATCAGTCAACAGGAAGTCTGCAAAACACCGATGTAGAGGTAAATACATCCTTTTTCTAAATAAAGGACTTAACCCCCAGAAACCCAAATTTAGAAAACAACTGCAAAATCTTTTTTTAACCTTTCACATGTTGTTCTAGGAGGCCAGATAAATGGGTCTATTTACACATTTTAACAGCCAATAGTGTTGCAGAACTGAACAATAGCACCTATTAGCAATGTCAATGTGGTTTTAAAAAGATAAAAAAAATGGGGAAGGTTTATTTTTGTAGACTTAAATCTGATGTTGTAATGTTACCACCGTGGGTCTCTGGGGGTTAAAGACATGCTACGCAGCTTTTGCATATTTTTCAATAATTTTCTTGAGCCAGTAAATGACCCTTCACAGGGTAAATGAAAGTCACTCAGACCCCACCATCCCCAGTAGCCAGAATATCGCACTTGCAACTTCAGAGTGCCGGTCAGGTCCCTGTTAGTCAATAGTAAAGTGGTGCTGATGTGCCGGCACTGGAGTCTGCTTCCAGCACACATTTCCTGCATGTTTTAGATCACAAACACTAAACATTTGTTTAATTTAGTGATGAATCACTCCTGTAGAAACTAATGAAGGCTGATGAGACATTTCAACAGCTAGATTAATCTATCTGCTCATGTCTCAAAGAAAAGCCCGAGTCTAAATTGTCCAAAGCCATTTCAAACAAGCTCCGTCCCTGAGCCAACGCCATTTTTTGTAGTTTTCCTTCATCGCAGCTCTGGTGCTAAGCCCGCCCAACATCTCTCTACAAACTTAGAGTGCTGTGATTGGCCTGACCCAAAACTGTTCAGTCCAATGGTAGACCTGCTGAGGCTACAATGGAGTGTGCCTAGACCAACCTGCAGAGCAAAATCCTGCTACTGTTAAAGTTTGTCAAGACTTTTTGTTCATCAGTAGGGAGGTCAGGTCAGGTCAGGGTTTTACCTGCCACAGGTACCATGTAACCCTGTGCTACCTGCCACATGCAGAGAAGGAAAACTCTGTATAACTTCCTCTGCCTTGTGGCTTGAGAAGAAAGGCCTCAGGAGTAAAAATCTAGAGCTGGAGTCCCAGGTAGTTTGTGATTGCATGCAGTCACATCCTGACAACTCCTGCGACGTCACTGGTCCCAAACTGTACTGGTTCTCCCATTCCTTTGGATCAACCAGCGCCTTGGAGAAGGGGGTTCTGTTACCTGGGCAACAGCAGGTTCTCCATATAACCCATCATTGACAACTATCAGCTGGAAGTGGCCCACCAGTCCATTTACATAGGCTCGACAATCGCCGACAACCTGCCCTTGGGTGCTGAAATCAACAAGTGCATCGGTAAAGCTGCAACAACCCTGGGACGATGGACCACACGTCTGGGAGAACCCCAAGATGACCGCTACAATCAAGATGGATGTGTACAATGCTTGCATCATCAGCGCTGTCCTGTACGGCAGTGAAACATGTACAACCTACGCCAAGCAGGAACGTAAGCTAAACATTTTCCACATGCAATGTCTTTGCCGCGTCCTCATCGGCAGATGGATAGACAAAATCCACAACACAGTGGTCCTTGAGTGGACCGGCCTCCCTCCCATGCACACCGTACTCAGGTAATGCAGACTGCGCTGGATCGGCCGCATGCACCGCATGGAGGATGGTCGAATCTCCAAGGACATTTTCTACTGAGAGCTCGCCACTGGCAAAAGACCTCAAGTCTGTCCACAGCTGTGTTACAAAGATGTCTTTAAGCGTGACATGAAAGCTCTGGACATGGACACAGCAAGATGGGAAGATGCTGCAGCCAGCTGTAGTGGCTGTCACTGTCTGATTCACAAACAACCGAGGAAGGACAAGGACCAGATGAAGAACCTAGCAGAAGAACAAAGAGCCAAGCGGAAAGAACATAAGCACAGAGATCCCCCGCAACCAACCACACCTGCTCCTTATGTGGCAGGGAATGCCGTTCCAGCATTGGACTCACCAGTCACAGACAACGATATTCAAGCTGTACCACCACGAGCGCCTAGGGCACAATTTTCTAAGTCAGCTATGACTGCAGGAGGCTTATGAGAGAGGTTTTCTAGATACGTTTGGTCTTCAGCCATCAGAAATGATGCAGGGTTTATATTTCTGCTCATTTCAACAATTTACACTGGATGTTGTGCAGTCCCTTGCCGAGTCCATCACAAACTCAAACAATCTCAAACTTCACTACAGAAGCCAGACTGATTGACAATTCCCCATGTTGTTGTATAGATGGAATAGACAACAGGTGGAAATTATAGGCAATTAGCAAGATGTCGCCAATAAAGGAGTGGTTCTGCAGGTGGTGACGACAGACCACTTCCCAATTCCTGCTTTCTGCCTGATGATTTGGTCACTTTTGAATGCTGGCGGTGCTTTCACCCAAGTGGTAGCATGAGACGGGGTCTACAACCCACACAAGTGGCTCAGGTGGTGCAGCTCATTCAGGATGGCACATCAGTGCAAGCTGTTGCAAGGTTTACTGTGTCTGTCAATGTAGCATGGAGGCTCTACCAGGAGACAGGCCAGTACATCAGGAGACATAAATGAAAAATTACCCACACTTGTATAGCGCCTCTCAGAGAAAGGACTCCAAAGCGATTTTACATGGAGGCTAGGAGGGCAACAACCCAGCAGCAGGACCGCTACCTCTACCTATGTGCAAGGAGGAACAGGAGAAGCACTGCCAGAGCCGGGAGCCAGTGCAAGTGTGTAAGTGGCATAAATGACCTCTAGCGGGCCACAAATGTGCATGTCTCTGTTCAAATGGTCAGAAACAGACTCCATGAGGATGGCAAGAGGGCCCGACATCCACAGGTGGTGAGCTTACAGCTCAACTGTGCAGGACGTTTGGCGTTTGCCAGAGAACATCAAGATAGGAAAATTCGCCACTGGCGCCCTGTGCATTTCACAGATGAAAACAGGTTCACATGGATTGCATGTGTGGCCTTTCAGATGGGAGGACGGAGCGGCGTCGCCGAGGCGATACTCCTTCAATTAGTTAAAATAAATAAAAATAAGTTGTTACACAAAGACTAATAAAAAATGACTGAAAGGACAAGCAAGTCCATTCTACAAAGGAAAGCAAGACATGTGGCAAAGGATGGTTGCACAATTTATTAAAATAAGAACAAGACCTCAGTAAAGGTATAAAATATTTACTAAAAGCAATTGATTATTAAAATTATAGACTAAAAATACCCAGGCTGAGGCTTACCAGTGGGGACCAGTCAGCTGCTGGGGTGCAAAACCCCAATAAATAAATAAAATAATAAATCAAAGGCACCACCAAACACTCGTGATCATGCATTCAGGAGTGAAGGAACCTTTGGGCACAGCACACACACCAAGATGAACCAACACCCAGAGACCTTCCAGCCACCACCTGCAGCTCCCAGCCTGTAACAAGAGTAAAACAAGTTTAGGTCTTCAAAACAATAAGTGTAAATAAACTTTCAAGTTTGTGTTGTCCTTTGCACAAGTTCATGCACACCCACACAACCACACATCCATAAGAGCACCAAGCCTTTCCACCAGGCCTTTATCAGTCCTTTATGCTGTGGTCCCGTTCCTAGCACAGCTGGAGCTTCCTAGCGGACTCAATGGCAGCTGCCCCCAAACGTGATTCAGCGCTGGAGCAGGAGTCATCATAACAGACCAGGACGATCCGGAGAGAACAGAGGGTGAACACCATCAACCATTTAGCAAGGAAATTGGTAGACTGCCCACAGGTTGGAGACCGCCATGGCTGTTCAAGACGATAACTGGGACACAATCAATTGTGGGCTGGCAGCACAGAACAGGGCAGGGTGGAGCAGGACAACCAACACAAAATCCGACTGAATGAAATCCAAACAGAACAGAGACAGAACAGCAGTGCCTCATGGTGCGCCTCTCAATTAGGCGGATTAATGACCGAGAGAACCTCCACCATGTCGCTCCAAGACATGGGCAACGCACTCATCATGGTGATGTGTTCCTTGTTTGGCCAATATGGCCAACTGATCCTAGGAAACTGCCTCATCAGTGAGATCTCCGAGGAAAATCAAGCTCTGTATATGCACCGCCCACCTGCTGATGACCACTAATTAAAAGCAGGTGCCAGTGATCATCCTGTCACACGTGACAGAGTCTGGAAACACCATGGAGAATGTTCTGCTGCCTGCAACATCCTCCAGAATGCCCAATTTGGCAGTGGGTTAGGAATGGTGTGGGGTGGCATTTCTTTTGGGGGATGCACAGCCCTCCATGTGCTCGCCAGAGGTAGCTGACTGCCATTAGGTACCAAGATGACATTCTCAGATCCCTCCTATCGCAAGACCGTGCTAGACTTCATGTGGCTATAGTGCGTCACCAGTTCCTGCAATACGAAGGCATTGATGTTATGGACTGGCCCGCATCACCAGTTCCCCAGACCTGAATCCAACTGAACACATCTGTGACATCATGATCAGCTTGATGCACCACTGTCCAGGACATCCCTCAGGAGACTATCTGCCACCTCATCAGGAGCATGCCTAGGCATTGTAGGAAGGCCATGCAGGCTCGTGGAAGCCACACACACTATAGAGCCTCATTTTGAAGTTTCATTTTGAACATGACCTCAAATCCAGACCTCCATGGGTTGATAAATCTGATTTCCATTAACCATTTGTGTGATTTTGTTGTCAACACATTTAAATATGTAAACAAAATACTTAATAAAAATGTTTCACTCATTCAGATCTAGGATGGCTTATCTTTGAGTTCCCCTTTTTTGGGGGGGGATCAGTGTATTTCATAAATAATCAGTAAGTAGAAAGTTGCCTCATGTCAGTGTGGATTTTGCACACTGGTTGCTGGAGTTGTAAAATTAATATTTGGGATTTACCCACTTCACCCTAGCTGACCCAGGTGGTGTGAATGTAACTGATGCACGTTTTTCTTCTGATGCATGAAAAACAAGAAGGTGGGCTGTAATCTGTTAGATCAGGCCTGATCAGCTCTATAAAGCGATTTGGGAAACAATGAAATGCTCTGTTCTCTGGTTGCACACTCAGCCCTTCGAATGTGTGCAATCACTTGGGAGTTTGAGTGGGAGCAGAGGAGGCCAGGAAGCAAAGGCAAGACTATTAACAGAAGCACAAAATTGTGAATGATTAAAGATATGACTCCACACTGAGTTCACCTCATTAAAGCAGCAATCTGGAGTTTTCCCACTTTCAGCAATTTTGCATGACTTTTTTTTTAAATGCATAAAAGTGATTGCCTAGAAATCTAGACAGACAGCAGCAGAAGCTGAATGATTTTGCTCTGCATGTCAGTCTAGCCACGCTCCACTGGAACCTCAACAGCCCAGACCATAATTGTAGCTTGTCAATCACAGGGCTGTCGGTTTGGTGGGTGGGAAGTTACTGTGGCCGAGCAAAACTAAGATGGTGAAGGCTCGTTTAAAACGGCTTTGGCATCAAAACTGGACTGTTTTTACTTGGCCTTTTGAGTCAAGAGCAGATAGAGGAACTTCTTACGTCCTTTTATAAAAAGATGTATTTGCATCTTCTTCAATGGCGTATGGTGAAATGCCCTGTTGATGACGGACATCCAAAGCGGTGAGAACATCACGTTTGTTGTATAATAGCATGCGGAGACAGTTTGAAAGACAACCAGCATGACCACTACCAGGTGTTAATTTTAAAATAAGCTCATTTAGTTACGTGGGTTGTGACCAGACTATATTCACATATATAGTTAGCCAGGCTATAAAAGTGAGTCGGACTCTGTCATATTGTAGGCAACATAGAAAATTTTGTTTTTGCTACGGCTAACCCTTATCCCATAGAGACCATGCAATTTCAACTGAGTGCTGTTCAGGATTAGCGTTATGCATTGATTTGTGTGTGTTTACCTTTTTAATAAAAGGAGTTAAAGTAGCAGAGTATAAGTATTGTGAAATATTTTTTACTTTACTATTACTCTTCACATCTGGAGTGAACAGAGATTAAACTAAAATTAATTCAAAAAGTCCAAAAACTTTACACTTGGGCCAAACTTAGTGAATTATTTGCAATGTTTTATTTCACCAAAAGTCGTGTATAGAGTCCAGCTGAGAACATGAACTTGTCTCCCTCTGCTGGCAGTGACACAAACAAAGGCTCACGATCAGTTCAATTAACAGGTTTAAAAGAAACTAAAACACCGGTTAAAGGCTTTGAGGTGGTGAACTTTTACACAAGCTTCAAAAGGTTCTGCTCAGCACATTCAAATATTACTGCTGTAGATTTTCAAAAACAAATAAGCCTCTAAACATTTCAAAAGCACCGACTATCTTTTCAGACTAGCCAACTCTTAAAAGCACTCCAAAACTCACATTTACAGAAAACGGCAGCTTAAAGTGTTTCAGAGTCTTTGCCATCAGTTTGGTTTAGAATGCCAAACATCTTAAAAGCAAGGAGGTAATGTGCACCATGTTTAACTCACAAAATGTTTTCATTTAAGTTATTAAATAATTTTCCTCTTCAGAGGGACAAGGTCGATAAACTTGTCTCGCTTACTAACTATTAAATTGTTTTTTTTATTCACATAATGGTACCCTCTAACATGAATGAATGCTTTTCACTGGCTTTCTGTCACAACCTCCTCTGGCCAGTACTCGTCCTGCATGTAGTGGTTTGACGAGGCAAAGCTCGGCTCACATGGAGCTTCGTCATCTCTCAGCTTCCTCTGCAGCTCCTGCTCCCACTCGCCCTCCACCAGCTTGTAGAGATCGAGGGCAGCTTGGGCATCCTCCACTGAACAGTGACCTTTCCTCCCAGCCTGAGCAGAAGAACACACGGACCAAACCGTTAACAAAAATCACCCAGGTCATTCTGTTTGCAGACACCAAATATTTTTATCTACTCTCAGACAGTAATGGGGGTATAAATGGTCTATGGTAAAAACTTGTATAAATTCAGCCTACGATAGAGGTTTTTACTTACCGACCTACTACATAGTAATATGAATTTAAACCTATATGCATTTAAAAAACGATGCAAGTCTTTTTAGGGCATTACTTGGGGTTTCTGGTGCGCATGTAAACGCACTGAGTGGTAGAGTCACATTTTTGTTAGTCAATTAGAGGTGAGATGTCTAAATATGAAGAAGTAATACTCCACGTCCTGCCGTCTGAAGCTCTCCTTTGATCCAGCAATCTTCTAGATCGTGAAACAAGTGCACCAGGGCTTTTTGTACCCAGAGAACAATTTACAAGGCATTCATTAGAGACCACCGCAAATGTACTGATTTAACGAGTGTACCACACCATTAAAATAAGCCTTTTGTTTATGCAAAACAGTTTTAAAGTGACAATATGTAGTTTACCATTAATCTCTGGAAATATCCTTTGAAATGTTGTTGTAAATAAATAAAATGATGCCCAGTTGTTGAAAAATATTGGCAGTTTCATAACGTATAACCATTAATATCGGGTCTAAAATACATGGGAGCGGGTCTAAGGGTGTTTCTCAATGCCAAGGAACCTTGCCTCAATGTCTTGGCCCCACCCCGGTTGCCTAGGAGATACTCATCGGGAGTAGGGCTGCACAATATATCGAAAATTTATCGTCATCGCGATAACAGGACGTGCGATAGGCCCATCGCAAAACACGTCAAAAACGGCGATAAATGTTTGGTTTGAACATTTCCATCCGTGTCATACATCAACTTTTTGTAGACCAGCTGTCTTTTACGCGGAAGCATTATTTGACCAATCAAATGTAGCCCCTCTGATATGCGGCCAATCAGATGGGTCCATTCACGTAATACGCCCGCCCCCTACGTAGACCCTTACCCCAAAATTCCACAATCTCCGCTCCGCCCCCGCTTTCCGCTGCCACTCGCTTCCCTTGCTCGTCATGCTGACTCAGATTAACGAACGCACTTTGTGCTGAGGTTTCTGGAATCCGCGCTGCTTTCAAACATGAACGTGAACCCACTCGGTGTCGTTAAGCAGCTGATAGTAACCGGGCTGACTCCGACACATGCCGGTGAACCAACCCACCCACCTTCATGTTGCTAGTGTTCCACCAGGTGGTGATGTTAGCCCCAGGCTCTGGTTAGCTTCCAGCTTAAAGGCTACAGCACTCTCCTCCCAGTCCCACCCTGCTAAAGAGGGCATGGAAAAGTCCCCCCACACATCAAAGTGATTTTTCATTTATGAGCTTTTATAACCTTGTTAATCAGGATAGTTGATTTGCTGCTGCACATAAACTGTCAGTCAGAAGCTCTGCTAGCCGGTTATCTCAAGAGGAGCTAGTTCAATTTGTTAGCTTGTTATCAGAATCATAGTTGCAGTTTCATCATCTGAGCTGCTTTTTAAGATCTAGGTAAACTTGTTCAATTTGGGGTTAAAAACAAACGTTTTCACATATTTTCCATGTAGTTTTTTTGCCAGTTCCTCTTCTGAAAGGTAGACAATTGTTTTTCTCTTTCCCTCAGAAAATCTTAATATTCTCCTAGTTTGGCCCAGCACAGTTCACTTCCCAATTGCAGCAACAGCCTTCTATCATAACCACATAAGTGGAGAAAATGTTCAGTAGCAATGAGAGAATTTGCTGTTGCATTTAAGTGATGTTAACTATTATTTAACATTTAAACTTATTTTCTGATTTTTTTTTTCCATTTATTCAAAAACCCTGGTAAGGGATGTTTTTCTGTATTTGGAGCATCAGAAAAAGTTTTATGGTGGAGGTGATGTTTTACAGTCACTGAGAAACTGCATGCATGCAGTTTGTTGTTTTGCTGCTAATACAGTAGCAGGTGCAGCTGCATATTTTTGCAATAAAAATGTTATGTTGTAATGGAATTCATGCATTAGTTTTTGTTTGCTTTGAACCCAAAGCAGACGCCACACTCCAGACGACATCAACACTGCATACTTTAGTATTTGTTCATTTATCGTGAGTAATATCGATATCGCAATATTAAGTACTGTTATCGAATATCGCAGGTTTTCCTAATATCGTGCAGCCCTAATCGGGAGCCACCAAGACGTGTTCCAATGTTCATGTTCTACCGAGGCGAGTGTTCTCCGTTTGTTAGCCGTTTCGCTAGCTGAGCAAGGATACACAGGAGGTGTCTTGTAGCCTAGCCTTTGTCAAAAATTACCCAGAATACACCACTGTATTTTCAAAAGGATGGCGGATCAGAAGCCGGCAGCTACTACGGGGACAAATGTCAAGTTTAAAAGTAAGTCAACTAATTTTAAATGATTTTTTTTAATCCAAAGAAGTTATTTATTGTTGGTTACTTGCTTATTAGTTGCAGCTTCGGTGGCTAGCAGGTAGTAACTCATTTATAGTTTTAATAAACATATACACAACTCGTTATATATTTATATTGAAACTTAAACATATAGAATATCTCCCATGTCACGTTATGTGACCGCCTTGGAAGCCGCGGTCACGTGATGCAAGTCTGTTCCATTTAACCGTTTTGTTTGACCAAGGAAGGACAGCGTCCTCATAAGTAAGGCGCCTGGCTTCGCAAGACATCGCCTCACAAGGTCAGGAGTCTTGACATTGAGAAACACCCTAAGTCTCTGTTATCATGTTTCCTTCTACGGAAGCCTGTGAGGACAAACACATTTAATGATTTGTAACAAATGGTTATAAAACTTTCAGCATTAATAATCGCTTTTAGGGATGCACGTTTACCAAAATTTCTTTAACTGGCTATTGACGCCCCTTAACGGTTAATAGCCGGTTAACTGGAAAGCTTTGGTGGGACCTTCTGCTGATTCTTCCTCACTAACTAGTTTTCATGCTGCTGTTTGTCATTTCTGTATATTTTGGGGCTACTTCTTTACATTTTCGTATTTTTATTTAAAATTATTTTATGCTTGTGTCCCAGTAATTTTCACCTGAAAAGACCGTTTACCTGTATCTTTCTGTTCAGAAGCTTACTGGACAAGATTTTTAGTGACGAGTATCGCTCACGAGGGAAACCAGCCAGTCGACTCAGAAGACGTGTTGTAAATGTGTCCCTGATCATGTGTCCAGGATGGACAATGTCCAGAGCCTCAAAGTCATTGTGGATGGAGTGACCCACAACCACTTTGCCTTCAAGTATGCTGCAGATCTGAGGGAAAGAAGCAAAATGTACAGGAGGTCAAAACTTTAATGGTACTAAAGTGTTGAAAATCTTGACTTTCCATCAACACATTCTGACCAGCAGAACTACAAAATACCCAGTGTCTGGTAATGTGTGATGGTAATGCTGTTACATTTACCAGTAACTATTATTCTAATGTGTTACTTTCTAAATAAGCTAACTCAGCACCACCTGGTGGTGAGTTGGCTCAGATGGTGGGGGAGGATGCCGTTCATAACAGGCAGGCCCAAACGTATCGCGAGGGTCTGCTGGGAACGTCTGGCAGAGTCTGCTGTCAGAAGGAGCTTCAATTCCCACCTCCGACAGAACTTCCAAAATGTTCCGGGGGAGGCGGGGGACATTGAGTTTGAATGGACCCTGTTTTGTGCCTCCATTGTTGAGGCGGCCGACCGGAGCTGTGGTCGCAGGATCGTCGGTGCCTGTCGTGGAGGCAACCCCCGAACCCGCTGGTGGACACCAGCGGTTAGGGATGCTGTCAAGCTGAAGAAAGAGTCCTATCAGATACTTTTGGCCTGTGGGACTCAAGAAGCAGCTGACGGGTACCGGCAGTCCAAGCGGAACGCGGCTCGGGTGGTTGCCAAGGCAAAATCCCGGGCATGGGAGGAGTTCGGTGAGACCATGGAGCAAGACTTCCGTACGGCTCCGAGGAGATTCTGGTCCACCATCCGGCACCTCAGAGGGGGAAAGCAGTGCGCTACCAACACTATCTATAGTGGGGACGGTGTGCTGCTGACCTCTACTCAGGACGTTGTGGATCGGTGAGCAGAATACTTCGAAGACCTCCTCAATCCCACCGACACGTCTTCCAGTGAGGAAGCAGTCTCTGGGGACTTTGGGTTGGCCTCTCAAATCTCTGGTGCTGTGGTCAGTGAGGTGGTTAAAAGCTCCTCTGTGGCAAGGCTCCAGGGGTGGATGAGATCCACCTGGAGTTCCTTAAAGCTCTAGATGTTGTGGGGCTGTGTTGGCTGACGCGGCTCTGCAATATCGCGTGGACATCTGGGGCAGTCCCACTGGATTGGCAGACCGGGGTGGTGGTCCCCTTATTTAAAAAGGGGGACCGCAGGGTGTGTTCCAACTAGGGATGGGTACCTTTGACATTTGAATCGATTCGGTACTAATTCCTGGTACCTACGAATCGATACCGGTACTTAACGGTACCAATTTTCGATACTTTTGAGTGTTTAATATTTTAATTATCTTTTATAATTAGATATATATTTTTCTCAATTTATAACCATATTTGATAAATATCACGATAAATAACATACAACTGTTTGTATTTTAACATTGTCCTTGTAGTTTTATAAGCTGATAATTAAACTGAAGCAAACATCTTTAATGTGAACTAAATTTACTGTGCATCTTCATTCCTTTTACCGTCCTTTTTCAATTGATTTTTCCTACTGGGAAGATAGAATTTCCGAGGAGAAAGCGAACGCACCATTAGCTGATAACAACGGTGGCATAGGAAGCTAACATATCAAGCTACGTTATCTTAAAAAGTTTATTTAACTGCTGGATCAGATTTAAACGATGATGCCTCACACTTAAATCGTCGTCACTGGTTTCATCTTCACCCAATCACCCGTCGCATTTAGTAAAGTGAAGCCAAACTTTAGTGCGCGTTCATGTTCTTCTAGCCGGAATTTCGGAGTTCCGAGGAGAAAGCGAACGCATCATTAGTGAAACGGAAGCTAACAAATCAAGCTAACGTTATCTTACATTTTATTTACCTACCGGAGCAGATTAAGATGAGGATGTCTCACTTAGATCGTTGTCGCTGGTTTCATCATCACCCAGTTACCCATCACATTTAGTGAAGTGGACCCAAGCTTTAGCGTTCGTTCTTTCTACCCATGCTGCTCTGTTTACAACTCGCTCACAGCGGCCGATGACATAACGCTCTTGCGCATGCGCAGCTGTCTAGGCAAGTTCTCGTTGTGAAGGACGGGTACCGAAACGAGGCACCGTTTCAAATGAAGTGAATCGGTGCTCGGTCGGTACTGTGGAATTTGGTCGGTACCTTAAAAAGTACCAAATTCGGTACCCATCCCTAGTTCCAACTACAGCGGGATCACACTCCTGAGCCTTCCTGGTAAGGTCTATTCAGGGGTTCTGGAGAGGAGGGTCCGTCGGATTGTTGAACCTATGATTCAGGAGGAGCAATGTGGTTTTCGTCCTGGCCGTGGAACACTGGACCAGCTCTATACCCTTAGGGGGATCCTGGAGGGTGCGTGGGAATTTGCCCAACCAGTTTACATGTGTTTTGTGGATTTGGAGAAGGCGTTTGACCGTGTCCCTCGAGGGGCCCTGTGGGGGGTACTCTGGGAGTATGGGGTACCAGGCCCTCTGATACGGGCTGTTAGGTCCCTGTATGACCGGTGTCAGAGCTTGGTCCGCATTGCCAGCAGTAAGTCGGGCTCGTTCCCAGTGAGAGTTGGACTCCGCCAAGGCTGCCCTTTATCACTGATTCTGTTCATAACCTTTATGGACAGGATTTCAAGGCGCAGCCAAGGTGTGGAGGGCATCCGTTTTGGTGGCCTGAGGATCAGGTCTCTGCTTTTTGCAGATGATGTGGTCCTGTTGGCTTCATCAGAACGTGATCTTCAGCTTTCGCTGGAGTGGTTTGCAGCCGAGCGTGAAGCAGCTGGGATGAGAATCAGCTCCTCTAAATCTGAGAACATGGTCTTGATTCGGAAAAGGGTAGAATGCCTCCTCCGGGTCAGGGATGAGGTCCTGCCCCAAGTGGAGGAGTTTAAGTATCTCGGGGTCTTGTTCACGAGTGAGGGAAAACTGGAGCGTGAGATCGATAGGCAGATTGGTGCTGCATCTGCAGTGATGCGGGCGTTGTAACGGTCTGTCGTGGTGAAGAGAGTCTCGAGTCAGAAGGCGAAGCTCTCGATTTACCAGTCGATCTACGTTCCTACCCTCACCTATGGTCATGAGCTTTAGGTAGTGACCGATAGAACAAGATCGTGGATACAAGCGGCCGAAATTAGTTTTCTTTGAAGAGTGGCTGGGCTCGTCTTTAGAGATAGGGTGAGAAGCTCAGTTATTCGGGAGGGGCTCGGAGCAGACCCGCTGCTCCTCCAGATTGAGAGGAGCCAGTTGAGGTGGCTTGGGCATCTGGTCAGGATGCCTCCCTGGTGAGGTTTTCCGGGCACGTCCAACCGGGAAGAGACCTAAAGGTAGACCCAGGACACGGTGGAGGGACTATGTCTCTCACCTGGCAAGGGAACGCCTTGGGATTCCCCCGGAGGAGCTGGCCCAAGTGGCTGGGGAAAGGGAAGTCTGGGCCTCTCGCCTTAGGCTACTGGCCCCGCGACCCAACTCAAGATAAGTGGATGAAAATGGATGGATGGACAGTTACCCTGGAGCAGGGGTGGACATTGGTACCCCGTTTTAGTGGTTTCTCTGATTCAACACACTTGATTCACCTGTGCAAGAGCTCATCGGGCACTGCAGAAGCCTATTAATCACCTGCTGATTGAAATCAGGTGTGCTGAAACAGAGTTAAAACTAAAACGTGCTGATATTGAGGCGACGGTGGCACAGGAGTTAAGTGCTCGACCCGTAATCGGAAGGTTGCGGGTTTGAGCTCAGTGTGTCGCTGTTGTTGTGTCCTTGGGCAAGACACTTAACCCACATTGCCTGCTGGTGGTGGTCGGAGGGACCTGTGGCGCCAGTGCTCGGCAGCCTCGCCTCTGTCAGTGCATCCCAGGGCAGCTGTGGCTACATCGTAGCTCATTCCCACCAGTGTGTGAATGTGTGTGTGAATGGGTGATTGTGTTGTAAAGCACCTTGGAGGGTTCCAGGACTCTAGAAGGCGCTATATCAAATACAGGCCATTTACCATTTTGGACCCCCAGGCCTGGAATCGAATACCCCAGCCCTAAATTTTGTCCAGACATTTAAGGGGCTGGACCAGAGGAAACATGATGGCAACAAGCATTTCACTCATGCCAAGTGAATTTCACTCTGCCTTTTAAGACAAGGGTGTGTTCCCAACAGGCTTGCCTTTAAACCTGCCGAGTACATTTCATGCTTTGTCAGCAAAACGCTAGCTACCGAAACATGCTTCCTTTTTGCAAAATAAAGTTGTTTTTTTTTTCCCCAAATAACTGCACTTATATGCTGTGGCATGTTTCGGTTGCCATTTTCTCTGTGTGAAAGAAAAATTACCTGCAGATCAGCTTAACATAGAAGTGATTCAGACCAGAGGAACTAGACTACAGGTGTTGAAACACTCCATGTTAATGTGAGGCCACTAGCTCTTAAAAATGTGAACACTGTGGTGTTTGTTATTTCTTAAAGTTGGCTTGAGCAACAGCTGGGTGCCCCAAAGCCTTTATATGGATATGACTAATCTCAGATGCTTTTTAAGGCATACTGGGCGTTTACCCATTTGTACAAATCTGTACCAGTTCTGTAGAAATAGGCTACATGCCACATACCCCCGGTTTGATGGCTAAAAGGTCAGCATGTGTAAAACCAGGGGCCTCATGTATCAACTACACTCATGCAAAGATCTGTGCGTCTTAACGTGCGTAGGAACTGGTGGAGCCATTAGCCACAGAGGGCGCTCTTGCCAGAAAAGGGTTCAAAGGATGTGCAATTACAGTTAAGGTGTGGGGAACAGAGACAAACATTTTTTGACTGTGCTCATGTTTGTGCTTTATATAAAACTGTTCTTTTTTTAATTTCCTATTACTTCAACTTTCTGGACAATAAATGGATTGGCATATCCAACTAAAACTTTGAACATTTTGGATTCATTTTATTTATTTATTTATTATTTTTGGACTGCAATAAACCAAATACCATCCAGCAACCTGGGTACGCATTCATCAAGCTAGTTCACCACCACAGGAACTATTTTATGCATTGTGTGGTATGCATTGTGTGGTATTCATCCATTCGTACCCGTACATGGAAATGTTCCTAAACATAAGAAAACGTCAGAGCATGAGTAGGAACAGCATCTAGTGGTAGAATGGGGGAACCGCAACACCAAAGGTTTCAGTCATCCACACAAGTTCCTCATCCACAGATAATTTTACCCATTAAATAATTTTGGTGGAAAAACAGCCGAGTCACATAATTGGTGCTACAACACCCAACGGGAATCTGACATTGTAGAATGGTTGTCGTGTTTTTGTAATCACAACTTTTTCTCTTCCCATTTTTATGATGTTCTTAATCATTTTATTTAATTAATATAATTTATATTTTTTCCCTAGTTAAACACCTTGTGATTTTGCGTGAGATGCATTAGATATGATTGTTTCTTATTAATATTATTAAAGTGACAATGTGTAGTTTTTACCATTAAGTTCTGGAAATATCCATCAAAATGACGTAAATTAAATAAAGATGCCCAGTTGTTGAAAATTTTTGGCAGTTTCATAACATAACTATAAAAATCAGTTCTAAAATACATGGGAGCGGGTCTAAAGGTGTTTCAATGCCAAGGAACCTCGCCTTGATGTCTTGGTCCCGCCCTGGTTGCCTAGGAGATACGTCATCAGGAACCACCAAGACGTGTTCCAATGTTCATGCTCTACCAAGGCATGTGTTCTCAGTTTGTTAGCCGTTTACCTAGCTGAGCAAGGATACATGGGAGGTGTCTTGTAGCCTAGCCTTAAGGCTGGGTGATGTGGCCTAAAATCAATATCACGATGCATTGAGGATTTCACCTCGATAATGATAAATGGACGATAACTACAGGTATGTGCAGAAACAAAAGTTGTCCACTAGATGGGGCTGTCACATGTATTACGTTGAGTCACATTTTTTACGTGACTCAAGGTGGTACAGCTTCTTAAAGGGACATGAACGTTGCCAACCAACACACATCTTTTAATTTTTTTATTATCAGATTAATTGACATGGGAAAAATTGTCACGATGAGTCAGAAATTTCGATAATGATACATTTTCGATATATTGCCCAGCCCTACCTAGCTTTGGTCAAAAATTTCCCAGAATACTGCTCGGTATTTTCTTGAGAATGGCGGATCAGGAGCTGGCAGCTACTTCTGTGGCAAATTTAAAAGTAAGTCAACTAATTTAAAATGTTTTTTTTTTTAGATCCAAATAAGTTATCTACGGTTGGTTAGTTGCTTAGTAGTTGCAGCTTCGGTGGTTAGCAGCTAGTAACTTGTTTATATATTTAACAAATATATACACTATTTAATATTTATATTGAATGTACCACATAAAATATAACGTTATCTCCCATGTCACGTGACGTTAAGTGACTGCCGCAGAAGCTGCGGCCTCGTGATGTAAGTCTGTTCCATTTAAGCGTTTTCTTTGACCAAGGAAGGACAGTGTCCTCATAAGCAAGGCGCCTGGCCTCGCAAGACATCGCCTCGCACGGTCAGGCATCTTGACATTGAGAAACACCTTAAGTCTCTGGGCGACACCATATTGGATGCCATGTTTCCTTCTAAGGAAGCCCATGAGGACAAAACACATTGTCCTCAATAGGGTTGTCACTGTAACCGGTGTAGCAGCAAACCCAGGTAAAAAAGTTGACAATAATAATAACTGTCGTTTTAAAAAAAAATATATTATCTTGGTGAATTACCGTGGCTGCGGTGTAGGCGCAGTGACCCTTACCAGCCACCGTATCATCTGCTGAAGTTGCCGGCGGCACATGCGCACTTTTTTATTTGCCGTTTACAACCAAAACTTTCTTGAAGCTAAAGCTGAAATAATGGCCAAAGGAGGAGACGGCAGCGCTCGGGACATTTTTTATCCCTCAAAGAAGACAAAGTGGGATATTTGAAGAATGCCGAGGGACAGCTGATAGAAGACGGCTATCCTGTTTGCAGCACGTGCAGAAAAAGTGTCTGTGAAAGGCAGCAATGCTTCAAATCTCATGACACATCTGCGTGACCATCACCCACAACTCTACAGTCAACGCAACGCAAGCTAACGTTAGCGTTTTAGCTAAAATGCGTGATCCGAGGATTTGGGTGGAGGGAGAATGCAACGAGTCGCTATATAAAGCAGCCGCAGCGCCGCTACCTGCATATAAACCGTGTCACGGACATCCCCATGTTGAAATGACGCTATGCATTACGGGGCTCCCAGGGGCAGATAAGAGTTGGTCTCTCTCCGAGAATAATTATGAATTTAACAATGATTACTGCCTGATGACATTTTCCCAAATCTGCAAAGCTCACTGGAAGGACACAAACCGAGGACAATATTTTCCTGATATAGGGTTTATTACTCAAGTAATCAATCAATTTCCCTCTGGGATTAATAAAGTATTTTTGAATTAAATTGTAAAGGCTTGAGTACTGAGTATCATCTGATCTAATATTTTTAAAATAACATGACAAAAAATAAGTAGTTATGGGTAAATATTGGTATTTTAAAGACTAAAGGGGAAAAATGTAAACAAGTAAACAACATAATTACAAAATAACAAATTTTAGGCAACATTTAGACACAAACTGAGGGCAATATTTTCCTGATATACAGGGTTCGTTTAGTTGTCTGAAAATGTAACACGTTTAAGAAAATACCGCGATAATACCGAAAACCATGATAATTTTGGTCACAATAACTGTGAGGTTAAATTTTCACACCGTGACAACCCTAATCCTCAACACTGACAGGAGATCAGTCTGGAGCTGTGCTGAGATTTGGGACCTATTGTGGTGCGACAGATGAACCACACACAAATCCGATACCAGTCCATATTCCATTTTAAACTACGAGAACCCTCCAGAACCTCCGCTGCTCCCCAATCTCACACTCGTTGTCAAGGTAACCAGAGTGAGTGACAGCCCAGAAGCTGCACTCTCGAGCAATATTTCCAAAAAAAAAACTAACTTCATCCAGAACGACTCCTTCAATGTCAAAAGTAAATGACAACCAGTTACTCTACGATTTATCACATTAAAGTTTATTCCTGATGGGAACCTCTCCTCTGTCCCGACTGCGTTTATAACCTCTGCAACTTGTTTGGTTGATTTGCAAATCAGCAGTCTCACAATCTCGCAACAAAGTTTTCTTTTTTTCAGGTAGAATGCAGGGAATCCCCTCACATGCTGAGGATGTAGTGACCAAATACGGTTTACGGACACGAGCACCTGGGTATGCACAGGTGGGATTTATCACCAGACAAATGCGGAGGAACGCGAGTACGAGAGGCCTACGCATGTTTCATAAATCCGGATTTTGACCATTCATACGAACTAGGGCTGGGCGATGTGGCCTAAAATCAGTATCATGATATATTGAGGATTTCACCTAGATAACGATGGACGATAACTACAGGTATGCGCAGAAACTAAAGTTGTCCACTACATGGGGCTGTCACATGTATTACGTTGAGTCACATTTTTACGTGACTCAAGGTGATACAGCTTCTTAAAGGGACATGAACGTTGCCAACCTACACCTTTTAATTTTTTTTATTATCAGATTTATTGACATGAGAAAAATTATCTTGATAAGTCAGAAATTTTGATAACGATATATTTTCAATTAATTGCCCAGCCTTAGTAAAAACATTCTAAATCTCGTTCATAGGAGAAAAAAAAATAAAGGGGGGGGGGGGGGGGGTATTTCTACAAATGTTTAATGAATGAGGCCCCAGGGATTTGTGGTACATAGCCACATTTCTGAAATTTGAGACCTTAGAAATATCCCTCAAAAGCTCCTGTGACACTTTAAGACTTCTGCTTTTGAAAATAATGATAAGTCAGTGTAATGTGGCTTAAAAAGGACAAATGTACATTTTCAGATTCTGATGCAACAGTAATGACGGCTTTACCTCCTCTCTGGCCTGATAGAATGGTGTGGCGTTTTGGAGATGATGCCTTTGTATGCCGCTCCAGCGGGTTCTGAAATCTGTGACAGGCTGACATGGTTTGATGTATTTGTCATACAGGACGTTACCATGATAGTTCAGGATGCTGCAGCGAGCCAGCTCGTTGCATCGCCCGCCGGGCCCTGTCCCCACCATCTCACAGTCCAAAGCAACCACAGAGGTTGAACACGAGCTGAGACATGGTGAACTCCGACCGCTGGGTGGAGGACTGGTTTCTGAGGAGAAACCACTATCCACCTCCCACTGGTCTCGGAGGGCTGATATTAGACTATCTTGGTCAAAGACAGACGAGTCTTCATGTTTTGTTACATCAACACTTTTGTTTTCCGAGTTCAACGTGTCGCTGATTTTAGCCTTCTTTATGGATGTATTCATATTCAGGGATTCATCCCAGGTGCCGCTTCTTTTGGTTTTTCTCTTGGGAACAAGCACCTTCTGTTGGGGTTTCTTCCTGAACATTTCATTCTCCATTGCGTTTATCCGAATAGACTTCTTGTATAAATATCTGTAGTTATTGAGGAGCCCCGTGGAGGAGGCCTTCTTATTCCTGTTTGACACCTCTGCCATTATCACATGATGGAGCTGCTGTTCTTTTATACCTAAGGAGATAAAAGAACAAAAAGGATAAAATGTATTATTCTCTTTAGTCAGACTGTTGTTACTTGTTCCGTTGTGTGTTGAAAACGAACAAGTTGGACATTTAATACAAACCAGTATGATGAAACTTGAGCGGTTTAAAAACATAAGGCAGTTGGGATAAACTAGTTTCAGCTCCAATAAAAAAATTATTTCGCAGTAACAACGCGGCTTGAGGCTTCCAGGCCTTGTGACGAGTTTTTAAAAGGATAAACACACAAAACTACCAACTAGATAAACTAAACCTAAGCCGTACTGACTACTGGCCTCTAAAGATTTAAATAAAGCCAAAATTGTAATTATCTTACTTTATTTCCTTGTTCTATTCCACAGTTAACCACAACTATTGCTTATCTCAATGTAGTTTGGCAGTGCGGTGCGAAAAACGCAGTTCACCGCGGAAAAAACGCGTCAGATAGAAATTCACGTGCAAAAAACATTAATAGTTGCTGTCACAATACTTAAGAGTTACTTCAGAATGTTAATAATTAAATATGAGACATAAGGAATTTAAAAAGCACAGACCTTCATCAGCAGCACGTGTACAGAGATGAGAACATATCCGGCGAAGACCCATGTAGCTTCAATGTGATTGGCTGGTTCTCTTCTTCGCTTACTGCTGCACTGCTGATGAATACTTGCGCCGTCTAGCGACAGAAAGCGCTCCTTCATGTACTCACCATTTGATTTGGGAAGAATAAAGTATTTTATAGCGTTTCTAAGATAAAAATCACAAGGAGCTGAACAAGCACAAAAAAATAAAATAAAGCAAACAAGGTAGATCAAAATATAGAGAATTAAACAGCTGGAAAAGACAAGACAGCTTCATTTATTGCACATTTCATACACAGAAGCCATTCAATGTGCTTTACAGGTGTGAGATCAGCATGACTCCTCTGGGACAGCATAAAATGGCAGATTATAAAATCAAAGTTCAAAATACAAAAATTAAATTTGATGTAAGAAATACAATTTTTAAAAAGGCACAGTTGAAGGGTGAGCAGTTACAGTGCGGAAGGAGCAGCACAAGAAACATCCATTCAAAGGCTGATGAATATATGACAGTTTTCAATTTTGATTTAAAAGTTTAGAGTTGGGGCACATTTGAGGTCATGAGGAAGCTGATTCCATCTGTTTGCAGTAGAGTAGCTAAAAGCAGCTTCACCCTGTTTGGTTCTGACCCGTGGTTGTACAAGCTGACTGCTTCCTAAGGATCTCAGAGCCCTGCTGGGTGTATATACCTGAAGGAGATCCGACATGTATTCTGGTCCTGTGCCACTGAGTGATTTATAAACTAGTAGAAGCACTTTGAAATAAATTCTGTTGTTCACTGCCTGGTGACTAGTGTAGAGATTTAAGAACAGGAGTGATGTGTTCAGTTCTCTTGGTTCTTGTTAAGAGTCTAGCAGAAGCATTCTGAACAAGCTGAAGTTGCTTTAAAGCTTTTTTTGGGAAGACCAGACAAAAGACCATTGCAATAATGCAGCCTGCTGGAGATGAACACATGAATGAGTTTATCCAGGTCCTGTCTGGACATGAGACCTGAGTCTTGCTATTAGATTAAAATGATAAAACGCTGATCTAGTTATAGCCTTACTGTGACCAGTGAAGCTCAGGTCTGAATCAGTTACACCAAGATTTCTAGCCTGGGTCTTTGTCTTTATTCCTCTGGAGCAAAGTTGTGCAATAACCTCCATCCTGTCCTTCCTATTTTCAAAGACAATAACTTCAGTCCTGTCTTTGTTTAACTGGAGGAAGTTTGATTGCATCCAATCATCAACTTCCTCCAAACACTGACAAAGTAAGTCTAGGGGGTCACTAGGTGAGAGACCTGGATAGGCCTCTGTGTCATCTGCAAAACTAGGATAGGTAATGTTGTTATTGTTTATGGCCTGACCCAGGGGGAGCATGGAGAGATTGAAGAGCAGTGGTCCAAGAATTGAGCCTTGAGGGACCCCACATGTCATGACCAGCTTTGATTTGTGACCACCAAGAGAGATAACATAACCCCTCTTTGAGATGTGATCAGAAGCAACTATGGATTGTACTTGAAAGTCCCACCCCTCCTATCAAGAAGGATTTTGTGGTCCAAAGTATCAAAAGCTGCACTGAGATCGAGCATCACCAGGACAGATGTTTTGCCTGCATCTGTTCTTAAACAAATATCATTCAATACTTTAAGTGCAGTTTCAGTGCTGTGGTGTCGTTTAAAGCCTGACTGGAGTTTAGCAGGTTTTTTGTCTTGAGAAAGTTGTTCAGCTGGATCATAACAGCTTTTTCAATAATTTTCCCAATGAAAGGGAGATTAGAGATTGGTCTGCAATTATTCATCACTAAGGGATCCAATTTTCTTTAGAATTGGCTTAACAGCAGCAGTTTTCAGTGATTTAGGAAAAATACCTGACATTAGGGAACAGTTAATTGCCAGTAAATCAGCTTTTAAGCAACCAAAAACACTTTAAAAGTTAACTGGCAGGACATTCAGACAGCAGGCAGATAAGTTTAAGGCCTTAACTATGTTCTCCAGCATTTTAGCACTAGTCACACCGAAAGCTGGCATTCTAGTCAGATTCCTGCTGTGGTCTGGTGTTGGGTTGACATGGAGGAACAAATGGTTGAACTAGGTTTATGATTCTCACTGAAACAGGATGCACTCATTAGACTTAGTTTGGGATAGGAGTTAGCCTCGACAGTACCTCGACAGTAGCAAACAGAACACAGGAATTGCTCATCGTTTCTAATGAAAAGATAAGCAAGCAGTGAATATTTTATTGTTCCTATTCTAAAACACTTTGACAGAAAAAAAAAATCCAGAACACACTTGGTAGACTGTTTCTCAGCTGGCCAGGGAACACCTTGGGATTCCCCAGATCTGGGCCAAGTAGCTGGGGAGAGGGAAGTCTGGGCTTCTCTGCTTAGGCTGCTACCCCCGGGACCCGACCCCAGATAAGTGGACAAATGGATGGATGAATTTCATTTTTTAACAAGTGTCAGACAATTATACTTTTAGCTTAATGAATTCCCTCCCACAAAAAGATAAAACTAAAACAAAATCAAACGGGTCCTTTACATTTTGTGGGCCTTTTTATTTCACAATCTTTCCAAATGTACAAAAACAAAAACCAGTTACAAATAAGGAAAATTGTTAGCCCCCATGATGGCAACAAAAACCAAACAAAGTGCATCAGCCTGACACAAAACAGACAGACCAGAGAAATAGAAATCTCAATTACCGGTTTTTAAAAGCTGTCCCTCTTCCCAAACAAATTTTCTATTGTTTTAAAACATCTGGCAGACCCTGGCCACCACCTTCCACAGTATCCAGAGCAGCAGGGCACCTAAAAGATGGCTGCCTCTTTTGGACTTTGCATTTCAGAGCAGTAAGAGTGGAATATAATTTAGTTCTTTTCCTTCCCCAATCCTCCTCTTGGCGCTGTGATGGGGTGGGTATCGAGTTCTTGTTTAGAGGTTTTATAGCTCCGACTTGTCATCCTTCTTCTTTTTCTTCTTGGACTCCTCCTGCATTACCAAGGGGTTGGAGGCCTCTCTCTTCAGGTAGGAGATGAAGTCGCTCACTTCCCGTCCACCCTGTAGAAGGAGCAATAGAACGCGATAATGAAAGCGCACATGAATCGAGTTTAGTGGCATGAACAAGAACTGGAACTCGCCTCGTATTTCTTTGGGCTCATCTTCTGTCCGGCTGGAGAAAAGTAGATTGTGGGAAATCTGACAGAAAGTTGGGAACAGAAAAGAGTTTAGTGACATTTCACACCAAATTTTAAAGACCCACTCTAATAATCTTTTGTAGCCATTTTAAATAGTTCCCAGTAGTCTAAAACTAAGATAATGCTGTTTTTATCCAAAATCACAAAACCTGTGCTTAGTTTCTACATTGTGGTATTAGCCAATTAAAAATCCACCTCTGGATTGTGGGCGGAGCCAAGGACAGGGACACTAATAAGGCACCTGACTTACAAGCAGGGGACTCAGGTTTTGAATCCAGGCTGGACCAGATTTCTTCAATTTAGAAATTGCACACAAGCCGGTCAGCACAGACAAAGCAGCGCTGTGGAGGAGCGTGAAGCTCAGAGCGGGTGAATGACTTCTAAGCAACAATCCGGACGGCTGAGATCATCTTCAGGAAATGCGTTTATTTATTTTTTAAACCCAGAATGAACAGACCATTTTTTTCATAGCTTAGAAGTCATCTACCCGCCCTGAGCTCCTCCTTCATGCCACCTGTCCGATAGTTACAAAATGAAAGCTGAACCGACGTTTTCATGCTGTGATTTCCACATCTTTTGCCGAGTCTCATTTGGACGTTTATTAAAATGTAGGTGTCTTATTACTGTAGTAATATATTGCTGTAAAAACATTAAAAACTACTTTGACAACTAGGGATGGGTACCTTTGACATTTGAATCGATTCGGTACTAATTCCCGGTACCTAGGAATCGATACCGGTACTTAACGGTACCAATTTGATACTTTTGAGTGTTTATTATTTTAATTCTCTTTTATAATTAAATACCGTAAATCCTCTAATACAGGCCCGGGCCTGTATTTGACTCAAGCTCATCAAGCTCCAGGCCTTTATTGGAAGGAGGGCCAGTATTAGAGACAGGCCTCTATTTCTATTTGAGCCAAATGAACTAATGGTTCACTGGAGTTTTTGACAATTAAAAGTGCGCCCACATTTTCAAAGTTAAACACAATTCTTTTAAAAACGGTAGTTTCCGCTTCAGCCCTCTCCCCCCTCCCCCTGCGCAGTGGCTGCAAACTCACTGATGCGCCTGCAGCCACTCGGAGTTCCTGCTGCTCTAAACATTAAAATAATTATTTCAGTTTCTGTTCCTCACTTCTGATTACCTTCAATGGTGTCTGTTTGTTGCAACACCAGGTACAAAAACTAACTTGTTTTTATTTGACTATTTTTCTGTCCTGTCTGTTTATTATCTTCCTGCATCTCCTCTCGATCCTAAAGAGAAACTGCTGCCTGGGTTCATATATATTCACCTTATGAGTTACCTTTGAACTGCAGTTCTAAAAGATCTACCGACCGCTAAAACAGCGGAGCGCTTGCTGTTTGGCGGCCGTATCAGTGATCAGTGCGTCGGAGGACAAGGTGATGCCCGCAGCGCCCCGCTCCACAGCATGCAGCGAAACGCATCAGGCGCAAATAAAAGACAGAAAGCATTAAAGGAAATGAACCGACATGAACGATCGCGTGTTAAATTAGTTTTTGAGGTGGCGACACCTGATTGTTACTGTGGCCGTGCTCAGGAGGCAGATCTACCGACCGCGAAAACAGCTGAGCGCTCCCTGCTTGCCGGTCGCATCAGTGATCTGTGCGTCAGAGGACAAGTTGATGCGCCCCGCTCCACATCAGGCGCAAATAAAAGACAGAAAACATTAAAGGAAATGAACCGACATGAACGATCGCGTGTCAGTACCTACGGTCTGGCACAGCGCGTTGCTGATCACAGAGAATGTGATCATACGATAATTCAATAGGGAGCGTGGTTTCACAGACGCGGAAGTGAGAGCGTCGGTGAAACGCCGGCTGCTCTAGGAAACCCCCGAGCGTTCGAGCGTCAACGAAGTGACACGGAAATGCCGGGCTTTCCAGAAGTAAGTAAGATAACTTACTATGAGCTGATAGTTCGTTGGATTGATCGGTAGGTTGGAAACTCTGATCATGAATCTGAAGAAACGATGACTGAGTGGTGAGCTGGAAAGGCGACTTCCGTTTATAGCCGCGGTTTGTGATGTAGGTGCAACGTGGAGGGAATCCCCGCGAGGGGCATGCTGGGAGTCCCTACTTCGCGGATTTTCACCTATCGCGGCCAGGTCTGGAACACATCTACCGCGATAAACGAGGGATTACTGTAGTTCATACACCCCCTACTGCTGCTCTCCAGAGTGTTCTGCAGCATAATCAGCACGTTCTCTTTGAACTTGATAGTGTAATGACCTGGCTGGGGTTGTAAGCCAGGTGCATTCTGGGTATTGTGTTATATGTGTTTCCTATCGTTCTGCTAGTTCCTATGTGCTGATTTGCGTGTTGTGTGAGTGTTATGTAAGCCACAGGGAAGGTGATGTGTGTTCTGTGGAGCGGGTTGAATTAGCATGGTTAACTGACACCGTGACTCTGTGTGGTAGGAGCGTGATAGAGGATGGGTGTCTGTAGCGTTACAAAGCGTTGAAGAAAAAGCCTATTAAGGGTCTGCTTGAACTCCTACTGCCTCCTGCTGGTTGATTTGATGACTATAACCCAACCGCTGGAACGCTCGTACTTGCTTGTTACCACATTCCATCCGGCCACAATAAGAGGCCGGCCTTTATTTACCTCCGCTGACTCCGACACCGGCCAAAATTGGAGACCCGGCCTTTAATTGAATACCGGCCTGTATTAGAGGATTTACGGTATATATTTTTCTCAATATATAACAATATTTGATAAATATCACGATAAATAACATTCAACTGTTTGTATTTTAACATCGTCCTTGTAGTTTTATAAGCTGATAATTAAACTGAAGCAAACATCTTTACTGTGAACTAAATTTACTGTGTATCTTAATTCCTTTTGCCGTCTCTTTTCATTTGATTTTTCCTACTGGGAAGCTAGAATTTCCGAGGAGAAAGCGAACGCACCATTAGCTGATAACAATGGTGGCAATGGAAGCTAACATATCAAGCTAACGTTATCTTAAACAGTTTATTTAGCTGCTGGAGCAGATTAAAACGATGATGCCTCACACTTAGATCGTTGTCGCTGGTTTCATCTTCACCCAGTTACCCATCACATTTAGTGAAGTGGACCCAAGCTGTAGCGTGCGTTCCTTCTACCATGCTGCTCTGTTTACAACTGGCTCGCAACGACATAACGCTCTTGCGCGTGCGCAGCTGTCTTGGCAAGTTCTCGTTATGAAGGACGGGTACCGAAACGAGGCACCGTTTCAAATGAAGTGAATCGGTGCTCAGTCGGTACCTTAAAAAGTACCAAATTCGGTAGCCAAAATGTCTCGTTGGCCCGGACTTGAACTCAGGTCCTCTGCATGGAAGTCAGGTGTGTAGTTGAGGTATCTATGGGACGTTAGAATGCTGATAATACTCCTCAGAACCTGAGGGGCAGAGCGGAGTGGAGTTTGTACTCCACCAGGAGGGCTTTTGACGCCACAGACCCCGTTAGTTTTAGGCTGTGTTTTTTCATGTTACTGATTCAGCTATTTGAATGCAGAAATACTCAGAAATGCAATTTTGAGCTTAAGTTTCTTTAGGTGTGTCCTGTAGCATAAGAAAATGCCTCAAGAATGTTAAAACAGAAAAGGCATGATTTTTATGAGTGGCTCTTTAAAACTGCCCAAAAATAAAAAATAAGCACCAATGACCAGTTTTAGTAAAAATACTAATAAAACCACACATCTAAGATTTACAGAGCCTAAACGTGGTTTCACACTGGAAGCATCAGCGGCATGAAACGGCAGCAGAATAAACGGTTTACACGCGAACTTCAAAGCGGTCCGTTCCGCGCTGGCAGGGTCTTGACTGCGGAACGGCTTCCTAGCTGTACTCTTCGCTTGACGCGCGAGATCCAGAAATCCAGAGACGTCAAATGTTTGTTCATGCAATCCGCCATTAAACCACAAAGAAGAAAATCATGTTTGTTATCGCTGTTTGATGTCATATGATGTTGTTCTTCTCCACTGCCAGGGATAAAGCCATGAAAAACACACCGCTGCGCTTCTGGAACGATGCTGTGTGTAAATAAGCCGTCGGGTCACACATAAGCTCCGTATATATGAAACTGCATTGCTTCAGTACTTTTTATTTGAAAACTAACGTGGATTTTACACTGAAACCGTGTGCGATTTCCTGTCCAGCCCCATGTTGGTGCGTTGCAGCAGGTTTGAAACACTCCAAAGACTACAGTGGATTCTAGTTGAAGCTGTGACGTTCCGCGCCGCTGATGCATTCAGTGTGGAACCGGGCTAAGGGGCTGACAGCTCAGAACACCCATGACTCACCCGCTGACTTCATACGGAGATGGCACATCGTTGGCTGTAGCGTCCATCTTGGCAATAACAATGTTAGGATCGTCGGCCAGCTGCAGAAGCCAAAGATCACCGGTTATGACCAAAACATTCAGAAAACTGCAATTCCAAAATCTTTTCATGTTCTTCATCATTACAGGAACCAGAGTAAACCAACAATATAATATAAATAAAAAAACTTTCAGCATACGATAAGCCATCAGCCCCACCTTCTCTCCCAGCTCGTTGTATTTGGGCTCCAGGTTCTTGCAGTGACCGCACCACGGGGCGTAAAACTCAATCAACACGTCTTTGCTGTCATCGTTAACAATAGAGTCAAAGTTCTCCGCTACCAAAACCTGGAAATGAACAGGACACAATGCACACTTACTCAGATGACCTCAGTCTGAATTACATCGTGAGGCTTTGTTGCCTCCTCCAGTTTCAACACACACTGGCAACATTTCAGGTGCAGAACTTTCATCTTCCAGGCAGAAAACATCATGTCAGTCAGGCTAAATCCTACATCTGTTTCCCGCGTTTTGGAGATGCAGGCTAACCCTAACCCTAACCTTAACCCTAAGGCCAGGCAGGCAGCTTCCTCAGCTGAGAATGGTTTTCTAAATATTTAAGACAAAAAAGAGCTGAAATTTAACACTTAAGTGTTAAAATTCACAAGGGAACAACAAAAAAAGGATGCATCTGCTTTTCTACACAAAAGCTAATAGGAGAAAAATAAAGCATGAAAGCATAGCTGGAAAAAGTACAGTTTTTGTCTCGATTTTAATAAGTTCTAGGAAGCATACTGTTCAGAAACATGGTTTAAATATCATGTTGTTGCACAGATGGCTACTCGCGTGCTGGTTAACAGACCAGCGTACTCGGAAAGTGAAAAACCTCGAAGCCACAGATGCAACAGCAGCTGGGACTGACACTGGGAGCAGTCTCACCTTCACAGGCCCATCATTGTCCTCAGGGATTGGCTCCGATTTGAGGTAACGCTTCACCTTTCCATCAAAGTAGTCCTGCAGGAATCGCTCCAGAGCTTTTCCATCTCGGCTGTTGGGAAAACAAAAAAGGTAAAAATCAGCCGAGCTGGGAGGTGAGACCCATTCCCTCTCCAGGCCTGCATGTGAGCTGAAGTCATAATCCACCTCAGCAGCTTCCTGAGCTGAATGTTCATGACTCAGAAGAAAAGTAAACCATACAGGTGAGGTTCACTGAGGAACAGACACTTGTACCTTTAGAAAAATGACACACATCAGAAGGAAACTAAACATGTTGGATTGTAGACAACTATTCTATTGGAGGAGATTAGACCTTTGTGGATATCGTTGAGATGGCTCTGTTCTATCAATGACAAGGCTTTTAATGTTGAGCTTATTTTAAAATTTGCATGGCCTGAGTGCAACTAATCTGGACACACACACACACACACTATAAAATCTGAGGGAGCACCAATGCACACAGTTAGGGTTGTCACGGTAACCGGTATAGCGGTAAACCCCGGTAAAAAAGTTGACAATAAAAATAACCGTCCAGTTTTTAAAAAACTATATTATCTCGGTGGGTTTACCGTGGCCGCGGTTTCGGCGCGATGACCCTTACCAGCCACCGTCGCTTCAGCTGACGTTCCCGCGGCGCGCACACGCACTTTTTAATTTGCAACGGCACCAAAACTTTGAAGCTGAAATAATGGCCGAAGGAGGCGACGGCAGCGCCCAGGACATCCATCAGCCCTCAAAGAAGACTAAATCGGAAGTATGGGCATATTTGGGATTTCTGAAAAATGCTGAGGGACAGTTAATAGAAGACGGCTATCCCGTTTGCAGAACGTGCAGGAAACAAGTGTCTGCAGAAGGCAGCAACACTTCAAATCTCATGGCACATCTGCGTGACGATCACCCACGTCTCCACAGCCAGTGCAAGGTAAGTTAACATTAGCATTTTAGCTGAAATGCATGACGTGTGGACTTTTGGTTGAGGGAGAATGCAACGAGTCACTATATACTGCAGCCGCAGCGTCCTCTGCCAGCATTTAAACCGTGTCACGGACACCCTGTTGCTGGATGAAGCATCTTATTTGTTGATGATGAAGAGAAATATACAATTAGTTCCTTGTCATGGATTTGTTTACTTATTCAATGCCATTTATACTTGAACATTTGGATTTGATTACATAGTGTAGTAGTTATTTTAGTAATTTGTTTAAAGTGGATATTTATTTTAAATACATATTTTTTAAGGTTGACTTGTACAGAGCTCAAGTCATGTGTGGACTGGAGTTTTAGATTTTCATTTTGATAATGAAGTAAACAAGTATATGAGAAAACAAGTGGTGTTTCTTTGATTTGTTTACATATTGTTTATGTTTTGAATGTTTGGATTTGTATAATTTAAACCTGCACTGACTACTGTAACAAGTTCCAGAAAAATAAGCTATTTGTTCCTTTACTTGTGAAAAGTTGCACTTTTGCTAAGGCTTTGTGTTATTTTAGGTTTAATAAACACTGTTAAACCTTTTCAGAACTATTTCAGTTTGTGTAGAACAGGACTATCAATGCTTTCTGAACATATGCAACACCGTTTAAAAAATACCGCGATAATACCGAAAACCGTGATAATTTTGGTCACAATAACCGTGAGGTTAAATTTTCATACCGTGACAACCCTACACACAGTCGTCGTTTTCTAGGTCCAAACATCTTTGTCTGCGACTTCAAATGGTGTTTTTCTTTTTGGGACTCGGGTAGTTTGAAGCTAGCTTGTCCAGATTTGCCATTGTGGCTTTAAAAATGAGCGGTGAAGGGTTGAGCCCATCATTGATGAAGGAAAAAAGAAAACATCGTCCAGTCGCAAAGTGAAACCTTTAAGACCAAGTTTGCTATAGTCTCTAGTGTGAATGGATGTCTTGTGAGCTGATCTCTGGGGAAAAAAATCTTGGGAAGTAAAAGTTAGCCGGAAAACAAAAAATGGCGGGATTTGGTGTCTTATTTCATGATATCTCACTCCTGATTGGCCAACACCACCGACTCCATTTGCTCTGCAACGTTGATGTTTTATCACCACGAACAACATGACTGAAGGAGTTCTGCTGTGTGGTGAAGTTAGTTAATGCTGATAGTTAGCGTCCACTAGCCAAGACATTGTTGTTTCCTGGATGCTTAACCAACAACGGCCTTCCCTGTCTTGAGTCCATGACTTGTTCAAAAACAAGTAAAAAAAAAAAAAAAAAAAAAAAAAAAAAAAAAAAAAAAAAAAAAAACATTCCTCAGTGAACTTGCTCGTTGCACACCAACCTGGATAAATATCAATTGAAGTAAATCATGTCTACAGACTTGGTCATTTATCTACCAAGACTGGTTAGTAACGAAAACAATTCCATAGTCGGTTCATCTACACTTACGAGAACTCTTCAGTCATGACGTATTTGTCTCCCTTGGCAGTGCGGATGGCAACCAGAGGCAGCTCTCCAGAGCTGCCGTCCAGGCCGAACTCTGCCACATCGTGACTGAACAGGTTCTTGCTGGCAACGGCAAAGTTCAGCTTCTTTCCCTGATCCAGGAAGCTTTTAGCCACCTTCATCACCCTGCAAGACATTCATTGGGTTTGTTGGGAGTCATGTAGATTAAAATATAGGTCATTTTAAAGATATTCCCACTTCCAGGAAATGTGGATTTTTACTTTCACTGCCACTAGAGACACAGCAGCATGTGAGGCTGAAGCTGAAGAGAGCCAAGCACCTCCAAGATGTCAGATCCACCAACCTGTTCCTCCAGTAATTGGAGCCTTTAGGGTTTTTATCGTAGTCCACATCATAATAAGCCACCAGCAGGTCTTTTCCTTTCAGCTGATCTTTGTTGTCATCCGTCATGTGAGGACAGATTCCAAAACTGGGATGGAAAGAAACTGGATCGGTTAACAGAAAGGACTCTGCAGCTGAACAGATTTAAACATGTTAAACTCGGTGTTCAGATGACCTAAAAACAGCATATCCCAGCACGCTGCCTTAGAGAAAACCAGAGGTAAACAGACACCTTGCAGGTTTCTCTAATCTGGCCGCATGACAGCTAGGGGGACACCAATAAACCAGTTATCTCAGGTCCTTGTATTGTTCTACAGTAGAGGTTCTGAGGCCGCAGGCAATTTGTGTTTTGAGCCGAATGAGAAAAAAGGTTTAATTTCTGTCCAGACCAACAACCTCCTCATGACACCAATTAAACTGCCTTGCTTTCCTCTTCCAATCAGAGAATAATGGAGTTGGTCCAAGAATAATTACAGAAAATAATTTACACTTTTGTTAAACCAAAAATAAAAGGAACCCTGGCACCCTCTTCAGCACATTGTACTCACATGTTGTCCTGGATGAACTTCTTGATTTTGTTGCTGGTGTACTTGTCGTCACTGAACTTCACCGAGCCGTCTTCGAACTTGTTGCTGAGACGTGGTGGACGGAACAGGACCACTCCCCTAAGAAGCAGCCAAAAAAACATCTGTTATCTTGACTCTGGAGTTTTACTTCCCTTTGGGACTGGCTGCATGCTGTTCTTTGGTCTAATGCAAGAGGAACTACTCACTCTTCATCAATGCCATTGCTCTTGAGCAGGACGTCAGAGTTGGTGTGGGCAAAGCGATAGTTATCCCTCAAGGCACTGGCGGCCTTCAAGAACTCGGTCTGTGCCGTACTTTTCTCATCAGCAAAGAACCCTGGGGGGAAAAAGTACATTTAGAGAAGGGTGCAAGCTGACCAGTAAATGAAACATCTTGATGTTCACTCACCGACGACACTTGCGTCGCGATCTGAAATGAACTTCTCAAAGTCTGCCTCGGCCTTGAGCACCACTGAAGCTGGTCCGGCCTGCTTCTTGAGGAAACTGACAATCCCATCTTGGCAGAGCAACAACAGCAACAGAATAATGAGAAATCACAAGTGGCAGAAACCAGATAAATTATTTGTGAATATAACTGAAAAATACCTGCACTTCTGGGACCATCATAGGGACCAGACTCCTCTCCATCCCTAAAGATCTTCAGGGTTGGGTAGCCGCTCACACCATATTTGCTGCATGTGTTGCTGTTGGCTGTGCAGTCAACCTAAAGTGAAGAAGAATCCTTCATTTCCTTACATTAAAGCGTTCAGAGTGTGATGAGAGTAGAGACCGTTAAGTGTGATACCTTGACCAGAGAGACGACGCCTTTTAGACGCGTGGCTGCTGCCTCGTACTCAGGTGCAAGCCGTTTACAGTGACCACACCTACAACACAGGTAGCAGGGCTCGAGTTACACATCAGATAAGCTTGGTCAAAAACCTGGAGGCAGATCTACATTTGTGGAGAGAAAAAAAATAAAGCTGCAGATACTTTAACAACGTTATTTTATGGGACTACTAGCACACTCCACTCTGAAATTAGGAAACATGCAGCATTCCAGCGCTGCGTGGGATTATTCTGAATATTAGAAGACTAGGCTACTAGGGTAGTAAATATTCACATCTTCTAATCTGGAAATTTTCGTTCTGGCAAAAAAAATCTGGACTTTTGAACGCAAACTACAACAATTCCAAGTTTGGCACAGAGGTATCACGTCACATGTTTCGTTGACCAATCAAAGGTGGACACCAAAACTTGACCAGCCAATCGGGTGGTTACAACTGTGAGACCACGCCCTCGAACTTCCTCGTAGCATTCCCACACAATTCCCATAGAAAAGATTCCCAAATCCCAAAAGCCTAAGGTGCAATTGTGAGCTCACATTTAGCAGACTCTTCAAAGTGATGTCCAGAACCCTCCAGCACCAGTTCTAATTCAATTAAGCAGTTTATTATATTTCCACTTCAAGCTAATATGCTAAAGCTAGTTTCCAACCAAAAAGCTACATGAATAGATGTTCATTTCCAGTTAATCGGCACACCAAAGAGCAGATTCCAAACACAAAGCCATTTTTCTAATGACTTAATATGGGATTTTCACACGCAAGGTTGGACAAAATCACCAGTCCAGCACAGCGAGCCTCGTAGCTATATGGACCCAGAAAAGTAGCGGTAGCTTTTTCTACTGCTAATGCGGAAATAAACGTAGAAAGTCTCACCATGGTGCAAAAAACTCCACCAGAGCCAGATCATGGTCTCCAATCCTGCTTTCGAAATCATCATCCGTGTACTCCAGGACATCACTGGCCCGGGTGAACCCGGCGAGAGCGGCCAAGAAGAGCAGCCTAAACATGGCTCCCGGAGCTAGCTAAAATGACCTGACTTTAAATTACACCGGAAAGAAAACTTTAGGTTACTGATGTGGTCCGTGGCTGCCCCGTCCGCGAAGTGCACGCAAAAGCTTCAGGATCCCAGAAAGGGCCGAGGCTGACACTGCGATAGAGAAAGAGAAAGAGGAGGATGGAGGTGGCGAAGACGTTTGCAGGCAGCGGGACTTCGACTCGTAATCGGCTCGTGTGGCAGCTTCTCATTGGCTGGTTTGACATGTCAGTATGTTTTCATCAGCCAATAAGAGAGACTAAAACAAGAAGCCAGCGTCCTTCAACCAATCATGACCCAGCACAAATCAAAGATCCTGTTTAACACGCGGAAAGGATTTTGTACCGCAAAAGCACTAAAATTGAATGAAACTGGAAAAATCGTCGAGTATGTTTGTGAGTTGTAGAAAATTAACTAAACAAGATAATTTCCAGTTCTTTTTTTCGTCAAAAAATATTTACAGGAGTAAAATATTATTTACGCTCCATGGATACATCTTCCTACTTCTGTTTTTCAAATAAAATGTGTATATTTTACTTATTTGCCCCTGTGATTCAAACATTTTTTATATAACAGAACAGAATTTCCCTGAATCAGTTGTTTTGTAATCAAAGTTTTAGAATAATGTTGCGCCATTTGTCTTATAACTTATAATTTATATTCTGCGACTTCGTGGAAACCGCATATGTAAGATAAACCACACACACACACACACACACACACACACACACACACACACACACACACACACACACACACACACACACACACACACACACACATCGAAAAAGGCTCACCTCGTTCTGTTTTCCTTAGGGTCGCAGTTGATTTAACTTACTCATGTTGTACTTTCTGCATTGGTACCTAATCCCACAGGCAATCCCACATTTTATTTTCCTTTTGTGTTCATTTGTCACATTTATTTTTACTGATAATCATGCAAGTTTAGGCTTGAAATATCTGAAATTCTGGCTTAAAGCTAAAAAAAGACATCTAAATATTCATTTGATTGATATTGTTTTGTTTGGGAGCCAAATAATTAAAATCATATCAAAGCATACTAATTTAAATACAAATTGTTCTACAATCATGTAATGAGCAGTTTATAAATTCATACATTTCCAAATTATTTCCTAGTCTGGAAAACATCAGGTAAAATAAAAAGAGTTTACAATTGTTTTGAGGCAAAAAGATCATTAAATTTTGTCTTGAATCTTAACAAAATGTACTCAATGAAATACACCTTTTACTATTACCATTATTTTACACGTGCAAAATTATAATTAAACTTATTTTTTTGAAATTTGTGTTCCCCACATTAACAGTCACTGTTCTGCTCTCTGCTAAACTGTTGTTTGACATAGTTCTGGTAAAACGTCTAGACGTTCAATCCTGACTGAGGTTAGGGAAATGCATCGCTCATAAAACAAACTTTGAGGCTGACTGACAGCAAATTTAACTTCCAGGACTGATGGTTGATGGTTTAGATGTCAGAGGAAAGGTCCCGATCAGCAGCTAAAGGTGATACGTATCTGTTGTGGAAAAACTAAAACCACCAGGATCTTATGCACCATTAGTGATTTTACAAACCTTTCTCAGAAATTAAAGCTCAACATCGCTGCTGTTGCTGTCCAGGTTTACCTGAGTTTAAACTTCAGATTAAGCATTGCCGTCCTAATCTGTGCATATGTAATTTTTTCAAGACTACATAGGCTTTCTGCTGATAACGTTTCCAAAAATAGCTGTACTTGTTTAGCCTTTTGTCTTAAAAACTGGGATGCCCCCCAGGTCTGATCTGGAGGTAACAGGATGTTCATTCTTCTTCTAATGGTGAACAATCTGTATGGTTGTAGAACGTTGCAGAAATGTAACAATTGATGATCAATAAGGCTTGAATTTCCCCAATGTGGGATTAATAAATTCTATTCTATTCTATTCTGTTCTATTCTATTCTATTCTATTCTATTCTAGTATTTCAAGCTGAATCTATCTGAATCGTCAGAAAACAAATAATGATTTGTTTTAGGATAACTGCGTATTCATTCAAACTAACTGTTAACTCAACATTTATAATCATTAGAATTAATTTATGCTCAATCCAAACAGAACTGCTGCTGAAGTCCAGCTACTCGGTTACCCAGAAGTCTTTGTATCTATGGTTGCAACAGTACAAGAAACCAGCAGATGGTGCTGTCTGACAGCAGAAATGCCTCATGTAGATGATTTATTCTAGCAACTAATTCATTCAAACAACTCAATACTGGTGGTAGATCAATTTTATTTTATTTTTTTTATATTTGAATAGAACTGTGACTGATCATTGGTGGAAACCCATCAATAAAATATTTACCAGAATGCAGTAAAATAAAGTTTGAAAATGATCAAAATGTTAACTGTCATGGCGAAGCATAGATTTGAATAAACCTAAATTACTGGTGGTCAGACTGACACAGGCTCATCTGGTAGCACAGAGTGCTGGTAACCCCCTGTTATTTTTATCTGCACAATTTAATATATGATGGGTTTTGTGGACATAGTTACCTGACAGTTAAATGGTGCATCTTTGGACTCGTGTTGCAGCCACACCATTCCAGTCACAGCCTTTCGGTCTTCTGCTTACCAGCTCATCCATCCTCTTTACTCTTAAAGAGTGTTTAAAATCAGCCACATTCAGGGAAGGATGGGTGGTCCAGCACAAAACAGCCTTTTGAGGTTATGCCATAACATCTCAATCAGGTCAAAACTTTGACGAGGGCGATTCAAAAACTTTATTTTGTTCTTTTTGAGTCATTCGGAGTTAGACTCGAAGATGATACTTGCCCTTGTCCTGTTGCACACCCCAAGAGCTCTTCAGCTTATGGCAATGAAAAGATGTTCAGATATTCTGCTGGAGAGCAGAATTCATGGTTTGATCAGTTACAGCAGGTGGTCCTGAAGCAGCAGAGCAGCCCCAGACCATCACACGACCTCCACCATGTCTGATTGTTGCTATGGTGATGTTTTAGTATGGCTCCAGATGGAATGGGATTTAATAATGTCAATATTAATTTAACATACGCACATCAGTTACTGGAGGCCACTATCTAACAGTTCATCCACATCATGGTGGTGTCACTAGAGAGTCTGTTTACGATGACAGAATAACTATATAGACGTGTGTCACCGCAGCAACACAAGATGATGACCTACACAAATCGCTCGCCAAATCAGTCTATAGAAAGTCTCTTCAGTCAACAAAATATTTACCCAGAAGTCTTTGGGATCATAAGGATGTTGTTGGGTAATAACAGAAGTAATCCATCTGTAGTTTGGTTTCAGGCTATCTTAAATATGTTTGCTGATCTGAAACAGTTAGAAAAAGAACCAAATCTGGAAATGCAAACGCTTGTCACAACATTCCAACTCACAGTTCAAATTAATTATGCAATAAAATACCAATTAGCATATTGTCGTATATCTGAGGCAGCTTTTATATTTAAGACACGTGAAACTTTTTGTGCCATTGTCTAAATCAGGAGGTAGATGGACTCTAATCCCGTTGGTCTTGCTTTTAGGTCTGAGCCTGTTTACTGTAAACGGTCCACTGAAATGGGAATAACAGAATCTAACAGGTATGATTTAGGTTTAGAGCATTCACTGGAGCTTTACTCAGGGAACAAGAGCACAGCTCTAGTGTGTGTGTGTGTGTGTGTGTGTGTAAAACTGTGACATTACATACGACAACTAGAACATCCTTTATTTTGAAAATCGGATGGATTTTGTGCCAGAACATCAGCGCTGTATCCTCTTTACCCACAAAGCCCTTTTTTCCCTCCCCCATCATAGCTCCAGTGCTTCTCAGAAGGGGTTGCCATGGCAACCTGTCTGCTCTGCAGCCATAAATGGAACAAGGAGTAGAAAAAGAAGACATCCACAGCATTAAGCTAGTGAGAAGCTCTGGGAGGCTCTGAGAGAAGGAGGAGGAGGAGATCTGGGTGTATTTAGGACATCAGAAGCTTCCTCTGAATAAAGACGGAAAAAGATTTCTCATGCTTCATAACACCTACACATCTCAGCTGCGTCTCCTCTGACAGTGAACGCCTTGTCGTCCCGTCAGCTGACAGAATGAAACAGTGAACAATCTGTTCCATCATGACAAAAATCCATCCCCTCACCAGAGGGCAAAGCACTCATTTCATATATGTTGTGTGGAGAAGCTTCACGGCCTCCAGTAAAGCAGATCAGTGTTGAGAAGAATAGGGCTGCTTTTTCTACACTTTTAGCCAGCAAGCACACAGTAAACCCCTAAAAGATGCTGATTTAACCCCTAAACACGTCACTAAAGAACATGTTTGTTTCAGATTATTTCAAACCAAGGACTTCAGTGATGTTTATGGAGTAAGCAGACTAAAAGCACAGATGTTCATAATGTTTTGTAAATATTAACTTTCACATAAACAGTGTAGATAATGAAAATGTGGTAAAGGTCCTGTGAGAGGGAAAAGTTCAGAGTCTGCAGACTAAACCAGCCGACTACAGAGGACAACACAATGATCACAAGGTGACAGTGTCTGCATGAGTCTGCATGTCTGTTAGTGAGATCGCTCATGAAGAAGCACGGTGACTAGTTGAGTCCAACTCCTTCAATATGGCTGCCATAGACCTTAGAAAACACTAACAATTAGACCCCAGCCACTTTTAACTATATAATGATCCTAAGTCACGCCCATCTAATTCCAGACACTGCCAAAAAAGATAAGTTATTTTCTGATCCCGTTTGATGCGTGCCGTGGATTTCACATATGATGTCCGTGAATTTTAAAGACACATTTTGATGCAAAGAAAGGGCTCGTTTTTTACAGTTACTTTAGGTTTTGTGTGAAAGCATGTGGAGGATTCTAATTCACCAAATTTATGTCACTGAACCAGACACGGAGAAGATAAATGGCTGACTTTAGCGAGCTTCAAATCCTTCTAGCCTCAGCCGGTCTGCCACTGGACCAAACAGTTTTAGGTCTGTCCAATCACAGCACTCTAAGGTTATAGAGACGTTGGCTGGGCTTAGCAACAGAGCTGCAACAAAGAAAAAAACTACAAAGATGGCACTCATTTGCTCAACTCTACTTCTCTGAGACATGAGCAGCTACAGGTACTTCAGCCCTTTATTTAGAAAAATGATGTATTTGCTTCTTCTTCGGCAATGTATGGCATACTGACTAGGGATGCAACGATACCACTTTTTTCCAAACCGATACGATACCGATTACCAATACCGATACTTCTACCACACAAAAAATGCAATGATTTGGAATACATATTTCATTTTCTTCTCTGCTTTCAACAGGAAAAGACCGCGAGGTAGATAAAAAGTAAAATATATGAATGGAAATAATCACAAAACTAAAATATTAGGTGAACAGAAATGACAAGTTACAGTGAAGCAATTTTCAAGCAACTGCATTGGTGTCGGTTTACTTTTACCATTACTGATATTAGTATGGGTATCGGTGCCGATACCGATACCAGTATCGTATCGGTGCATCCCTAATACTGACCTGTTGACTGATTTCCTTAACAAGAAATACATCACGTCACTCATTACTGATTGGTCCTAATGTTGTCCAGTTGCAATGATATATATATATATATATATATATATATATATATATATATATATATATATATATATATATATATATGATGGATTGCTAGATGGCTAGTGTTCAGCGTCTTCCAAACACATAATCCAATAATCCAAGTCTCAATATATTGCCTCAGATCCTGGAATATCTTGAGTGATTACGAATAACTTTAGTTTCTAAATTGTGACCAAAACAGCTGCAACATTTCCCATTGTCAACAAAAAAAAAAAAAAAACATGGTTTAAAGTCAAAACCTAAAAGCACTCCAACATTCTTCATAAAGGATTAAAATGTATTTTGTTCCTTGCATAGACCAGTTAAAATGCTCCAGTGCACTTCAGCATTCAAGCCTTCATTGGGGAGTTTATTATGATCTTACAGCAATTATTATTATTACTATTTAACTGATCCAGTGATCAGTAGTCAACTCAACAGAATCCTATTTTTCTTCAGAATTTGAAAATATTTTAAGATTTTCAGTAGGGGTGTCCGATATCAGTCAATATTGGCATTAAAACGTTATCTCGGAAATGATCGATTTTCACTTTTACTCTTTAAATGACACAACTTTTACATACTATACATGGAAATATTCAGCTACATCTTTTCTCACTCGAAACGTCCAAATAAGACCAGTTTTGAGATTTTTACTTTGGCACAAATCGCCTATTTTAATTAAAGAAGAAATTAAATTTGTACAGATGTTTAAAGTTGCATGACAGAAGATATGGGATGTTACTTACCCTCTTTTTGTGAGAGGGAGACCCTGCATATATTGGTATTGTTTATATCAGTATCGGAAAATCAAAGTTAGACTATCAGGGTTGGTATCTGGTAAAAAAGATGATATCAGACATCCCTAATCTTCGGGTTTCACTTTTATGAAAAATGAATTAAAACTGAGATTGTCATATGTCAATGTGGATCAACACCTGACCTGAAATCTTAGTTACCATGGTTACCCCAAGCTTGTTGTTCTTATTTTCTGATAAATAAAGATCATCTTTGACACCAGGGACTCCGATAAACTCTCCTTCAAAAATCAAAACAACAACAATCCACTGATAAATGAGAACCAGAGAAAGGAGGAGGTTTTGTTAAATAGATGAGTTATTTAATAAAAGATGTTTCAGAGTGACATTCTGATACAGCTCAAGTGATTTTGCTTCAGGAGCTTACAGTACAGAGCCCCACCTGGCCAGTGTGTCGTACACACAACTCGATCAGCACATCTACATTCAAATCTATTCAAAACTTTCAAAACAAACTATGTACACACAGTCCACAATGGAGAGTATAGCACAGATGGATGGACTTCACAAGCACCAGATAAAATCATGACAGGGGCGAGGGACAGAGACAGGCTGGGTGGGTACAGGACATGCAGCAGGACGGAGGCGGGGACAGGGTGTGAAGGAGTGAGGAGTGGTTTGGGAGCAAAGCCAGAAATATTTTTTATCGAATTCTTCAGCCTGAATTTCCTCCAACCTCATTCTGATTTAGTTGTGTTTTAGAGCCAAATCAGAACGTGATCTTAGAGCTTTGGGGTGAATGCAGCCAAGGTCTGGGTCTTGATGTTTGATCACATTTAACATGTTGTGATTAACTGATGGAGTACATATAAGACAGGAGGGTGATTAGATAGCATAGTAAAGGTAATGGTGACAACCGAAGCATTGACATAGTTATAATATCTATGGACACTGAGCTTGTGCACGTGTTTGTGCCCATAGGTCTGTCTGTGTGCAGGGATGAGGGATCAGTGACTACTTGAACTGCTTGATGGGTGGGGGCACCTTGATGTCCTGGCCTCTCTCCAGTCTCTTCTCACACTCAATTAGGTAGTTGACTCCATCAACCACTGTCTGCACCAGCTGGACCTAAAGGGAGGGATGCGTCATGTTTAGTACAGAGACCTGTTCAGCAAACGGAAATCATCAGTGAGACACAAAAGCCTTAAAGCAGTCTGAGCACACGACCTTTAAGACCAGACTCAGGGCCAACAGCTGCAGATTAAAACAAACCGCTAACCCTGAACTCATCCTACAATATGAACAATTACCACTTTTAAAATAAGACGAAAAGCACCTTTCACATGCCAAACAGTTCAGTATGAAGCTGCATAGACTTAATGTACTTAATGATCAACTCAGTACATTTACATGATCCTTTAAGCACGCTCCTTTGGTTCAACGTGTAATCTAAATCTGAATCTGGCCAATAAAACACGTCTAATATGAGTTGTAGATTTAGATTTTTAAATTTTAAATTCTAAATTAATCATGAAGGAAATGCGTAAAAATAAAAATGACTATTTTTATTTCGGTCTCAAATGTTTTATTTGAAGAAACACAAACTTTGAACAGTGAATCAGCACCATTGCTCCTGCACATTAAAATCACCCATCCACATTCCTTACTGCCCCCACCCTCAGCCCTCCTGTGGGACGATGAACGATGGATGACCCAACAGCTCTTAGCAACACACAAAACGTACAACATACATAGTCACACAATGGTACACAACAGGAGACCCAAACACTACAGGTATTTTAGCCTATAAGTCATGTACCATATAGCATCGTCACACACAGGTGGTAGCGTGATCAAGGACGTCACAAGGACACATATGTACAGAAGCTCTTTTCGTGAGTCACAAACAGCGCCGTCTCATTTTGAATTGAATACATTTCTCCAAACATTTGAAACTGAGACACAAACATGCCAGCAGTCTAGGTGCTGCCACAGACCACGACTCAAGGCTCACAGGCCGCAGAAACACAACAAAAAAACTGATTTTTGTTGTAAACATTCATAACTGAATGCAGGTCAAGTAATTAGTCCATTAGATGACTAAAGTTGAGCAACATGAAATCAACCAATATAACCTGATTTTTTTTCTTCATGTGACGTTATGTACCTTGATGCTCGCGTGCCACTGCCTACTCTACAGGTTGAGATTGTATCACTTGTGTTTAGTTTGGTAGCTTAAATGACCATAACTCTGCAACCGTTAACGCTTAAATGGATTCTGAAAGCTGAGGACCAAAGCTCGTCATTGAGAATGATGAGTATGATGGTAACACCATTTTCTGTCTGAGGGCAGAAATACACACAGTCAGAGAACAACAGGCAGCAGACAGAAAGATGCATGTGTAAATGTGTAAAAGACTAAGGAACTGATTATGGACTTTAGGAAGCAGGCCCCACCTCCTACTCCTGTCACCATAAGAGGGGCTGACGTTGAGATCGTTGAGGACTACCGGTACCTGGGTGTCCACTTGGACTGTAAACTGGACTGGACTAAGAACACCAATGCTATCTTCAAAAAAGGACAGAGTCGGCTTTTTCTTCTGAGGCGGCTCAGGTCCTTCAATGTTGGGAGGAAATTGCTGACCATGTTCTACCACTCGGTGTTTGAGAGCGTTGTGTTCTTTGCAGCTGTGTGCTGGGGCAGTGGGGTGAAGATAGCTGATGCCAACCGGCTGAACAAGCTGATTAGAAGGGCTGGGTCTGTCCTAGGTATTAGACTGGAGAACCTGGAAGAGGTGTCTGAGAGGAGAATGCTAAAAAAGCTTCTCTCTATCATGGACAACCCCTCCCACCCATGCACGCCCATCGAAGCACACGCAGCAAAAGACTCGTTGCCCCGAAATGCAGGAAATCCTTTGTACCAGTGGCAATAGGATTGTTTAACTCTTCCTCACCCTATAGGTGATTCTCCTAATACTTTTACCTAGGTTATTCTGTGCCCTCACCGACTGTGCAATATTACCCAAGAGTTCTGATTGTAAATATGTTTTTATCCCCCCATCATATCATATGCTTCTACAAACCCTTATTCTATTACACAATACTTTAATCACTTTTGTGAATCGCCTGCACCGACGGCTTAATTACTTATCCACAAGGATGCAGTCATGTATTTAATTATTGAGATATGCGATTGTTTGTTTTGCACTATCCTAAATGGTACTACTGTAGATCATTTTTTTAATGTATATATTGTATATCATATTTCTATTTCACCTGTTCCTTTGTCTCTCCGTCTGCTTTGAGCATGTACATGACACAAGAATTTCCCTCGGGATAAATAAAGTTGTTCTTATCTTATGATATTTACTGCTGTAAATAACACTGTAGACATGTGAATACTGATGTATTATATACTGGGACTTGCACACAAAGTTCAAGACTTTTCAAGGTCTGGAAAACAACGTATCTACAGAGTGTGCAGACACCCTGATAAAAGACAGGCCTAAGTTTGCCAAACACGTCAATGAAGGAATAATGATAGAATAAATAATTGTTTAAGTTAGTTTAAGCTTCATTTTATCCAAGACAGAAAATCTAATCTTTGTTTTTGACTCATTTCCTTTGCTTCCTCAACATCACAGCTATTATTACTACTGTCCTTGTTTTTCCTTTTATTGGTACAAGTGAGCAGTGTTGGGAAAGTTACTTTTAAAAAGTAATTAGTTATAGTTACCAATTACTTTGTCAAAAAAGTAACTAGGTTACTTACAGAATTACAAGATTATAAAAGTAAATAATTGCCAAGAAAAAATAACTACTTAGTTACTTTTTTCATTAAAGAATGCAAGAAAAATGGGTTAATTGAACTTACTTAATTTACTATAAATGACTACAATAGTGAAATATAAATGACTCGTGACTGGAACATAACAAAATGTGTGTCAAAATGTTTTCTATAAACCTGAATAATTTAAATAAATAAGCACTTAACAGGAGGAACTACTAACAGGAACATTACACTAATCTAGACTATTAAAACTCCCCGTCTCGGTCACTGAGGTCAGCCAACCAGTTTCTCCTGGAGGTGCCGAGAACAAAGAGAAAGCTCAGGGGTGATAGAGCTTTCTCAGTAGCAGCTCCAAGGTGAATGCACTCCCAATTCACATTAGGATGGTTTTGTCACTGTCAGGTTTTAAATCACTTTTAAAGACTCATCTGTTCTCAGTTGCTTTTAATTCAGTTTGAGAATGCATCTGTTTTTAGTAGCTTTTATGTCAGTTTGATATGTTTGTTTTCATCATGTTTTTACTTTGTGATGAATTTTTTATCTTATTTTTAGAATTTTTAGGGAACTTCTGTTTTTTTTGGCTTGTTAAGCACTTTGGTCAGCTTTTATGCTGTTGTAAAGTGCTTTATAAATAAAGTTGACTTGACTAAAAGGTCACTGTGTGATATTTGACATCAGCTAAAATTTAAAATTGCAAATAGAAACACCTGTAAAGGTTCCTGAGCCTTTAAATGGTCTTTCAGTCTAGTTAAATTACAGAAAAAAAATGTAAATTTGTACAGTATTTTAATTTTTTCAGCTTCACATAATTGTGTGTTTTTAGCAGCATTTCTGTTGCGGGTAATCTAGTAACGGTTAAATAAATAAATAAATCCTTTAAAATGACACTAGAAGAGGCACAGATCTGATGGAGGACTTACATTTACTAACATGGGTCAGACCCAACCACAGAAGAGCTGAAGCTGGGTGGTGAACACACACAGGTAGTTCTGATAACACCTGAGCTCCATGACGTCTGAGACTGATGCATCAGTGTTACAGCGGGACTAAAGACATGATCAGAAACAGGTTACAGCTGGATGATCTAGGAAGGTAGAAGATCAGGACGTCTGAGCGGTGAACAGGTGAGCGGACCTTCGGGACGTCCCGCTGTCACGCTAAGAAGGGCGTAAACTATTCATCACGTCTTCCTCGTTCTTCACGGGCCGTGATGCGTTTGTATGAAAACATCTGCCTCTTTAGCCCCTGATCAGCTGATGACAGCTTCAACACACCGCGCTGCTTAACGCATACATTGTCTTATCAGTAACAGAAACAACGTTTTGATAAAAGAAGACGGTAATTAATTAGTTTGCTCGTTACTGAAAGAAATATTTTTTTTATTAACGTGGTTATTTTAAACGGTGTTATTCCCATCATTGCTCTGTTGTGTCTACAGAATGCAGCGACTGAGACGGTGAGGGTCCCCGCCCACCAGGCCGATCATCATCGTGTTTGTAAGAGAGTTACCGACACCTCTCTCTCCCTGGCTGCAGCTGAAATGTGGCGTTCAGAAAGCCTCACACTGTTGCTCAACGTTCGTCAAGCACATAGTAATGCACAACCTTCCATCCCCAGTAACGGTAACGGCGTTGCAACGGCGGGAAAAGTAATTAATTAGATTATTCCGTTACCCAAAAAAAAATGCCGTTACTTTAAACAGCGCTACTCCCATTACTGCATGTGAGATTGGACTATGATGACTTAATGATGACAACTTTTATTCCCTGTACCCATTTCTTATTAGATACTATGAATCTCAAGCCAAAGCTGGACAGGTGAAAACTTCCTACCTCCGACTGTCCCAGGCGATCTAGGTTGGAGATGTCAAACACACCACCCACTGCAGCAGTGTCCACACCGCCTGTCCCTCGCTTCTGCAGACGCAGGTTATCCAGGATCTTACTGAAGCGGGGGTCCTGGAGAAAAATTATTACTCTATGAGTAGTAGGTATCTGAAAGTATCCAAGTACTGACAAACAGCCAGGCCTTCAGAGATCTCCTCAGTTATCTCTGACATAATGAAATATTTGATGGATTGGTTTTAACCTGTGATTGGTAAAGTAACTGCTAAAAAAAAAAGATTCTCCATATTTGAGTAATATTAGACATGGTACAGTCAGATCAAATTATGTGAAATATTTATAATCAGCTGCTTGTCAGATGGTCCTTGTGTTAGAATCTCTAACCGTCGTTGTGCTTTAGTCACCTTGCTCAGTAGGGGCAGTTTGACGTGGACTCCAGCTCTGAGTCCTGTTCCCAGGTTGGAGGGACAGGTGAGGATGTAACCGAGCCTCTCATTCCACATGAACTCCCAGCCTCTCTCCTGGATCAGACGCTCAACCTGAGATGCAGCCAATCAGAGTCAGCACTTAAATAAAGATTTATGTCAATGCTCTTCATCTCTTTGGAAAGCGAAACACAAAACGTGTAGGATGGACATCTGTTCAGAGATGTTGTTGAGCTTGTTGTTTACTCTTTCATAAGTGTGGACCATCAAAAGCATAAATAAACAATTTACGAGACCATGTTTGGACGGATTCCTCTGCATGTCTGTCATCGCAGTCTTAGATGCAGAAGGAGGATTTGTGTCAGCTGTTTTTAGGTTTTAGGTATTTTTAGTGTAAATGCAGCAGATCCACAGTGTGCTAATGCTAACCCTGCAAGACCTCATCTACATCAAGCTGGCCTGCAGCGCTGCACTGCACACTCACAATCATTCAGCCATTATTACTCACACAGAATAATCTTGGAAAACAATAAACGTTAGTCCTTCCTGGGTTCGCCCAGCACACCTTCAACGATCAGTCAACCTGAAACGTACCTCCTTGAGGCCTCTGCAGAACCGGTCAAACACTCTCTTCATGTTGCCCCCCTTCTCCATGGAGATGACTCTGGTATGATCCTCCTCATTGATCCAAATCAAAAAGGTCTTCTCATTGTTGTGCCTGCATGGAGGAAAGTCATTCTGTTAGTGAACTGGTCCTGATGCTTGTACAGCCACATCGGTAAAGAACCCTTCACAGAACATCTGACTGCTGCAGGAACTCCAAAAACACAGACCTAATGAACGGTGCTGTAAACCCATCAGATTTTCCACTTGCTCTCATCTCAGGCACAGAAAAGGTGACTAATCAGTTCCCCAGTGACCACATTTCTTAATGCTTTCCTCGTGCACATATCAGTTACACTCTATTAAATAGCCTTCCTTCTTATAGTGAACCCTTTGGCTTCCTTCTCATTTAAGTTGTATCAAATCTTAAAGCAAACAAAGCATTTTTATAAGTATTGACCTAATTTTTGTTTGAAACTGAATAATGGGAGGAGACTGAGCAAAAGAGTGAAGGATCAAAGAAAATATGGTACAATTAATGACCTACAAATAAGAAATACAAAAGGAAAGGTGGTTTAAAGGGGACATATTATGACTTTTGTAAAGTTATAATAGTTCTATGGTCGATAAAAACCACGTTCATGAAGTTCTTTGAACTAAATCCCTCTCAAATAAAGCAATCTCATACATTGTATTCTTGACATTTTCAGCCCCTTCCACAATGAGCCTTTTCAGGACTCTGTCACAAGAAAACAAGCTGGAGCTGGCCACGCCCTCCCATTGTCCAATAGGCTGGTATGAGGTGAGGAGCTCAGATATTCAGGAGGGGCTCTGAGTAGAGCCGCTGCTCCTCCAGAGTTGACAGGTGGTGGTGGGCGGGTCCTAGGGATGCACTGACAATTTGGCCACTGACATTTTTTTGACCGAAAATGACCCAAAAGTGCATTTTTGGTGTTTAGTGTAACACCTACCTCACTGAAACAACACAGCCGAAACAGGTCGTCAGGTGAACCCCATTTTGTTTCATCTTTCTCCATCCTTATGTGGCAACTTGCTGTTTGCTCTATAAAAATCATACATTTGTACTGATTTAAAAAGTAAAGTTTTTCCCCTTTTAGTAATGCTGTTTTATTACGATAGCTGGAATATTTATACCAATCATGTGACTCACTTTTACTTTCAGTTTCACATGGCTTTTTTTTTTGTTTCTTTTACTTTTCCGCTACGTCTGTCACTATTAGCGGTGTTTTTACCATCCTTTCTACACCCACCATGTTCTGGATACGGTAAAATAAGCTTTGGATCCTGTGTGTGGATCCAGGTTATTCTGATGAAGCACACAGAAGCGTCGCTTTCTTTCTCACTGGACAAGTGAATATCTTCATCAAAGGATGAATATTATTAATCCGAATCAGAGTCAGCCATTACCAAAGAGCTTCGTCAACAATGAACAGACCAGTCTGTGTAGTAAGTTTGTCCTCTCTAATGTATAACATTCACCCTCTGTAAGCTCCGCTTGCCTCCTCTCCGCACTCGGGAGCGTCTAGATGTGGGGCAGTTTTCAAACTCTATAAACTCAGAATATTTCAAAAGGAACCCCCGAAAGTGTTGCTCAGATTGAAGTTACGCATCTCCATCATCTTATGGTGTAAAGTAATAACTTTATGAGGGATTATATTTGCAGCTGTGGCTCGTTAAACTCAATATTGTGACTTTGGCACTTAAAGGGTTAATTTTACTATTAACAGGCCTTCTGTTTTAAGCCTGTACATTTATAATTTATTGTTATTTAATGTACACACGTGGGGTTAAGTAAAATTTTTGTAGTTAATTTGTATTGTGCATTGTCTGTGCTAAATAAATACTTTCATGGTTTTGTAATTGATTTATTGCAATGTCTTGATTTTAGTGAGGTTAGTACACATCATAGCCATAAATGCTATGGTTCTAATTATTGACACAATCATTTCTTTAGGTGTTTTGGTTTTCAGCCAAGATTTTTCATTTCGGTTCATCCCTAGAATAGAATATACTTGAAACTAGGGCTGCTCAATTAATCGAATTTTAATCACAATTACGATCTGAGTTTTGAACGATTATAAAAACAAAACAAGCCGATTATTTGCTCCTCCCACTTGCGCTGCCCTGAGTTGCACATGAAGCGCTCCTCCCACAGTGTTGCCAACTTATTGACTTTGACGCTATTTCCAACAGCTTTTCAGACCCCCTTCGAGACTTTTTAAATCTTAAAAGTACCTAGCGAACACCTCAGAAACATCTCTTATAACCCTTAGCTACTTTCTGGATAACTGTTGTTGACATTTCCTGCAGGTTAGCTAAACACTCCGCCTGCGCTCCCGACCGTTCTTCACAACATTAGGAAAGGGAATGATGTAGTGATGTGTCAGTCGCTAAAGAAACGGCTCTCAGAGCCGGCTCCCTGTTGGATTAACCAAAGCGAGTGACACACACCGTACCTGCGGGCTCCTGAGCCGCTAAAAACGGCTAAATGTGCACGTGCAGCGTGCTAAACACACGTGCATCTTGCCCCTGATTGCTGAGACCGGGTTGGGGGGTGCAGCTGTGGTTGGGACAATTATTACATTAACTGATGGACTTGTAAATAAATAGTTTATAAATAAGGAAGAAAAAAGTTCCTCATGCTGATAAATAATAACTAATCTCTCTGAGGACACGGTGCTAGTGCACTCTCCTACAGCACCTTGACACGACTCAATAAATGTTATGCAACATTTTGTAAACATGAATGTATTTGCATTTATTTGTTATAAATGCCACTGTGTCATTCTTGCTGTCAGTATTTGCAAGATATTGGTATTTGGGTCTGTACTGGTTAGACGTAAATGAGTTAAACCAAGGTCTATAGCTCTTAGGTCATAAACTATGAGCTATAAGTATATTGGTCTTTTTATACTGGGAATCAGGAGTTATTTTAGTGACCATCTTGTTTATTATTTCTTTTTGTCCTGATTGTGCCCTGAGCAATTTTATGACTGAATAAAAACAAATAAAATCAACATAAATTGAAAAATCGTCTTAATTAATCGAGATCTCAATGTCAGTCACAATAATCGTGATTATTATTTTTGCCATAATCAAGTAGCCCTACTTTAAACTCAATTCAATCCAAGTTCATTTATAAAGCGCCAAATCACGACAAGAGTCTTCTCAAGGACCTTCACACAGTAAACATTCCAATACAGGTCAGTTCATTAAGCCAATCAGTAAAAAGTTTTCTATGTAAGGAACCCAGCAAATCTACAGCAATCCTCATACTAAGCAAGCATGTAGCAGCAGTGGAGAGGAAAACTCCCTTTTAACTAGAAGAAACATCCAGAGGATCCCACATTGATCCCACAGATGGAAAATTCACTTAAAAATAATAACAAAGGTACATACACAAAGGCAGTAGTCTAGTATTGTAACCTTCGACCACTAAAAACCACATATAAAAAATGAAAAGGCTTGGGTTCCAACACTGCAGCATACTGCAAGAGATACACAATTTAAGTAGGGGGTTACATGCTAATTTTCCTTATTGTGACATCACAATAGGGGACTCGAAATGGTGTTAGGCACATAATACCTTAAACAAAACACTGACAGAAACAGGTGGAGGTTTTATTTTTAACATTTAGAGTGTTTATAGAGGCAGTTGAGGCCCATATAGCAGACAGCATCTAATATTCAAAAAGTCAGATTTGCATAAATAACCTATAGCAGAGAGGATTCATAAGTAAAAGTATATAAAAAAGAATAATATATAATGGGGGTAAAGCAAAAGCAAGAGAAAACTAAAGGGAAAGGGTACAGCTGAAAGAAGAGATGATGAGGAGAGGGATAAGAATGTGAATTATTAAGGGGAGTTAAAATAGGCTGGTGGAGGAAACAAGGAGCCAGGCTGATGATTGATTTTGGCTTTCTGACGAACCGAACTGGGTTTTCTCCTCTCAGCACCAGAGAAATGACACTCCTGCACAACAATATTAAGGTAAAGCTCACTAAAAAGGTCTCTGTTTAAATATTTCTTTAATATGAATGATTTATCACATTAAATGTTGAACAGACAACACAATATTTGTATTGGCAAACATTACAACAACATACAGTGTAGTATCAGTGTAGAAGTGTTGGTTAAACATTGCTTAAATCATTTCTTCTCCAATATTTTATTTTTTGCTAAAAGCAAAAGAATTAAAGGTTTCTCTATTAGCAAAAGAAAGTGGGCAAGTGGCCTAAAGACAGACTAGCGGATTACAGAGAAACCACCAGCCCATCCAAATAAAATGGATAAAAATGTATATGGGTTTGAAAATCCTAACAACTGCTTACCAAATACCACGAGCATCTGGCCAGTCACGAGCCATGCCTGCACACGTCAGGAGGGGGGACACAGGCTTATCAAACAGGAAGTGGTCCTACAGATAAAAAAAACACTTTAAACACGACGTGGATGGGAACACTGGTTGGTATCTGTTAGGCTAAACAAACAAACATAGTTTGTTTTAAGTACATTAAAGCTCAGTTTTGAAATGTAAAAGTTATAAATAATTACTATCTTACCAAAGTAAGTGGCCTCAGTTTGGAGAAATAGAATTTACATCCAAAACAACAGATGAGCTAATGGCTAGCCTGAGCACAGCCAAGAACAAAGCCGATTGCTGCCACCATGAAACAGTTCACAGGTCTCATTTACAAAACTTTGTGTAGAAGTCTTACTAAAACTCTACTTAAGCTCAGCAAAAAAATAACTCATGCAAAGTAGGGGTTGTATCAACTTGTCGACTAGTCAACTTCACTACTCTAGTCGCTGTCACGTTATAACGACCGACAAGATGCAGTCCTCGGAAAAGACAGCAGGTGGCGAGCCCCTGCACGTCAGGAGGCAACGCGCTGTGCCAGAGCGTCGGTACTGACACCCACCGTAAAACAGACATTTGACCGAATTGTGACCTTTACCCTCTTGCAATTTAACCTTCCCCTCACCCCCATCCTAACCTTAACCAGCTTGCGCATGCAAAGCTTTGATCGTTGACGCGATCCAGACATCTGCGTCCTGAGCACGGCCACAGTAACGTTATCAAATTAGGTGTCGCCACCTCAAAAACTAATTTAACACGCGATCGTTCATGTCGGCTCATTTCCTTTTATGTTTTCTGTCTTTTATTTGTGCCTGATGCTTTTTGCTGCTGTGGAGCCGAGCGCATCACCTGTTTTGTCCTCTGGTGACCAGCTCACCGGTGCGGCCGGCGAGCACTCCGCTGTTTTTGCGGTCGGTAGATCTTTTAGAACTGCAGTTCAAAGGTAACTCATAAGGTGAATATATATGAACCCAGGTAGCAGTTTTTCTTTAGGATTGAGAGGAGATGCAGGAAGATAATAAACAGACAGGACAGAAAAATAGTCAAATAAAAACAAGTTAGTTTTTGTACCTGGTGGTTGCAACAAACAGACACCATTGAAGGTAATCAGAAGTGAGGAACAGAAAATGAAATAATTATTTTATTGTTTAGAGCAGCAGGAACTCCGAGAGGCTGCAGGCGCATCAGTGAGTTTGCGGCCGCTGCGCAGGGGGAGGGGGGAGAGGGCTGAAGCAGGGAGAAGGGGGAGAGGGCTGAAGCAAGATGCAGAAACTACCGATGTTAAAAGAGATGTTTAACTTAGAAAATGTGGGCGCAATTTTAATTGTCAAAAACTCCAGCGAACCAACCAGATCTGTTGCATTTTACTGGTAACCAAGGCAACCGAGAGGTCAAGAAACACAATTTCAGTTGGAGGCAAAGAGGAAGAAGACAATAGTCATGGATCCAAAATGGCATCATTAAGGTGCTCAGTGGTGACTGAGACAGGGGCGTTTCCAGAAAAATTTGATAGGGGTGGCCAGACGGGGGCCAAAGAAAATTTTGGGGTGGGACACCAAATTGGTCCTTGTGGTAACTCTGGGAGAGTTTAGCCTGTGGCAAAGTGTTGCACTGGTCCTTTATTCGTTTTACTTAAAAAAAACAGTACGAAAGCAAAATATTGAACTTACATTTTACAAACACAAACATTTCAGAAAAATTCATTGCAGTAATTTAAAATGTTCTTTCAAATTTTATTTTAAAATGTATTTTTTTAGTTTAATTAACCTGTTCACAAAATACTATGAAGATAAAAACCTTTTTAAAATGGTGAGCAGCAGAAACACGTGTTTTTTAATTCTGATTATTTCTTTACTCATTAACTGTATTATTTTTATTTTCTTTTACAATTACATCTTTAATAAATAAGATCAATTTATGGTTTGAGTGAACATTAATATGATTTATTAACACTGGCTTTTGCTGGGGGGCCAGCAATTTTTTAGGGCCACCCCTTGGGGGCGCCATTGGACTCAGATATTCCAGCTCTAAGCATAATATTTAATTAGACTTTAGTCTTTAGGCTGGAACAGGCCGATTTCAGGAAACCCGAGACTGGTCAACATCTGCAGGTGCACTAGGACTGCATGGTTCCGGCGGGTCGGCTCATCTAACACCGGGCCCATTTCAGCAGATAGATCTAAGCTTAATCAGTTGAGCAGTATGTGTGCCTCCCTTACATCAATGAGCTGCTGCTGCTCCTTCTCTGTCATCTGGGTCAGGCTATAGTATCTCCCAGTCAGGTCGCCCTTCAGACCAGCCAGGGCATCCACCACCACTCTTTCCACTTCCCTGCGCTCAGCCCGGGTGCAGGCAGGGGGAAGGCTCAGCCCGCGGATACTGCGGCCTGTCCTCACCCTGGACGACAACACGTAACGGTCATCAAACTGGCCTGAATGAATCTGAAACAAAAACATGTAAGGAAATGGATTCATTTAAAGGTGGAAGAAAGTATCTGGTGGATGAAAGCTTCAGGTAAATGACATCATACGTATGGGATTATATTACTGTATTTAATTTAGTACAATGAAAATTAAACTAATCTGTTGTAAAACCTTGGCATGGCATAATACGTGTTAATATTAAATGAAACAAATCTAAATACTGACAAACTAAGTGCATCAACACTGACCGACTGATAATTAAGATTGAAAGCAGCAGCAAGGTGCTGCAAACTAAATCCACCTGCTAAAAGAATCATTGGGAGTTTGAACTCTCTACAGTGGACATGATCACATGTAAAATAATGATGTCAACAGAGAACACCACAGTGGAGACATCTGACCACAATGCAAACCTACACAAGAAGACTAACAACACATCAGCTAAACTGGAAACCTGCTAACAGTTGAGCACTGGTTTGGAGTGGGGTAGACCGATATATCGGGCTGATATTTACCGTTTTTATACATTGGTCGATATTTGTCCTTAGTAAAGCCGAATTAAAGTCAGGCACATCTTTGGGGAAACTGCTGTTGCAGAATTTTATTTAAATTTATTTTTACATTTACTAATAACATCTGCACAATGAATACACTAAATCAACTTTATTTAGGTGTCTGACTTTAACACTGAGTGGTGCACAAAGCTAAGATTTACTAGTTGATTAAAATCAGAGTTCAAAACTGATTCAGCTTCAGAAATGTTGTGCATCAACTATGTTATTAGTGTCATTTTAACATGAAAATAAGATGGAAAATGTCTAGATATCAGCCATAAAAACTGGCCCATAAAGACTGGCAGTACATATCGGCAATCGGCTGGCCATGTCGGCATTGATAATAGAAAAACTAATATCGGTCAACCTCTAGTGTAGAGGGATGATACTTTGGACTTGCTTCAGTCACTGAGCATGAATTCTGTTTTATATCAAAGTGGATATAGAATCAAATATGAAGCCATCTGTTCAACAGCCGAAGCTTGGCTAGAATGAGGTCACCCAACAGGACAATGATCCCAAGCACAGTAGAAAGCCTGAAAAGCACAGGGCCTCATCAGAACACTTCCTACACTAAAACCAGCAGAATAAAAGTATAATTTATTTATGCATCTTTGTTCCCCCTCCAGATGATTCCTAGGTAAGTGGCTTCAGCTCCTTCTGCCCAACAGCTGATGCAGCAGAATACACACTCCTTCTAACTATGCTACAAAAGATTAGCATCCAGCTAGATTAGTGGAGTAGGAGTTAACACAACTACAACCTCTAACTACCAATCAAATGATAAAACACACACACACACACACACACACACACACACAAACACACACACACACACACACACAGACACACACACACACACACACACACACACACACACACACACACACACACACACACACACACAGGGCTGATCTCATCCACTGGAAATGAAGAGAAAGGTTTTGGGTAAGTTTAAACAAAGAGTTGTATAATGACATCATTTTATTCTTATTACATAATGGATGAAATATAAATGTCTCTCTTCCAAGGTCGTGTGACCATGTCTGTGTTACCACCATTCCTCTGTGGCTCTATAGGAGCTCTATCACTGCATCACTCCTCTACAGCTGTACCTAAGAACACTGCAGCTGTGACAACAAACCAACAAAAACAACTCTTTCCATACTTCAAAAATAACAACTTCTGGTACCTTGCTGGAGTCTAGGTCAGTGGGATGTTTCATGACACAAGGGTCGTAGCCATTGTGCCTTTCTTTGATAATAGGGTCCAACAAGTCTGCAAACACCTAAAAAGAGAAACAGAATTAAAAAGGTGGTACAGACCAATGCAGAAGAATGGTTAAGTCCTCTAAGGGACTTTTCAGCACAGAACTGGAGATGCTTGCCAACCCCAATATGACACTTTTTCTTTAAAACAGAAGTAATCATTTCCACATTTGTCTTCATTTAAATAACTAGTTAGCACTGGTTCTGTAAAGGACACTAACCAAATCACAAGTTATCAATCTGTCAAACAGCTCAGATTAGGTAGGTCAGTGTCATAAAACAAGTCATTGGGGTTAAATAGTTGTGATGTGGTAACTTCAGTTTTATTAGGATTCTGTTCATCAGGTCCTGCAGAGTAAACGTTCAGTTTTAGGTACTGACTGTATCAAGAGGTTACAGCATCTTTTTCAGTACTTGCACTGAAAAGTACTTCAGTACTTTCTCTAATGTAAACCACCACGGTTCATATATAGAATTTATCAGTTTGCCAGAAAGAAAGGAAATCACTGTTACACCTATATCTAAATAAAAATTCAACAAAACAAGTGTAAAGCTGAGTCAGCAGCAACACTACATTCTTCATGGCTAATAAAGGACAGTGTGTCATATCATGTTTCTGTGTGTGTGTGTGTGTGTGTGTGTGTGTGTGTGTGTGTGTTTGGAAATACAGGAGCTGTTAAAAAACTGTAGACATTCTGAAAATTATGACACCAAATTGGTCATTTTTAGGCCAACAAATCAGAACCAAATTAACAGCTGATGTCTCAACAGCACATAGTCTTGAGATATTCCACCAAAGTTTGCTACTAAAGCAGAAATCTAGTTCATCCACAAATATTCTAAATCATTCTTGCACACTGGTATGGAGCATTGGTGTGTGTACCACTATATACTATCTACATCATTATAGGTGGTGCTTAAAATGTACATTTGCTAATTCTGTCTCCCTCTTTCTTTGGTTAACAATCATGATCCATTTTCTGTTCAGGGTCACGGGACCTAGACATATACAACCACATACACACACACACACACACACACACACACAAACACACACACACACACACACACACACACACAAAAATACACACATGCACACACACACACACACACACACACACACTCATGCACACACACACACGCTCATGCACACACACATACACACACATGCTCATGCGCACACACACACACGTGCGCAAGCACACACATACACACACACGCTTGCTCACACACACACACACACACACACACACACACACACATGCACACACAAACACGCACACACACACACACGCGCGCATGCGCAAGCAAACACATACATACACACACACGCTTGCTCACACACAAACACACACACGTTCACACACACACACACGCTTGCTCACACACACACACACACACACACCTACACACAAACGTTCACACACACATGCACATACACACACACACACCCACACCCACACGTGCAAGCACACACATACAGACACACACACGCACACACACATACAGAAATGTGCACACACACACACACACACACACACACACACACACACAAAAATACACACATGCGCGCACACACACACACACATGCTCATGCACACAGACACACACAAGGTACTGCAAACTCCACTTAGAAAAGTCCCACTGAAGATTTGAACTTGCAATCTTCATGTCAGAAGACAACAGTGAAAAGAACATTTTGTAAAAAAAAACAAGAAACTTTATTTTCTAAGCTGGCAGCAGACGTGTTAAGGTTAATCACGTCTGAGTAACAAATGATTGCTTCAGACAGACAGAGAGGGGTTCTGCGTTAGGGTAAACCAATATATCTGTCGGCCATATACTCTACCTCATAAGTAAAGCCGATTTAAAGTCAGGCACATCCCTGGGCATCTGTGCTGCAGAATTTAATTCAAGTGTATTTTATGTTCCTGAATAACACCTGCTTTAATAAATGCTCTAAAAAAGATTTCCAACTAAAATGTATTTTATTTAACAGTTTTGACTATTACTTGGTCAGTTTACTGATTTGTTTGATTAACTTTAGGTAGATGTCTGATTTTAACACTGAGCAGTGTACAAAATAGATATCTGTCATGAAAATCAGAAGCACAAATTAGCCATCAGCTGACCTTTACATATCGGCAACGATAATAGAAAAACTAATATCGGTCGACCTCTATTCTGCGTGTTCAAAACATGATGATGTCTGACCTCATAAGACTCCTCATCTCCTGCCACCATGCCCACAGTCTTGATGAAGGGATGCCCGGGGTTGTCCACGCCGGTCTGGATGGCTTGGTCCAGTGTGTATCCGTTAGGAGTGGTTTTATCACACAGCTTGGCATAGATGGCAGGTGTCAGATTACTGGCCATGCAGTTATTGTGTTGGCGCAGGTCAGGGTACTCCGAACTGCATAAATAGAAATGGGAGATAAAAAAGAGCTATATTGATCTAAAGACAATTAGTGTTGGTGTGGCTCTCATGGGACTGTGCTCTTGAAGCTGCACACTAAGGAACTTTTTACATGGCTTGTGTGTAGGCAACAGAAACAAGCCTGTGGCCTGCTACACCACACCTTTAGCAAACAAATCCAACAAACCCATTAGCTCCTGCGGGAGAAAGTGGCATGAGACTAATCTGGAAAGGTTCTGCAACAGAAAGGGCATACATCTACAGAAGACACTGAAAGAGCTAATCATTTAAAGCTGAATACAGGATTGTGCTTCTTTTAGCTGAATAAAAATGAAGACTAAACATGGTATTTCAGGTAAGCATTTGGACCTTCAGGAAAAAAGGTGAATGCTGTCAAAAGCACAAAACCTTTGCTCTCAATTAGGGATGGACTTGGCATCAATATCGGTATGGGCCAATGTTAGTCATTTTTTTAACATATCGGTATCGGTTTGATAAATAAACCTGGGCCGATATTAACAACGAGGGGGGGGGGGGGGGGGGCTGTAATTGTTTAGTCATGTGAAGAGTGAATGAAATCATCTCGGAACCATAAATGTGTGTGGTGTGTGTACATGATAATGTAAATTCGTTTTAATAATTTTCATTTTATACAAAATTGTTGATTTTAGGAGCGTCAGTATATTGGTATTGGCAAATATCGGTTATCGGCCATAACAGTGATCTTAACATCGGATATTGTATCGACCCAAACATTTCATTTTGGCGCGTCACTACTCTTAATATCCTACAAAAGGGTGAAAAATGAAACGTGGCTCAGATCACCTTGACAGACTAGAGTCATTGAGTCTCTCAGATCATAAGGCTAAGGCTCAAAATGACTCATTGTTTCTATTAACATAATCTCATAATGCGAGATGTTTTGAACAAATGCACACACACACACACACACACACACCACTTCATGCATTTAACTTCAATTGTACAGTCCTGAATCAATGAATTATGAGTGGTTAATTTAATTAAATGAGCAGAACACATTTGATTTGGAAGGGTTCTTCTGGTGTACAACAACGATTAAATGGCACAAGACTCTTAATTAGGTTAAAATGTGTGTTTCAGCGTGGTGAGTCTAAAAGAGTAGACCCACAGAAAGATGAGTTGGTTTCAGCACTTGAGTTATTTTGTAGGTTTATTACACAAAATACAACATTCCTCCTTTTTCTGCTACAAACTAATGTGGTTAGGTATAACGACCCTTGTCTTGAGTAAATCTGTTAAACTCAGTCTTTAACTGCACTGGTCTTCCAAGATGATCCTGCAAAATGATACCAGACACTTATGAGACCAAGTTTTTGTGTGTCCAAAATCACTTCTTCTTAGCCCAAAAGGGTTTGTGTGAGATTAGCTGACAGGAAATGACATAAAACAACAACAAAAAAAGATGTAGCCCACAGGTGATCTAACACAAACTGTGTACATGGTGCACATTTAATCACTGGCAAACGTCATAAACGTGATGTAATTACAATACAGCAAAATCTTTATGGTTACATTGGGCAACAATAAGACTGACTTTGTAACCGCAGGTGCTTTTGTGCATGGTCATTATAATCCAGCAGGGTTTGGTTTCTGAGCAGCAGATAATGTTTCCCTAATCTACATACAGTCAGGCTGATTTATTGCTGGTGCAGGTGTGTTTCTGAGCACGTAGGCTTTCTTTCTTTCTCCCGTACATGGAAATGAAAGTAGATTTATGACGTGTTTAAAATCTGGTTTATTGGTTGTTCTCTGACCTCATTCTGAGTACAACTTAAATAAGCAATCTGGTCTATTTGAACTCATGTATTAATATTCATTATGTGCGAATTTGTCATTCTGCATTCAACTTTTAAGACATTGCTTTATTAATGTCAGTTTGTTTCCGTTTCAGGTGTAAATCTTCTGAAATATAATATAATATAATATAATATAATAATTCTGGTAGAGGTGCAGGGCACTCTTCTTCGGGTCCTCGGGCCTTTGACCAGTAGACGCAGTAATATTCCATTAGCTAATATAAATAATTATAAATGATATATCTATTTGCTCATTACTCAGTAACAATGCTAAAATAACCTCAATATTATCATTATGACTTTTAATCATTTAAAAGCTAAACGTTTCTTCATGTTCCTTAACCTTCATGATTCACTGTACTTTATTGCTTTATTTCACAGCCGTTGAACACTAAAGCTCTCATTTTTCTGTAAAACAAGGTCAGCCTCTAGCTCAAACATTAAGAAATGTTCTGAACTGACACTCAGGCCGGAGGGACAACGTTACCTGGCGGGGTACCTCCTGCGCAGAGGTGATCCGGCGCTGGCGTGTTCCCGCTGGAGCAGAAACCCTGCCGCTACGGAGCCTCCCATCAGCGACAAGATGCCGATGTTTCGTTTGGAGGAAAGGATTCTCGAGAAGCTGCTGGCCATGTTGATTTTAATAGTGTTAAAGAGATGTTAATCCCACGGAAGGAGAAACGAACTGGGTTGGAGCGAAGGTGATGAAGAAAGAGCCTCTGATGGAATTGTGAGAACGTTTCAAGGAGGATCGTCAAGATGGATGGAGACACACGACACGGACCGGAAGCTACGCTAGGTTTCAAAATAAAAGCTCATGCGTGGAAACTTTCTGGACTCGGACTATTGTTGTGCATGTTTCTAATAATCTTGAAAGTAGCCTGATATGATGGTCTAAAGCGAACATTTTAGAATGATCGAAAACCTATATAAATAAGAGATAGGCTGCCATATTGCTTTGGCTCATACAGCAGGGACGATATGTTGTCTCCATCCGCCCATTCTAGTAGAGCCGATTTCAATACAGGCATGGGCAGCCTGGAGCCGCTCCTGAATTTTATATTAACGTATATTTACATTCCTGATAAACATCAAAAACATTACATTTAACTGACATTTCATATTTAATAATTGGAGTTATTAACTTTGGTTAAATTATTCTAACACAAAATAAGATTTAACTGTTAAATTCAGTTTAAAAAAACTGAATCATGTTCAGAAATGTTCTGTGTCTACTGATATTTCTGACATGTTTTAGTAAGTAAATAAGTTAGAAAATATCTAGATATCAGCTGTGAAAATCAGCAGCACATGTTGGCCCTCAACTGACCACGACATCTACATATTTGCATCTGTAACAGGAGAACCCATATCTTTAATGTAGATTGTGTATTACTGATATTATTGATTTTTGGATATCAGGTGAAATTTAAGAGCAAAAGATTAACACTCATTTATAGATTACTTTTGCTGTGAACTAGCAAAACGGGATTTAACTTGTAAAAAATCTGGTCTGCTTGATCAAAAAGATTAAATGATGCATTGCATTTTAGCAGAGGAGGTGACATCTGGGGGCATTTTTAAATTTAATTGAATACAAATCGACAATTTAAATTCTATTTTTCAACAACTGCTTAGAAACACACTTTACATGATGATTAACATTAATGTAGCTAAACATCACATTAGTCCAAAAGTAAATAAAAACATAAACACACCAGACCTTTTGGTGATGAAATCATCAACACAAGTGCTACTTCTGATTAATGGAAATTAAAGCAGGTGTTTCGAGTAAAACATTATTAAAAATCATTTAAGTGGGTGTGTGGGAGAAGATAAGATTCAGAACTGATATGCAGGAAAAGTAGGCTATCGTTTTTAAAAACCGTGTTTTGTTTTAAAATCGTTATTTTCTCAGTTTTTACTAAACATTTAGTATTTGACCATTTAAAACGTTTGATTACTGGGGGGTTGTTTACTACAGGAAGTCCAACACCTTATATTTGGGCTAACTTGATGGTGAGTAGGTGCGTGGCGAGCATCCATCATCAGTGAGGCTATGATTCACATCACATCAGTGAAAACGCTATAATACAGTTAGGTCCCCCACTGGTCCACTGTTTTCTATTTCATTAGACAGAAGAGCTTCTTCATCTGTTTCACACTGCATCAAGGTTACGCCAGTCATTCAAACCTGCGTTTACTTCCTCATTACGTCACGCATACTGGATTTAAAGTAAATAGTAAATGGCCTGTATTTGATATAGCGCCTTCTAGAGTTCTTGAAACCTAGTTCTTGAGAGAAAATTTTGGGGTGGAGGTGGAGCATTGAATAATTGGTCCTCCTTATGCTAACTCTGTCTGCCAGAGGCGGTACAATTAATCTAATACCATCCATCCATTTTCATCCACTTATCCGGAGTCGGGTCATGGGGGCAGACATCCCTCTCCCCAGCCACTTGGGCCAGCTCGTCTGGGGGAATCCCAAGGAATTCCCTGGCCAGGTGAGAGACATAGTCCCTCCACCGTGTCCTGGGTCTACCTTTAGGTCTCCTCCCGGTTGGAGTGCCCGGAAAACGTCGCCAGGGAGGCATCCAGGAGGCATCCTGACCAGATGCCCGAGCCACCTCAACTGGCTCCTCTCGATGTGGAGGAGTAGCAGGTCTACTCAGAGCCCCTCCCGAATGACCATGCTTCTCACCCTATCTCTAAGGGAGAGCCCAGTCACTCTTCGGAGAAAACTCACTTTGGCCACTTGTATTTGCGATCTCGTTCTTTCGATCACTACCCAAAGCTCATGACCATAGGTGATTAATCTAATACTAAACACTAAATTCATTTCACTAAAGTCCAAACACATTTGACCTCAAATTTGAGACACAAACATTTCATAAAAAGGCATTTCAGGCCGTTATTTGAACAACTTCAACATTGTATATATAAATATATATATGTATATATATACATATATATGTACATACATATATATATACACATACATATTTATATAACACATATATATATATATATACATTCATATTTATATATACATATATACACACACACACACATATATATATATATACATATATTTTTTTTAGAATTCTGGAGGAGTCTAATGGACATTACTGTCTTCGTTAAAACATCCACAAAAACGGGAAATTTACACTTTGAAAGTTATGAGAAGCAGCGACCTTTAAACATCTTCTAAATTATGATTCTTTCATTTACTCATTAAGTATATGCTTTTATTTCAATTTTAAACATTGGAGAATTAATTTGTTTGTGCAGACACAAATATGGTTTACTGGTGGGTGAGGCCAGTAATTTTTTTAAGGGCGGCCATGGGCCCCCTTGGGGGCACCCCTCAAAGGACAAACTCTTCAGCTGTCATAATTTTATTAGACTCAGCACCTGTGTGCACTGAACCATGCTTATCAAAAATAATAAAAGCCACCAAATCTAGAAGTGCATCCCAGATCAGAAATTCAACCACAACTACTGAAGAGCACGGCAAACAAGCTTTTATCCATTAGGTATGGTTTTTATAAAGAACATTTAAGTTAGAATTACTGAAGCACCCATATTGTTTTAGCTTTTTCCTACCCAGTTACATTAGAACAACCTAGACTTCAGGAGCCATCGACCCAACATTGTCATGTCATTTGGTCACATCAGATAATTGGTTGTATAAGTAGCACTTTAGCAAATGCACTTTCTGATAGCCTTTTGTGAACAAACCTGAATCTGCAAATACACAGCTTCTGTGGGAAAATCCAAGTACAAAGTTCACAACATGAACCAAATCCGTCCACCACGTGTTCCTGGACCAGTCAGAAGCTGCTGCTTCTATGCAGTTTATGCAGCTAAAATAATATTCAGCCACAAGTGAGAAAACTAGAAATAAAATACCACTTAAGGGCAATTTTACAAAGTTTGTCTTTAGAGCAAACAAATAAATAAAAGATAATATATATGCCTCAGCCTTAAACTGTTCCGCAATAACACTGAAAACTGTGCCAAAATGAGCTTGCTTTTGTTTGGTTAACGGTGCAGACTCATGTATTCATGAGTAGTTGTGTTATCAGACCGACAGCACAACCCTTGAAAAGCAGGTGAATACACAGAAACCATGTCACACTTCTCGATAAACCCACTTTAGTCCCTGAAACTTAAAAATTAATCTGGTTAAAGTTTCAATACACAGAACAACTGTTTGCTTTTCAATAAATTTAAAACAATAAATTTTATTTACAAAATTTAGGCAACATATTTACAACAGTTGGACATTCCCATTTCATTAAAAATATCAGTGATTTTATCAATATCAATAGATTCTATATGAAACTAAACAAATAAACAATATTGAAGTTAGACTATGACTTGACTGTAACATGTTACAATTCTTAATTAAAAAAATAAATAAAATGACATTATTTACCCAAATGTTTATTTTATAACAAAAAAAAAAAACAGGCAACATGGAAACCTTAGAATCGTAATTACAACAAAACGTGAAATCAACTTCCAACATCTATAAAAATAATCTTTTTTAAACCACACTCTTCATCTCAAATCCCAGAGTTTTGACCAATCAACCAGTGAATTTGGATCAGAGCAGGCAGAAGGCGTCTTTCATAACAGCTCGGGTCTTTCTCTGCTTGCCGTGCAGGCTTTTTGTTTGGCTCAGTGAAGCAGCCTCTTTCTGCTGTAGGTCTTCCCCGTGTTTGAGTGTCTGACTGGCTGTCTGAAAGGGGACTGCTCAGCAACTACTTCTGTCGTCCCTGAAGCAGCTTCTTCTACAACAAAGGGGGAAACAAAGACAGGATGAGTTTACTTGCAGTATGCATCATGCAATATCTACTCTATTTATCTTGTTTAAGCTCTCAGGAATAACTAGGTCCTGTTAACGAGTTGAAACTACAGTAAGGCAGCTATGGCATCATATATTTGGCTAAAATAGCTTGCTCATTTATAGGTGCCTGAAATCTAAGATAAATTAGCAGTTTAAGGATGAAAACACGTATTCTGTAGTCATGTTTACATCTTACCTTTAAAATTTGCTGCTCCCTTACAAGCAGAATCAGCTTTCTTCTTAAACAGCAACGGAGACTGGGTGAGGGTCAAAATACCACTTGCAGTCACTGGTTTTATCTTCTTCATGCTGGACGGGGTCACTGCTACCACAATACAGAAAACAGAGCTGAGTAAGTTACTGAAATTCCAGCTCAAGGTCATCATAACCATGATCAAAGATTTCTCAAATGTTTTATGTAAAAAACAAAAACAAAAAAACATTTCAGTTCAGTTTTAGTCATTTATGATTTCAAACCTTTCAAAAATGTGTCTAAACCTGCTTCAATCTGTTCAGTCATGGATGAGACAACGAAGCCCATCTCAGAGACACACTGGGTCACACCCAGTTCATTCAACTTAAGTCTTTAAGATCCCTAAGATCCTATTACCTGTGGTGTGCCACAGGGTTCCATCCTGGGGCTCCTTAGTTTATGCCCAACATCTTCCCCTTTGGTGAAATCTCTACCACTCCAGTAAACCCGACTCCATTCTCCCTCCCTCATAACTTTACCAACTCTCTCTCAACTCATGCTGCACCCATTCAAGTTCATAGTCTTGTTACCTCCCACACTGATTACCGTAACTCTTGTCTAGGCTTTTCACTCAGAAATCCCTCCATAAGCTTCAGCTGGTCCAGAAATCAGTAACCTGCTTCATCACTCAAACCCACTCTTATCACATCACCCCTGTCCTCCATTAACACCACTGGCTAGTGGCCAGGATCAGAAAAACTTTCTAACATCCATCTAGTGGTAGAGTGTCCGCCTTGAGACTCGGAGATTGGGGTTCAAATCCCGGTCGGGTCATACCAAAGACGTTAAAAATGGGACCTAATGCCTCCCTGCCTGATACTTGGATTAAAGGCGCTGGATGGGGGGGGGGGGGGGGGGACCACCAAATAGTTCATGAGCACGGCCATAGCTAAAGCTCACCGCTCCCCACGGGGATGAGTCAGATGTGGAGATGAATTTTACTGGTGTGTGATGACTAATGGAACTTTAACCATTTACATTCAATGCCATCCATAATCATGCTCCTCCTTTGAGTGACCTTCTCAACATTGCCACCACCTTCCCAGCCCAACATTCCTCGTCAATCCATCTCACTAGTTCATTATCATTACACTGGGCTGCTTACTAGTCATTATCCAGATAAACAAGCTACGATTATTTGGGGATGCCAATGAACCCAATCATCTGTAAACTTTGGGGGACATTACAGCCCAAAAGATACAAATAACAGAGAATGGTAATGTCTAGACTGGAACTGAAAACCTGCTTTGAGACTGTACAAATGTAATCACAAAATACCAATATGATGTGGTTATAACCTTACATCATGATTTTCAAATTAATAAAACCGAAACCATTGTGTGAACTGTGGAAATGCTCTTACTTGTTGTGACATCCCAGCTGTCTGAGGCCCAGAGGACTTCTTCAGCTCTCTGAGCATCAGCACAGCTGGTCTGTTCAGCCAGCCTTTCCATCCAAAACAAATCCTCCAGTGGTGAAAGAGGAGAAACATCTGCAGCAGTTGGGGGTGACTGTTCGGAATTCAAAGCCTTTTTTTCTGCTGTGGGACTCGAAGGCTCGTCGATGTCCTCGAAGTCCTGTAACCTACTGACACCAAGCTCAGCCTCCTCCAACAACTCTTCCAGCTGTGGCTCCCCCTTAGGGCCCTGCTCTTTCCCCCCAAACACTCTGATGTGGGCTCTCTTCTTGCGAGGCCAGCTGTTGAGATTTTCTGGAGTCACTTTCCCCACACTTTGAGGTGAAGGAGTTAAAGGGCCAATCTCCGCAGTGGTCACCGGAGACGCTACTGTGGCATGGCGTGTAGGTGTGTATGACTGGCAGATGTAAGTTTGGACACTACCACCTTTTCCAGGGGTGCTCTTGGCTGGAGTGACATGACCACAGACAAACGGTGAGCTACATCCAGTATCTCTGTGCTTTAAAAATAAAGCCGCTGGACTCTCCATGCTAAGTTTTTTACCCACAGACGAGCTTTGAGCTGCTGACCAGGGACTTCCATCAGTACAGTCATCAGTACTCATGGAATCTCTGCGTTTAATTTTGAGCTTGGGAAGCCCTGATGTCTGCATTTCTAATTCAACTTGATAGGTGAGTGGATTTGGAGTAATGGTGCTTTTTAGCTGTTTGGATCTTGCTGGGCCTCTAGGGGTTGAAAAGTGATTAAACTCATTTGCATATCCTAAACGAGCAGCAGCCTCCCTCTGCTGGCGGTCAGGGGTTTGTCGAAAGCCATACCTCCGGCCAGGTGTGTTGTGTGAAGGAGACTGTAGAGCAGGCGAACCCCTGTTTGACAAACACTCTTCAGTAGACACTGAAGGCTTCCTTGAGAAGCTAATGTTCATTTTAAGGCCTTCATTAAACTCAGCCTTAACAACTGCAGCATCAACAATATCCAAACTATCATCGTCTGTGGTGGCAGAATTCCCATGGGATGAATCAAACTCCTGCGATGCGGTATGAACGCTGGAGTCACATCCAGCAGACTGATTGCTCTTTGCCTGCTCCTCTTTAGTAACGGGATGGTTCTCAGGAAAGGCTGACGTTAGTCGGGAGGCTAAACTCTCAATCGACTTAGATCCCAAGTCATTTCTAGCTGTTCCATGATTATGACCAGATCTTATTCTTCTCAAGCTCTTTTCGTGAAATTTAACGGCAGAATCAGATCCGGCTGAAAGTTCAGAGACTCCTGAAGGGGGAAATGTTGGGTCAGACTGGGATGCAGCTTTTGAACTTCCCACCGGAGTTCGTCCAGAGCGAGTAACCATTCTGTGAGTGGGACTAGGGCTCTTTACTTGAGTTCTGCTGTTGGACTGAGGAGAGATCCTTTGGTCTGAAGGTGTTGGGGACAGTGAAGGGAGTATTTCCAGATGTTTCTCATCTTTTTCAGGAGTTTTCAATTTGACATATTTTTCCCATGAATGATTTTTCTCTGGACTCAAATCATGTTCAAAGAATCTTACCAGGTTCACTTGACAAGTCTTTCCTGGGACGTTAAAAACACATCTTTTAGTGTTTGTATTTTGGACAGGACTCATCTTGTTTATGGGTATTTTCATTTGTCTCTCAGAACTGGGGGAAGCCATATTGGGTGACTTGGGGACCTTAAAAGTAGTGCTGCCCTCCACCAGTCTATATTTTTGAGGAGACGGTGACCATGTAACACTCTTCTTAGGAGTCCTTGATGCCGGGCTGTTGAGTAGATGTAATCCTGAGGAGGCGCCATGCTGAATCGAAGCTTTAACAGGGGTCTTAAGGATACCCTTTAAAGGGCTCGTAAGAGAACTTTGCTGGATAGGTGTGTTTATAACAACTTCTGATCTGCCTGGAGGTCTGAAAGGACTTTCAGGAGCTCCACAGCTGCCGGCTACAGGACTCTTGGCTAACGAAGAAACATCCATTGTGGACAATGATGAGATTTGTGCAGTCTGAAGTGTCCCAGGAGATACATTTTCAAAAGCAGGCCTTCCACGTTTGAGTGACTTTTTTGGGGTTCTGTTTGGACTCTAAAAATACAAAAATAAATAAATAAATAAAAATAAATTAGACAAATTTGGGCTTTTCTTCTAATTTTTGCTTGAAAATCACATTGTGTGGTAATATGCCATCTGATGAAGTTAGATTTTCATGTCTGATAAATACTTTAGACATATCCATTTAAGTGCGTGAGGTTTAGAATAATTAAAGAGATATCTTACTTCAAAGACACTTGAGTCTGAGCTGAAGCGAGACCTGGTGGTCCTGCTTTCAACAAACACAACGGAGGAACGACTGGGAGAATCAGCAGCTCCAAAAAGAAGACGCAAAGGAGACTGAACCTCTTTAACATTAATCCCGGGGATTGTTCTGTCACTGAGCGTGAGCTGGGATGCAGACAGAGCCTTCTCTAGGTTTCTAGAACGAGGCTGAGAACTCGAGTAGAAAACATTTGAGTGTCTTCTAGCAAACGACTTTAGTCTTGGACTCCTCCTCAATTCTGCAACAAAACCAAATCACAAGTTAAACAAGTTTATAGCTAGAGTTAATACTGAAACTCATGTTCTGATTTAATGACAAAGAAACAAATCAGAAGCAGCCAAGAAACAAATATCTACATGAAGGGCAAATGCTATCAAAATTAGGTGGAAATTAATTTAAAGAGCAAATTGCAGATACATTTTTTTCTAATTCATATAAAATGCTGTCCAAAAATACTATTTGAAAAGCTTACTGTGGATATTTCCTTTTAAAATACATAACGGCAGAGTTTTTCTAGTAAAAAGTGGCCTTTCTCAGCAAAGCTTCTAAAAAGGCTCTTTTTTCTAAATCTTAACCTCTGACGTAACCAAAGGGAGTTAGAAGCTAGAAGCTGCCTCAGCTCAGTGTGGAGAGTGGGTAGTTTTAGGGTAGAGAGGTCATGTGATCCAGTCAGTGTGTGTGTGTTTGCTAGTTTTGGGTTGTGTTCCTTTTGATACTATAGTTTGTGAAGGCTGTACCAACTCCAGCCTGTCTGGACATCGAGTCCACGGGTTTCCAGATAAAAGAAACAACGCTTCTATCTCCGGGCCTGAGGCCGTTTAGTACAGCTGAAAAGACGGACTTCTGTAGCCCACATCGGTCGGCACCGGGACAGGGAGGTCCGCGCTGGGCTCTGGAGACCCGTGGTGGGTTTAAAAAATTAAATGCGGATTTCTGGAGCTCAGATCACCACCAGAACCAGGTCAGAAACGACCACCAGAAGAGACACGCTGCTCAGTGGGCCAGTAGAGCTGGTGTCTGGGTCGGAACCGGATCAGAACCGCCGCTTAGACGACCAGGAGAAGATGCACGGCTTTTAAAAATACCAGCTCAACTGGCTCCCTTGTGTCTAGGCCGGATCCAGCTCACAGAAGCCCGCATGAGCTCCAGAACCGGATGACAGGCGCCTCTCTCTCAACGCTAAACTACGTTACGTGAACGGATATTAACGAGTATGACAACTGACAGACGCTCATTAGTATTAATATTATAATAACTAACAGATACTATTTTAATTGCCTGGTACATGGTAGTAATCTGTCCAACACTGTGATGTTAGTACACGAGTTTAAGCTAGCACCGTTAACTCACAAGACACCTGCTGCTCCCTCACTGCTTCTCCACAATCTCTCTGTTTTGGCCGATGGTTTCTCCCTCAGGTTTGTTTCTGCTCTCTGGGGCGAGCAGCAAACTCATAACTTTATGGTTTTGGTGCATCATAAGTAGAATAATAAACATTTAAAGTTTCCTCTGTGTCAGAGCCGGCATTAGAATCCATATTTTTCTCTGGATTAAGCTAACAGGACTCGCTCAGCTGATGTCACTTGGTTTGGAAAATAAAACATTTCTCACAAAAATGACTGTAAAAGCCTAATGAATTTATGTTTGTGTAAAAAAATGTTTAAATCGAGTTTTTCTTTTGTTTCTTTAAACATTGGTTCATGGGGTCTCTAACCTGCAATTTGCTCTTTAAGCTATAGAATGGCCATTTCACAGTGTTGGCTAATTTCATTTTTAATTACCACTACATTTATGAACCAATAATCTGACAAAAACAACTTATCCAGGAAATCACAAATTGACCATGAATATTTGTTATTTTGTTCTTGCAGCAGTGCCACTGGAATTTCAACCTGAGTATATGTAGGCGAAACACTTAGGCATCAGCAACACATTCCAGTGCTTCATGACTCTATATCACCATATAACCCACCCCTGTGTTGTTTTTCATAAAATCATGTGTATATAATCATACCACTGAGTATATATGAATGAATAAACAAGATTACACATTAATTAAGGCTGCACAATATATCGAAAAATTATCGTAATCGGGATAACAGGACGTGCGATAGGCCCATCGCAAAGCACATTAAAAACGGCGATAAATGTTTTGTTCAAACATTTCCATCCGTGTCATACATCAGCTTTTTGTAAACCAGCTCTGTTTTTTACGCAGAAGTATTATTTGACCAATCAAATGTAGCCCTTCTGATATGCGGCCAATCAAATGGGTCCGTTCACGTAATACGCCCGCCCTACCCTTAGGATGGAACGCAACACCCAAACTGAGTTAGCGGCGCCGTTCCCTTGTTCGTCATGCTGGCTCAGAAAAACGAACGCACTTTGTGCTGAGGTTTCTGGATTCAGCGCTGCTTTCAAACGTGAGTCCGTTCTGTGTCGTTAATCATTTTTACCGGGCTGACTCCGACACATGCCGGTGAACCAACCCACCTTCATGTCGCTAGTGTTCTACCGGGTGGTGATGTTAGCCCCAGGCTCCAGTTAGCTTCCAGCTAAAAGGCTACAGCACTCTCCTCCCAGTCCCACCCTGCTAAAGAGGGCCTGGAAAAGTTCCCCCACACATCAAAGTGATTTTTCATTTATGAGCTTTTATAACCTTGTTAATCAGGATAGTTGATTTGCTGCTGCACATAAACTGTCAGTCAGAAGCTCTGCTAGCCGGTTGTCTTAGAGGAGCTAGTTCAATTTGTTAGCTTGTTATCAGAATCATAGTTGCAGTTTCATCATCTGAGCTGCTTTTTAAGATCTAGGTAAACTTGTTCAATTTGGGGTTAAAAACAAACGTTTTCACACATTTTCCATGGTTTTTTTTGCCAGTTCCTCTTCTGAAAGGTAGACAATTGTTTTTCTCTTTCCCTCAGAAAATCTTATTATTCTCCTAGTTTGGCCCAGCACAGTTCACTTCCCAATTACAGCAACAGCCTTATATCATAACCACATAAGTGGAGAAAATGCTCAGTAGCAATGAGAGAATTTGCTGTTGCATTTAAGTGATGTTAACTATTATTTAACATTTAAACTTATTTTCTGATTTTTTTATTTATTCTAAAAACCCTGGTAAGGGATGTTTTTCTGTATTTGGAGCATCAGAAAAAGTTTTATGGTGGAGGTGATGTTTAAAAGTCACTGAGAAACTGCATGCATGCAGTTTGTTGTTTTGCTGCTAATACAGTAGCAGGTGCAGCTGCATAGTTTTGCAATAAAAATGTTATGTTGTAATGGAATTCATGCATTAGTTTTTGTTTGCTTTGAACCCAGAGCAGACGTCACACGCCAGATGACATCAACACTGCATACTTTAGTATTTGTTCATTTACCGTGAGTAATATCGATATCGCAATATTAAGCACTGTTATCGAATATCGCAGGTTTTCCTAATATCGTGCAGCCCTAACATTAATCTATAATTTCATAAAGAAAACATCTGGGTTAAAACACGATACCTTCTGCAGGTTTAACAGGGGACTCTTCCACAATGCACTCATCAGTGAGGTCACCTGTCCTGTAGAAAACCACAAATAATGTTTTTAGTATATAGTTCATACTGCTCATGCTTTTGAAACATCATTGCATTCTACTGCAACAGAGCTGACTGAAGCTGAATTTGATTTGGACTGATTAGACTAGGTTGAAATTTTAGAAAAACGTTTTAATAATGATAAATGACCCGCACTTGTATAGCGCCTCTCACAGTAAGGACTCCAAAGTGCTTTACACTACAGTGTATCATTCATCCATTCACACACACATTCACACAATGATGATGATGAGCTACGATATAGCCACAACTGCCCTGGGGCGCACTGACATTGCTTCTGTTAAATACGCAGAACATTTAGCTTGGAATGGATTGGCTCCGGCCTATTTGATGGAGTTGAGCCACATGTTCCTGCTCAGGCACTCCACTTCGAGAACCAGTTGCTGCTTCTGGCTCCCAGAGCTCGGCTGAAGACAAGAAGGGATAGAAGTTTTCTGCAGCAGGACCATAGCTATGGAACAGCCCGTCCTTTTTCTGTTAGGCACTCTTCATCAGTATCGATTTTTAAAATGAGGCTGAAGACATACTTTTATGATCTGGCTTTAACTCTGTGGATTAGCCATTGCTGATATTTTACTCCAATTTTTACTTGTTGGTTTTGATTGTTTCAGTTGGTTTTATCTGTTTTATTTTACTATTGTACAGCACCTTGGTGGCATGTTTCATGCCTGTAAGAGGCTTTATAAATAATGTTGATGATGTCTCCCGGGACTCTGCCGGCTGCTGGTTGTGACCCCGGGGCAATCCTCTGCGCCTCTCGAGGGGGGCGGGGGCTTTTCTGGTTACAGTCTCCCTGGGGTCCCTGCGCTCTGGGGCAGCTCCTGGATCTCTGAGACTTGGAGCTCCTTCCATCTCCTACACATCTTTGGGGGGCAAATCTGTGGTCCCTCACACTCTCTATTGGATGCTCCTATTGAGAAACCTTACATAAACAAGCGCGGGTACACACACAGGTGCTCACATGGTGCTCTCATAAGTATGGGCTTGGGCACGTTCAACACATGTCTTAAGGCTATGGTTGGCACTAAATGCACTATGATTTATTATCGTGTGATTGTTCAGTTAAACAATGTTGATTTTATATTTCCTCATCAAGTTGACGCGGTGATAGCTTGCTCTTGTTGTATTGTTGTTGTGTCCCTTTTCTGCAGGTCTAGAAGCAGACTCTTGTTCATCATTGACTGCTTATTTTGTGGAACCCCCAACCCCCCTTCCTTTTGTTTCTGAAGGCTTGTCACCAGCATTCAGACATCAATTCTGTTTGCTTCAGAGCCAGACAGGACAAAGGAGGAAAAAAAAATGTTGACGATGAGTAGTTTGATAAACATAAATAATGAGGGGGGCGACAGCTCTGTCTCTTCCAGTTGAATCTCCGTGACATATAATCACGTGTTTTAATGAAGGCATGGGGTGAGCTAGACTAATCCGTAAGAAGAAGTTACGTCCAAATACTGATTTATACCTTCCCATTTTCTGCCGGTGTAGAAGGCGACTGGACACTTGCTTGTGGAGGGGTGTTTCACTCACTTTCTTTGTAAGAAGCTTGCGCCTCTCTGAAAGGAAAGAACCATATTCATTTACATAACATTTTAAAAATGAGCTAATTTGCTGCTTCTTTAGCCAAAAAACTTTAGGCATACATAGATACACAGATGTAACACTGGAACGCATTGTGTATCTTCTGCCATGTTCAACCTGAGCCTTCATTTGGAGCAGGTCCCCACCATGTGGAAGACATGTATGGTTCCAGTTCCCAAAACATGACATCCCAGAGAATCAGACTACTACAGACCAGTGGCCTTGACCTCCCATCTGATGAAGACTATGAAGAGACTCATCCTCACCCATCTACTTTCAGTGGTGAGCCTGGAAATAGACCCACTGCAATTTGCATATAAACCAAACATGGGGGTGGAGGACGCGCTCATCTACCTGCAGCACCGGGCGCTGACTCACCTCAAGATGCAAAATTGTACTGTGAAAATTATGTTCTTCGACTTCTCAAGTGTCTCCAACACCATCCAGCCGTGTCTACTGCAGCAGAAGATGAGGGGTGCAGGAGTGGTTGAACATCTGACTGCATGGACCATACACTACCTCATCAACAGGTCACAGTACGTGAGGCTGCACAACTGTACATCCGAAGTGGCTGTGTGAAGTATTGGCGCTCGACAAGGTACAGTGCCCTCTCCCTTTCTCTTCACCTTCTACACCTCGGACTTCACCTACAACACCAGCAGCTGTCACCTCCAGAAATTCTCTGATGACTCTACCATTGTCAGCTGTGTGTCTGAGGGGAATGACCTGGAGTACAGGTCAGTTATCATGGACTTGGTGGACTGGTGTAAGTGTAACTACCTTCGCTTGAACACCAGTAAACATCTTGGGAGCAGACATTGAGGTGGTGGATACCTTTAAGTACCAGAGTGTTCACCTCAACAGCAAACTGAACTGGTCCATCAGCACAGATGCTCTGAGTAAGAAGGGCCAAAGTTGCCTCCACCCCCTGAGGAGGCTGAGGAGTTAATTCCCATCTGCTAAAACCCTTCTATCACTCTGCTGTGGAAGTTGGGTGCAGGCAGCTCTGACCAAGACAAGAAGAGACTGAACAAAGCTAACTCGGTTCTGGGCTGCCCACTGGACTCAGTTGAGATGTGGGAAAGGAGGATGCTGGGGAAAATGACCTCCACTATGGTTGCAGGAATTTACTGGTTTTACTATTAACCCCAGGTAACCCCGTAAAGATGTCCCCAACACTGCCTATAAAAAAACTAAAGGACAATAGCACGATTTGCACAGACAAAAACAAAAGTGAAACTGAACTTGCGCACGCAGCAAAAGCCGAACCAGTGACAACAACCATCGAGACTGCTCTCACCTAGAAAGCGGTTTAAGTCTCTTGTGTGGGAATATATCCAATATATCTAAAATATTTCTACAAAGGAGACTTAAACCACTTCCTAGGTGAAAATAGAGCAGTCTCGATGGTTGCTGTCACTGGTTCTGCTTTTGCTGCGTGCGCGAGTTCAGTTTCACTTTTGTTTTTGTCTGTGCAAATCGTGCTATTGTCCTTTAGTTTTGTTTTTATAAGCTGTGTTGGAGATGTTTTTACCGCAGGGTTTACTGGGGTTAATAGTCAAACTGGTTAATCCCTGCAACCCTCCCACCCACTGCATTCCACTGTTGAGACCATGGACAGCTCCTTCAGAGGCAGACTGAGACATCCCAGATGTAAAACGCTACCGTAGGTCATTCATCCCCTCTGCAGTAAGAGTATAACTCCTCAGTTTAACTGATACTGGCATCATCCTGTTACACAGTAACACTAATGCAATACTCAGTATGTGTTCAATACTTGTGCAGTACCTGATTTACATAGTATGTCCGTGTCTCTTGCAGTATGCTGCAAAGTTCTGGAACCCAAGTTTAATTTTTATTTGTGATTTTTAGTGGACAAAGGTGATAATTATAGCTTACAGAAATATATATATATATATATATATATATATGTGTGTGTATGCATGTATGTACCTTTGTTACATTTTTTCTTCAAATTATTCTGCTAAGTATTTGTGCTGCTGTAACTAGTCAAGTTCCCCACTGTGGGATCAATAAGTCTACAAGCTTAACAATAGGTATAAAATGGTACCTTCAGATTCATCAGAATGCTTGCGTTTCAGTCTTTCCACAGCAGAAACAGACTGGCTCCGTGGCAGTCTGGCTTTCTTAGAAGGGGAAACAACCTCTTGGTTGAACAGGTTTCTTCTTACTTTGGTTACTTCTGTGAATCAATACATTTGATAGGAACTAATGTTAATTTGAGATCCCTTTTAACAGTTTCTTAGAAATAACAGCCCTCTGATATCCAAAGTGTAAAAACATGAGATGCCATCGGGGTCCTCTGATCCGATCATGTGATCGAAAAGCAGGCCCAAACACAACTTAAGTCAGGCCACATCGGTGGCATCAGCGATGTGGAACGGCAGTGGAACATTGCTGCTTAAAAATGAATCTATTATTGTCTATGGGATTAATTTTAACCGGCCACAGAGCAGAGCATTTCAGGCACATCAATCATCGGGCAGCTAAAAATTGGGTTGGGTTATATTTTTGCTGCGAGCCACTTCTGGAACACATTAATTTCTGCAATTAATATAGGGCTAGACAGGAAATTACACACAGTTTCAGTGTAAAGGAAATAATCATTTTCAAAATAAAAGACTATTGCAGATACAATTTCTTATCCACACAGATTTCTTTCATACATGTGACCTAATGGCTTATTTACTCCCACCGTCTTTTGAGAAGTGCAGCGGTGTGCTTTATTGCTTTATTCCTGGCAGTGGAGAGGCACAGCATTATATATGCCATCAAACAGCAATATCAAACGTGATCTCCATCTTCTTTTTGGTTTAATGTCAAATGGCATGAACAAAAATTGTGACTTTTGAAATCTCGAGGTATTTTGTAATCTCACGAGTCCTGCAGAGAAGCCATTCTGTGGCTGGGACTCCCTGGGAGTGGATTGACGCACCACAAAGCACGTGAGCATGTGCATTGCTAAGGTATCGGATCGGGACTCTGCGTGGGCTGATACTCAAAATCAAATGACGTGGCTCGGGGGCAAAACGTGATCAGAACATCCCTAGAGGAAGTATTTTCTGCCCTTTGAACTGAGTTTGATGTCAGTCATTCTCTGAGTCTTATAAAGCAGTCCATTCAAAAATGAGAAATATAGAAGAGTACCAATTATACTTGTTTGGTAGAAGTATTTTTGTACAACGTTGAATAAAATTAGCTCCAGATTTCTACCATGGAAGAGAAAAACAAATTTGTCTTTTGGGTTTACGAGAACAATTAAAATGTTTAATTTATAACAAGTCAAAATTAAAGCAATATATATATATTTTTTTTAATGTTTGCTAATTCTTTCAAGGCAGAAACAATACCCCTGGGTCTCGTCGGACCACGTTACGAGAGTACGACTAGCTCTCCAAACAGAAAGCTTTCATACATTCAACATTCTTGACTCCAACGCTCTTAACATACCTTGTGTTTCCTTTTTCTGAGAATGAATTCCTTTAACAGGTTTCTCCAAAGCAATACAGGCTTTTGTTTTGGACTAATACAAACAAAAACAAAACAAAGTAGTTGTTGGTGAGGATGTTTCAGATGATTTCAATGAAAAAAATAAAAGTATGATCTCTCATCTTACTGTTCGTGGAGCTTTCTTGGGTAATTCTATTTGCCGAAGAGTTTGGGCTGATTCAGCCATACTGCGATGACGAGTCAACACCGCGCTCCTGTTAAAACACATTCATTAGTTACACACACTACAATTCCTGACATGCTCAGATTTCCCACGGAGATACTAAAACTATCATGAATCCTCAAATGTCTTCCTCCTAACGTACAATCCAAGGTTGAATCTCTAGACTTCATAACTAAACTACGCCTTTCCAGCAAATGTGAATCCCAACCTTCTTTTGCTGGCTGAGCGATTCCGTAGGTCCTTCAAGCCATCTGAATCCTGGCTGTGTGTTGAGACAGGAAGTGAGGCAGCAAAAGGAGAGACACTGTTTTTGGCCACTGAATCATCGCTGAAGAAATCCGCGGGAAGAGCAGCAACCAAGGCATCAGGCAACTGAGTACCCAAACTGTGGTAAATCTCTGCAAGCACTGTAGGAATGGCTGCCAGAAACCTGCCAAGATGGACAAATGCGAGTGATTAGATCCCTAGATTTACCCATCTCACACACACACACACACACACACACACACACACACACACACACACACACACACACACACACACACACACACACACACACACACACACACACACACACACACACACACACACACACACACACTTACCCTGGGAGTACCTCATCTTGGAGAAACCTTGAGACGAATACTGGGTCTTTTCTTAGTGAGACTATCCTCAGCATTTCAGCTGCCTGAAGAAAATAAAATAATCTGAACTATTTTCTAATGCAGTTAATAAGGGATCAAAATCTCTTCCAAGTATCTTAATCCTTCTGAGTGAATGTTAAATATGCCTAGGAAGAAAACAAATATTTGGACTCAAATCCTGCTAGGTGTAGACACACTTACTTCCTCTGCCATCTGATCAGCATCCAGTGAGTTGAACTGCTCTGCAGAGATAAGTCTGCACAGTTCCAGCCGCAATGCTACTTGCAGTTGGCACCTAAGTGAGACATCCTGTTATTTAACTTTGAATCTTGCTGATTTGACTAGGGAATTAATCCACTTTGTTACTTTTCAAGAAACACTGGAATTCCCCTTTTCACTTTCAAAACAAAGCTGGGTGATAATTCACTCACTCTCGGACTTTGCTGTCATCATCAGCAGCAACTCCACTAAGCTGGCGGATCAACTTGCTTGACTTGAGTAGGTGTTGCTTCACAAACGAGAGAGTCTTCACCTGGAAAAAGAACTGCAATTAGTGACTTGTTTTGTCTCTGTTTGCTTTATCTTTTATGCTTAAACCTGAAATTTTGTAGTTTTGAAAGCCTAGTCAATACTTCTCCATCAGCGAGGACGTTTTCCTTTCAGACCGGTCTGTTGCCTGGAGAGTCCAGCAAAGCAATTCTCCACCAGGACAACAGAGGGCATAGCACCTTACTGGAGGTGTCCTGCCACCATTGCAGACATCCTCTGGTCAGCAAAAGCGTTTTTTTCCTTGGATTTTGGTAAATATCCATGCCAAGAAAGTAGGTAAGTGAATAAATATGTAAGTCTTTAGATAAGTAGAAGCAGGAGTGTCTGCTGCACATCTCTGTACTCCTTCAGTAAAAGGTTGTACAAATGTTCATATGGTCGGACTTATTCCACAAGATGTTATTTGATCTGCTCCAAGCCCGCTGCCAGATATCTACAGCACTCTGGTTTTTAGGGAGGAGCGGTGGTGCTGTTGGCAGATTTAAAGGAAGTGGCATGCTGGGCATATTTATTCAGTTATGTAGCACATACATTTTAAAACGTTTGGTAAAATGGTAAATGACCTGTATTTGATATAGCGCCTTCTAGAGTCCTGGAACCCCCCAAGGCACTTTACAACACAATCAGTCATTCACTCATTCACACACTGGTGGGGATGAGCTACGATGGAGCCACAGCTGCCCTGACAGAGGCGAGGCTGCCGAGCACTGGCGCCACTGGTCCCTCCGACCACCACCAGCAGGCAAGGTGGGTTAAGTGTCTTGCCCAAGGACACGACGCGACAGACTGAGCGGGGCTCAAACCTGCAACCGTCCAATTACGGGGTGAGCACTTAACTCCTGTGCCACCGTCGCCCACCATGACAAAGCAATACCAAGACAATAAAAGATCTACATTGCTCTGCCAAACCTGTACATGAAATTAAAAGGTGCCGTGTCTCACCTCCCAGTGGGATTCTGTCACAAGAAGAAATGTTTTTACAGTGATCAGGAGTTGTTGGACACTTGTTAGCAGACACGTGTCTCTTTCTGCTACAGTCTTTTCATAACTGGCCTTCAGGTGGGACAACAGCTCTTCCTCACAGGTGAAGCCTGAGCAACAGAAGATGATACAACATTTTAGGTCTTTATATAAGTTCTGTTGTGTTAAACCAGGAGCACTTACTGATGGTACTCGTCCCACCAGATTTGCTTCTGTCCTTTAACGATCTCCTCCCAGGTCTGTCTGCCCCCCGACCCTCGACCCCGAGCGTTTCTGTTTCTGCCTGGTTCTTCTGGGCTTTGACATTCAGGCGTGCCACATTCAGCATTTGCAAAGAGCGGCTCATTGTCTTCATTTTCTGCTTTACTGGTGTACGGTGGGTGCCGCCTAAAGGTCAAGGCAGGAAATTAAACTTTAAAAACATTTTAATGGAGGTGTTGTAATTGCAAGACAATAAAGTATTGAAGTTTGAAATAAAAGGATTGTTTATATTTCTGAAAAACATACAATCAGATGGGAAAAATCAGAACCCCTTCTGATTTGGTAAGTTTTGCGGCTCTCTAACAAAGAAATTATCACTCAACAGTTTCAATGGTATATTTGGATGAACAGTGAAAGACAGAACAAAATGCTTTTGAAAATGTTACAAATGTATTTGCATTTTCATGAATGGAAGCATTTGATCCCTCTGCAAATGTGCTTTAGTTCCTGGTGACAAAACCTTTGTTGCCACTCACAGACGTCAGATGTGTCTGGTAGTTTGGTACTCATCTGGGGGGGGGGGGGGGGGGGGTCGTCACTAGTGTTTGTGGCTGATGTTTGGCAACACTTCCCTTCAGCTCATTACACAGACTTTCAATAGGACTTCAGTCTGGAGACTGCCTAGGCCCCTCTATGACTTCAGTATGCTTCTATTTGAACCAATCCTTTGTTGCCTTGACCGTGTCATGCTGGAACATCCGCCCATGACCCATGTTCAATGCTCTGGCTGAGGGAAGGAGGCTCTCACCCAAGCCCCATCCATTCTCTCTTTGATGCAGTGCAGTTGTCCTGTCCCCTTGACAGAACAACACCCTCATGGCATTATGCTTCCACCTCCATGCTTGATGGTGTAGATGATGTTCTTTGAGTCAAAGGCGGCATTCCTGCTTATTCGACCATGGTGAGTTAAACCAAACTCAAGGTAATATTTTAAACAAACAAAAAACCCACAGCACCCTAAAGGGAGATCTACTCCAAGCAAAAGATCAACTCTAAACCTAAATGTAACAGCTTAAAATGCAAACAGTAGCTTTACCATTGTTAAACTCAAGTTACCAAGTTTAAATACACCAAAAAGACCCAGCAAACAGACCGGCACGGAGGAGAGAGAGTGCTACCACAAAAACAGCTGTCCTCGAATGTCTGAAAGAAGCTCCATTATGAAGGGAGAAACACAAATCCTGCTGATTTCCTTCATCTGCGATAGAAACAAAGCAGCAGCCTTAACCCCAGAAGTTGTTGTCCATTGCCGGGTGATGGAGGCGGGCAAAGCAGGAAGGAATCTGGTATCGGACACTGTTCCGGGTATTTAACGGAGATGTTTTGTGGAGGCGGAGAAGAGGGTGAAGTCAAGGAAAAGCAGGCAGAATCCTCCATTTACAAACTTATGGGGCGTGGTGCACACTTCTTTCTTTTTTTTTATATTTATAGCGCCTAATCACGACAAGAGTCGTCTCAAGGTACTTCACATAATAAACATTCCAAAGCAGGTCAGTTCATTAAGCCAATCAGAAAAAAGTTTCCTTTTTAAAGAACCCAGCAAATTGCATCGAGTCACTGACTAGTGTCAGTGACTTTACAGTAGGGCTGGGGGTAAACGATTAGTTTTAAAACGATTATTCTGACGATTATTTTATCGAATAGTCGACTATTCTAATGACTATTTAGATCCATCCATCCATTTTCTGAACCCGCTTTGTCCATGCAGGGTCGCGCGCGCGCGGGGGGGGGGTCTGGTGCCCATCTCCAGTGGCCAATGGGCAATCAGGTGGGGTACACCCTGGACAGAGAGCCAGTCCATCGCAGGGCAACACAGCGACACACAGGACACCAATCATGCACACACACACTCACACCTAAGGACAATTTGGACAGACCAATCACCCTAACAGTCATGTTTTTGGACTGTGGGAGGGAGCCGGAGCTGCAAGGCAACAGCTCTAACCACTGCACAGCCCATGACTATTTAGATGATAAATCTAATGATTATTTTTCTATTGCACAGTTAATAAAAACCAAAAAATCTCAAATAAATTCCTCAAAAAAAGTGAATAGTTACTGTAAGAGAATAAACACCACAGGCCTTCCATTTTGTATAACACTGCTTTTATTGTGATGCGGTTGGTTATGTTCTGGTGACGTGTAGAACTTGGGAGAGCAGGCTGCTGCTTGAGAGGTGGTTGGAGATGGAGTGTCTCCATGCTGCTTTGTTTTGATCACCTATGTGAGTGAGACGAGTGGTGTTACGACCCTTCCTGGGGAGTTTGGCTCGTGTACAAAAAGGAAGGGACAATAACACGGGACCTAAAAGTTAAAATGATGATCAGGTTTATTTACAACTACAAAAATACATAACTCTTTCCATCCACAGGTTGGGAATAATAAAACTAATTCTGCTTGTGGGGAATTAAAACAAAAGTACAAATAAGTAGGGATGTCCCACAGGACAAAGATTACTGGGTTCTGGACCAAATAAGAATCTCCAAAGGTCCAAACTCTAAACTGGGTGGTTAAACCAAACTCAAGGTGATATTTTACACTAAACCGAAATCCCACAACACTCTAAATGTAATAAAAGGGAGATCTACACCACAAAAAAAGATGAACTCTAAACCAAAACGTAACAGCTTATCCAAACGCAAGAAGCTGTTAGCGAAAATGCTAACAGTAGCTTTACCAACGTTAAGTTCAAGTTACCAAGTTTAAATAAACCAAAAACACCCAGCAGCAAACAGACCAGCATGGAGGAGAGACTGCTACCACCAAAACAGCTCTCCTAATGTCTGAAAGAAGCTCCTTTATGAAGGGAGAAACGCTCCTGGTGATTTTCTACATCTGCGATAGACACGAAGCAGCGCATCTGACCCCGGAAGTTGTTGTCCGTTGCCGGGAGACGAAGGCGGGCAAAACAGGGAATCTAGTAGCGGACGGACGTTGTTCCGGTTCTTCTGTATTTGGCAGAGATGTTAGTGAAGGAGGAGAAGAGGGCGAACTAGAGGAAAAACAGGCAGATTCCTCCTCTATTTACTAACTCCTGGGGATGCAACAAGTGGGCGTGGTGCGTCGACTACCAGATCTGACGTCGACGAATTTTTAGAATCGAGCTGTCGACGTCATCGACACTTCGCTACAGCCCTACTTTACAGCAATCCTCATACTAAGCAAGCATTTAGCGACAGTGGGGAGGAAAACTCCATTTTAACAGGAAGAGACCTCCAGAGGATCCTGGCTTAGTATAAGCAGCCATCCACCACGACTCACTGGATTTGATGATGAATTTCATGGTTCTTTCATTTATGAACACTCACACAAACAATTGTTGTCTCCTGATCATCCAGCTGTTATGCTGATGTTCTTGTTGCCAATTCCAGCCTTATGTAGGTCCATAACCTAGTCCCCGACATCCTTGAAAAGTTCTTTGGTCTAGGCCACGTTGTCGAGTTTGGAATACGGATTGACTGGTTTAGGTGTCCATAGAAGTTTTTCTACAGGCAACTCAATCCCTGTATAATAGACACCTGGTATCCAGAAATCCTGCTGCTCGACAGGGGTTCAAGTACTCTTTTCCTTTATTACAAATTTTGAAATGCATTTTTTCAGGATTTTTTAAATACCGTAAATCCTCTAATACAGGCCGGTATTCAATTAAAGGCCGGGTCTCCAATTTTGGCCGGTGTCGGAGTCAGCAGAGGTAAATAATGGCCGGTCTCTTATTGTGACCGGATGGAATGTGGTAACAAGCAAGTATGAGCGTCCCAGCGGTAGGGTTATAGTCATCAAATCAACCAGCAGGAAGCAATAGAGGTTCACGCAGACCTTTATTAGGCTTTTTCTTCAACGCTTTGTAACGCTACAGACACGATCCTCTATCACGCTCCTACCACACAGAGTCACGGTGTCAGTTAACCATGCTAATTCAACCCGCTCCACAGAACACACATCACCTTCCCTGTGGCTTACATAACACTCACACAACACGCAAATCAGCACATAGGAACTAGCAGAACGATAGGAAACACATATAACACAATACCCAGAATGCACCTGGCTTACAACCCCAGCCAGGTCATTACACTATCAAGTTCAAAGAGAACGTGCTGATTATGCTGCAGAACACTCTGGAGAGCAGCAGTAGGGGGTGTATGAACTACAGTAATCCCTCGTTTATCGCGGTAGATGTGTTCCAGACCTGGCCGCGATAGGTGAAAATCCGCAAAGTAGGGACTCCCAGCATGTCCCTCACGGGGATTCCCTCCACGTCGCACCTACGTCACAAACCGCGGCTATAAACGGAAGTCGCCTTTCCAGCTCACCACTCAGTCATCGTTTCTTCAGATTCATGATCAGAGTTTCCAACCTACCGATCAATCCAACGAACTATCAGCTCATAGTAAGTTATCTTACTTACTTCTGGAAAGCCCGGCATTTCCGTGTCACTTCGTTGACGCTCGAACGCTCGGGGGTTTCCTAGAGCAGCCGGCGTTTCACCGACGCTCTCACTTCCGCGTCTGTGAAACCACGCTCCCTATTGAATTATCGTATGATCACATTCTCTTTTTGGGGGTAAAACTCAAGAAAAAAAATTTTTTTACTTGTTTTTTTTAGTTTTATTACAAAAAGTGCATTTTATGATGAAATTGATGAAAAAAAAAAGAATTTCTTGATATTTCGCATAGGGGGGGGGGAACGCGCTGTGCCAGACCGTAGGTACTGACATGCGATCGTTCATGTCGGTTCATTTCCTTTAATGTTTTCTGTCTTTTATTTGCGCCTGATGCGTTTCGCTGCATGCTGTGGAGCGGGGCGCTGCGCGCATCACCTTGTCCTCCGACGCACTGATCACTGATATGGCTGCCAAACAGCAAGCGCTCCACTGTTTTTGCGGTCGGTAGATCTTTTAGAACTGCAGTTCAAAGGTAACTCATGAGGTGAATATATATGAACCCAGGTAGCAGTTTTTCTTTAGGATTGCGAGGAGATGCAGGAAGATAATAAACAGACAGGACAGAAAAATAGTCAAATAAAAACAAGTTAGTTTTTGTACCTGGTGTTGCAACAAACAGACACCATTGAAGGTAATCAGAAGTGAGGAACAGAAAATGAAATAATTATTTTAATGTTTAGAGCAGCAGGAACTCTGAGAGGCTGCAGGCGCATCAGTGAGTTTGCGGCCACTGCGCAGGGGGAGGGGGGAGAGGGCTGAAGCGGAAACTACCGTTGTTAAAAGAAATGTGTTTAACTTTGAAAATGTGGGCGCACTTTTAATTGTCAAAAACTCCAGCAAACCATTAGTTCATTTTGCTCAAATAGAAATAGAGGCCTGCCTCTAATTCTGGTCCTCCTTCCAATAAAGACCTGGAGCTTGATGAGCTTGAGTCAAATACAGGCCCGGGCCTGTATTAGAGGATTTACGGTATTTGGTTCTCAGTGTTTAAATAAAACTATCATTCAAAATGTAGAGTGATCATTTCTTTGCCGGTGGGCAAATTTACAAAATAATTTCCCCCCTGACTTCTCATATTTGACTTTCATTTGTTAACAGCACCTATCAACAGCAAGAAAATGATCACAAAAATGTAAAAGTTTCATTACGTTTGTTGCCCCTCTTGTTGACCGAGTCCTGGGATCCCTGGTACAGGTCTGACAGACCACTGACCAGTTCCTGTTGGGGAACAAAAGGCTCCACGTCGACATCCAGCTCTGGCACTGCATGAAGCAATCTGTAACACAAAAAATAAAAATAAAATCAATCATCAGATTTTTACACTTTATGAGGTTTACACAAATATAAATCATGTTAAGGATAAACAGTTCTACCTCATTGATTCCATTAAATGAGTGCTGACTCCTGACTGGTCTGACTGAGGGAACCACGCCTCCAACATGTCTGCCGTTTGTGGGCTGTGGCTCAGTTCCTGCAGAGCCCATGCGGGGACCGGATGATCCTTGACATCATCTGTGGAAAACAAAATCAAAGAAGTAAACATATAAAAATTCCTGCACCAGAAATGTAATCGGTTAATTATTAAGCAGTTCTTTGTCTCTCAGTTTCAACAAAATATTCTTACGTTAGTTACATTAAATCAAAATATCTTGATTAAAAATGAAAAAGGGTTCTGGGCTACTGAAGAGAACATTCAGTTGTTATAGAAATTAAAATGAGGGTTGGATTTATGCGACTTACTAAGATACAAAACTCAAGAATTTACTTAGGTAATCATCAAAATGGCTCACACTCTAGGGCTGAACGATTTTAGGAAAAGATCGAATGGCGATATTTCTAGCAGAAATTGCTATTTCAGTTTAAGTCACGATTTTCTTCAAATACAACATGGCCTTGTCACTACAAGCCATGTTGTATATTAAGTGAAAAGATGGTCTAGATTCTAATCCAGTACAACAAATCATTCACATTAATATTTACTATCTAATCATACAATAAGCTATTAATATTTTCTCCCATTATAATATTTATATCTTCTTTTTTTATGTGCTTGTGAAGCAACTTGTGATTTTTATCTAGAGAGGTGCTTTATAAAAAACATGTTCTTGTTTTACTCCAAAAATGCAAGAAGGAAATCTGAAGGAAGAAACAACTTTCAAATGCATTACATAACAAAAAATGCACAGTTTTCCCTGCATTACCAAGGCAGGCTGGCTGCACGTTTTTCGAAGCCGTTATCCTCGCTAGCCTGGTTTATGCTGCGGTCAGCTCCGTGAGAGAGATGCACACGCATTGAAAGAGACACTCTGCCACTTTAGCTTGTTTGAACAAACGTGTGCCAAAAGAAAAATTCAAACCATTTTTAAAAGAGAACTTGAACTTTCAAATCAGCTAAAGTGCGTGACTCAGCACTCGCGCTGATGAAGCGCAAACAAAGCTTTAAAAATCAGCCTCAACCTGGTCCGATGTGGGAGGAGTCTCTCTCTCCCTCACTCACCTATGATATCATTATTATCGGCTCTAGCAGCGCCAAAACAGGGAAAATAAGCTAAATGAGCAGCTCTGTCAGTTGGGGAATTGGGCTCGGCTCCAGACGGTACACCCCACCCCCCTCCCTCACGCCGGCTGTTGCTGCCACCACAACACAGGGGGACACCCCAGATGTAAATAAAAAAATTGACACATCAGATCCTGGATCAGTCAGAACTGGTAAAAAAAAAAAAAACTGCAGTCACGTGATCATGCTGCTTGAAGTCGCAATTTCGGTCCAAAAACGATAGATCGCTCAGCCCTACCACACTCCATTGAGAGCACATTTGAACAACTGAAATGTAAACAGTTGTGAAAGACAACAACTGACTTGATGTGAATGACTGTTATAACTTTAAGACATTTTCAAACATGTAATTTTATCATTAGTGATTGACAATAAATGACACAAATTACAAGTTTTATCAATTTACAAATAAATCTGCAATAATTATAAATAATTTTTGTACTTTTGAAACATGCAAATATTCAGTCTTGTTCGGTTGTGGGCATCATGTTTGACCGTCCCTAAATAACCAAAACCAGATTTAAAATATTTGAGTGGATGTTGTGTTTCTTGGGAAAAGTCTGCACCAATATAACCAGACATGCTTTTGCTTCCTACCATTGATGCCATCACCGTCCTTGTTCGTGATTTCACGAATTACTCCTAGAAGACTGTTCACTACATCTGGCAGATTGGGGGAAGTTTGAGTTGTAACTGGGGCAAAGGTTTTTGTCCTCGGGAGCCGGGCATGGAGAGTGAAGACTGGCTGAAGAACGGTCAGCAGAGCTGTGGAGGGTGACAGCGGGGAGAATACAGCCGAGCACAACAGTCCGTTAGCACTGACGTCCGCAAGCTGTGGGAATAAACAAAGAGTGGGACAAAAACAAACACATTTGAAACATAAAGGGGACATTAAAATGAGTGCTGTTGTGAACAGAGAAGAGCAACACATCTCGGTACCAGGACTCGTGAAGTCTCACAAAGTCATGTATCTCGGAACAGCAGTAACGCTTTATGGAAATCCACGTTTACACCTCAGGTGCCAAGTCTCCTGCTCTGAATGGGAAACTTCTGTATTTCACCAATTTCCTACCATTCATCCCTTATTTGTATTTTCATAGAAATTTAGACTTGGGAACCGCGAGGCAGATCTGGGTGTTTGATCTTGGGGTTCCAGTGGGATAGCAGACAAATAGAAGGTCATGGAAATAAGATGGGGCCAGAACATGAAGAGCATTGAACACAAGCAACAAGAGCCTGAAGTGGATCCTCTACTGGACAGGGAGTCTATGGGGAGAAGCCAGCAGCAGTGTCATGCATTCAAGTTTGAGTACCCGTTAGCAGGCGTGCGGCAGCATTTTGTACGACCCGTAGATGGTGGTGGAAAAACTGATTTAAACCCTTATAAAAGGAACTGCAGTAGTCAAAGCGTGTAAAACGTATGGGTGAGTTTTTCAAAGTCACTGGGAATGAAACATTAGCTGAAAGTGTGAGCTGAAAGAAACTGGCTTGAACAACTGAACTGATATGTTTGTCAAATTTAAAGGAGTCAAAAGTGACTGCAAGCCTTCACAGGACTGGATTAATGGTCATAGAGGACCGTTGGCAAACCAGTGGAATTGAATATTGCATTTTCTGAAAATGGACCTAAGGCCCTGTCCACACGTAGCCGGGGATCTGCCAAAACGTAGATATTTTTCTACGTTTTGGCCTGTCATCCACACGAAAACGGATTTTTTTCACACGAAAACGAATCTTTTTAAAAACTCCGGCCAAAGTGAAGATCTGCGTTTTCTCCGTTTTGGGTGCCTGCGTGTGGACGGACATAACCGGAGTTTTAAGGTCCGCAACGTCACTTTACGCGACAAAAAAATGCTGACATCACGTGTGCGACCTGTGTTTACACTAGCCGACAGCATGGATGCCCTCAGAGCTGCGCTCGCTTTATCAATTGTCCAAGCGCTTTTTGCTTGTTTGTTTTTGCAAGCGGAATTACTGCTCCTTGCGGAAGTCCACAGACGAAGGACGAGGTTAAGAACGGGGGAAGTACTGCCGCCTACAGGTCTGGCATGTCCTTAACAACGTATTTATCCGGGTACGTGTGGACAGAGTTTGTTTTTAAAACGCGGTGGTGTGGATGCAAGTTTTTGGAGGGGCGGATATTCGTTTTTAAAGAACCCCGGCTACGTGTGGACTAGGCCTTAATGGCAACTTGTACAGTGAGAACAGGAGAGGGCCCAGAATAGAACCCTGTAGAACTCCACACATTAACCATAAAGAGCCTTTTCTGAACTTTATCGCAGTTGCAAGATTTACACTTAGAGTGAAACAGAACTTGTTCGTCTGGATATCTCACCATGTGAAGAGCAACAGCAGAGAGTTGCCCTAAGAGATCATGAAAGGCAGCAGATCCTGGTTTGCTGCTGCTGGATCCCTGAAGCACCCAGGTCTCGGTAGGCGTTTGTGTCAGTGATGAGGCATCCCAGCCCCACAGCACTCCCTTTAGTCTCACTTCTACACAATCTTGGAGGAGCCTCTGTCTGTGGGAGATGGGCTCCACCATGACACCACAACTTTGTGTCTCATTACCTGGTTAAAGAAAAAATCATAACACATTAAAATGGAACGCTCTGGTATCTTTACTACAGTGGCTGTATCAGACATGTTTGAGTCATAGGAGACGGTCTGAAACTACAGTATTACATGAATAAAAACAGTATATATACTAAAATACTGCACACTCAAGAGCGTGGTTTGTACATTAGAAAGTGATCATTTCTTCAAACCTTGTCCCCAATGCAGAACACCAGTTGTGGCAGGAAAAGCTTGGCGGTAGAGTCTTTCAGATGACAGCAGGTATCCAACACTTGGTCTGAATGCAAAGACCTCTCCCATGGATCCTGAGCCAGCTTGGTGAGCGTAGGAAAGGTTCATGAGTGCAACCACAGGGATCACTCTGCCCCCCACCTGAGCAAGGCTCTCAGAGAACTTTGCATAGCCAACATAGTCCTCACAGTTCATCACCTGTAATTAGACACAATGTTGTCATTGGGAATGGTTATGTTGTACAGACTTTTTAACATGGCAAATTAAAACTGATGTTAGAAAAAGTTACTTTGTTTCAAATGCATATTTATTTGAAAACATTTTCGTGCAAAACAAAATTATTCCAATCATGGAAAAATATATATGACTAAATGATCCATCAGAAAACGTCAAAAGAAGTTCATAAGAATAAATGTCAGCGTGTGTATATCAGTATCGGCAAATATTGGTTATTAGCCACAACCGCAATATTAATATCAGATATTGGTATTGGCCCAAAATTTCACATCGGTGCACCCCTAGTATTGGTGACAACCACCATCACAACTACTGTTCGGTATCATTGGTTTATGCTCATATTTTAGTTACTGTACTAATCTATATCAAAACAGAGATGCACACAAAAAATAAACAGCTGGTGATCAAACCTTTGATTTGTCATCTGAAACTAATTATTTTTCTAATAATTTTTATAGTTCAAACCTAGGCTCAGTTTGTGTCAATGTCTCCCTGAGCAAGACACTTTACCCTTCTTGCCAACTGTCAGAGGTGTGGCAAGGTGGATAACGAGGGCCCGGGCGGGATCGATCCCCAGACTCCCGGGTGAGAGTCATACGCTCTAACCAGTCAGCCAAAGCGACATCCCCTAGGCCAAGTAGCCAGGGCGCATATCGGGACACTGTGACAGGATACTCACACTGCCACAGAGGGACTGATGACAGCCTCACCTCTGTCAGTGTGCCCCAGGGCAGCTGTGGCTACACGGTCATCACCATCAGTGTGCAAAGTGCTTTAGAAATGCGCTATACACATGTACAACATTATCATTACCTTTGAAACCCTTTCACAACACTAGCCACTCTCCCAAAGTCTACTGTAAATGTTTCCGTACTCACCTGACTGTGAGATCCGCTGTCAATCCAGTGCAGGACAACCCGTCTCTGAACCAGCATGTCATTTAGGCTCTTTGATATTACGCACTCAGTCACATCTGTTGGAAAGTCATCCTGTTTTGAAAACAGGTAGTTCATAAGTTGTATCCTTGAACGTGGACACCGCGAGACAACCAACACCAAATTTCTCCCACTGCTTGAAGAGTCATATTCCTGAGCCAGGCTGGGCTCTCCAACACGAGTGGACTTCCGGGGCCTCAGGAACAGTTTAGTGGGAGATGTGATGTCAGGCCTGTCCCACTGGAAGTCCAGCAGAGTTTCTTTAAGAGCATTTTGAACGGAGACAGATTTATTTGATTGTTTCATCTGCAGAAATGAACACATCTTATCCTTCCCGTCGAACTTCGCTTCAAACTCCTGCTCAAAGTCCTCAAATGTTTTGTCTCGAAGCTCTTTGAAGTCGGACACTCTTGATATGACGCTGGCAGTACCAGCCGCTTTGGACTGAAAGAATTTATAACCCCATCGCACTTTCTCAAACCCATACTTGTAACCAAAGTGAAGCAGAATGTATAAAATTCCTCGTTTAACGAAATGATTTCTGACTTCAAGTCGACTGTCTGACTCATCGCTTTCAAAATCAACATCAATAACAAAAACTAAGTTGTGCAAAGCCATACTTAGTGATTCTTCAGATTGTAAACTTAAAAATATGCCATGAAAGCACGTCAAACGCATATCCACTCATCGGGATTTACATGTTTGATCCGACTCGCCTGTCAATGAATGCGAAACTCATTTTAACCTAATCGTTCAAATCTGCTAACTTCGTGTTTCTTAGCTAACTCCAACCTGCTAGCCAACGCTATCCATGTTAGCTATTATGTTAACTACTACTCAGAAAAGTTGTTTTCACTACTTATTTCATAAAATAATCTCACACCGGCGGAAGAAAGGAAAAAGGCTCAATCTTCAAAAGATGTTAAGACCGTACCGAGTCCACGCAACATTACTCGCATACTTGAACGACACAATCGCCATTTTCTCATAACAATCCTCAACCGTTCGCGCTACTTGTGTTACACCCGCCCCAATCTGTGATTGGTGAAGACTTGTGCAAGCGCTATCACGATTGGTCAATAAACATAGTCAAAAGTTCGTCATGATTCAACGAGAGCTTCTCATTGGACTAAATTTCTATCAGTTTAATACGAACTACCGTGTTTTGGGAATAGGAGGCGGGCAATAGGAGGACTGACGGGCACAGCTTGCATTTAACTTTTAAAGCAGCATCTAGGTTTAAAATCTTAAACTCCCCGAGGTTATTTAAAGAGCTTGCAGATTTTTATGCTTTATACATTTGTTGCTAATTTCCTTTATTTGGAGCCAGGGCTGCCAACTTTTACAAACCTTTTCGGAGACTTTCGTTAATTTTGATTTCACTCTCTCTTTGTGAGTGTGTGTGTGTGTGTGTGTGTGTGTGTGTGTGTGTGTGTGTGTGTGTGTGTGTGTGTGTGTGTGTGTGTGTGTGTGTGTGTGTGTTGGGAAGCATTAGGTTTGGCGAAATTACACATTAGTTTGGCAGGAAAAAATCAAAGTGATATTAAGGCAGCTTATATAAAAATGGATGCTGTAATTACTGTTTCCTATGGTTGAAGAAGAAGAAACGATCTTTTCTATAGCGCCTCTCAAGATAAAAATCACGAGGCTTCACAAAAACAAAACATTTGATATAAAAAAGAATTCATAAAATGGTTAAAAAAATTAAAATAAGCAAAATAGACATTTGTGATAAAAAATGTTAAGAAAGAGAGAGAGAGTGAATAGGAGAGAGGGAACAGTGGATCCTGAGGAAGGTGAAGTAGGTAGGGAGAGCAGAACAAGGAGAGAGTGGTGAAGAAGGTCACACAGAAGGTTAGCCTTATTGTGAATAATGGTTTGCACCAGCACATCTTCCAGTGAGGAAGCAGAGCATGGGCACTTTGGGTTGGACTCTCCAATCTCTAGGATTGAGGTCACTGATAGGGGCCGACCAATATGCCAGGTGCTGATACCGATTTTTTAAGAATTTTGTTTCCGATGGCCGATATCTAAAGCCTGTTAATAAGGTTGATCTATCTATCTATCTATCTATCTATCTATCTATCTATCTATCTATCTATCTATCTATCTATCTATCTATCTATCTATCTATCTATCTATCTATCTATCTATCTATCTATCTATCTATCTATCTATCTATCTGTCTGTCTGTCTGTCTGTCTGTCTGTCTGTCTGTCTGTCTGTCTGTCTGTCTGTCTGTCTATCTATCTATCTATCTATCTATCTATCTATCTATCTATCTATCTATCTATCTATCTATCTATCTATCTATCTATCATCTATCTATCTATCTATCTATCTATCTATCTATCTATCTATCTATCTATCTATCTATCTATCTATCTATCTATCTATCTATCTATCTATCTATCTATCTATCTATCTATCTATCTATCTATCATCTATCTACATATATACATATATATATATATATATATATTTGTGAAAGACAACTGAACACTCACTGTGTTCAATTTAAATTAAATAAGTAAATATCTCTTAATATTGATTGAATTTCCAATATAAAACAAACTCAAAACATTAAAAAAGGGAAAGAGAAAATGAATAAGAAAGATATAATGAGTGGATCCTAGGAAAGGCAGAATTGGCAGAAAGAGCAGGAGAGGGTAGTGATGAAGGTCACACCAAAGCCAGCCTGAACAGGTGAGTTTTTAGCTGCTTTTAAAAAGAGACCGCTGAATACACCGATCTCAGGCTCAAGGGGAGTCAGTCTGGGGGTCACAGCAGCTAATGTCATTTTGCCTTTAGCCTGGTGTGTTGCACAACCAGTAGGCTTTGTTCACTGGACCTCAGGGACCTGCTGGTAGTGTAGGGACTGAGAAGATCACCAACATATGATGGAGGTTTATGTTTATTTATTTGGCAGACGCTTTTATCCAAAGCAACTTACAATTTATAACCTATAGGGCATGTTGTGATCCGTGGGGGAAACCGGAGTACCCGGAGGAAACCCATGCATGCATGGGGGAGAACACGCAACTCCACGCAGAAAGGCCGCAGCCAAGTTACGAACCTGCAACCTTCGTGCTGCGAGGCAACAGTGCTAACCACTGCGCCACCAGCCATTTTGGTTGTCCACGTAAGGCCCTAAAAACCTTGACATGTTTGATTAGAAATGATACAACTGCTGGTAAACTCTGTATCTAAATATATTTATTTTACATGACCTATTAAGAACCTCATTGAATTTATTAAGAGTAAAAACCCTTCTAAGTGTACGGTGGATTTAGTTTCACCATATAGCCACCAGAGGGCGTATGATCTGAAATCATACACCCTCTGTCAGTGTGCCTCAGGGCAGCTGTGGCTATTGCTCATCACATCATTGTGTGAATGGATGAATGATACACTGTAGGGTAAAGCACTTTGGAGTCCTCTGACTCTGAAAGGCACTATAATGCGGGACATTTATTCATCACGATATGTTTGTTGTGCTGTAGCTAGCTGTTGACTTGAAATAACGTGGATTTTGCGCCCTCTCCTGGCAAAAACTAGAACAACAATGGTTTCCAGCAGCATTTAGAAAAGAATGGGAGATGGGGCGTTTAATAAAAAAACTGCAATTGCAAAGTTACTGCAATTGTGTTCCCTTTAGCATTTTAGAAGAGGATAATACTGGATCCGGACCCCCCCCCCCCCTCTCTCTCTTCATCACCACTCTCCTTATTCTGCCTTTCCCACGATCCACTGATTTCCCTCTTCCTATTCATTTTCTCTCTCTCTTTCCTTACGTTATGATTTTTTCATTCACTTTTTTTTTCTCATTTTAAACATATTTTTAATCATTTTTAGAAATCTTTTTATACTTAATTTTTTTGCTTTTGTTTCTGTGAAGCGCCTTGTGATTTTTATCTTGAGAGGCGCTATATAAAAGATTTCTTTCTTTCTTTCTTTCTTTCTTTCTTTCTTTCTTTCTCTTGGGAATGTTAATATTATCTGGCAGGACTAGACGGAGAAGAAATAATTGGATTTATAAAGTTTAAAGAGTAGCTTAGTAGAAACAGTCTTCTAAATTTTTCCACTTTGTATTGTTGCCTTGAAAGAATGGATAATTTGCGTCCTCTGTTGGCAAAAAACAACAACAACAACAAAAAAAACACTTGTTTCTCTCATCATGATGAAAATAAGGGAAGATGGGAAGGTGCTGCCCTCCAGTGTCTGACAGCTGTCACTGCACTTGTGTTCTTTTTTTTAGCATTTTAGAAGAGAATATTTTATCCTTCTAATTTATTAAAGCCTTAAAAAGTATTCATCTTTCTTTTTGTCTTCTTGTGAAATTTTTATATTAAGTAGGAGAAGATGGGACTAGATCTATAAAGTTAAAAGAGTTCCTTAGTAGAAACACTTCCACTTTGTGTTGGTGCCTTGAAAGATTTGCACCATCTTCTGGCAAAAAAATAGAACAACACTGGTTTTCATTTGGATATTTTTACTTTGTGGTTTTTTTAGCATTAGTTGACTCATATTAATGTTAGCCAGGGCCGTGCAGAGACATTTGAAGGGGCGGGTGCTCGAAGATAAAAAAGGGACACATATATAGCAAAAAATTTTAACCGATTCACAATCCAACAAGTTTGAAAAATCAGATAATGAGATACCACTGGGTTCAAATAACATAATGTAAACTAGGAAATTGTTTCATTTAGTATTGTAAATTGAAGGTAAGGTTAGTTACATAATTGCTTTAGTTTTTAAAGCTGATTGATTTCTAGAGATGTTACAAACACATTTTGGTCCCTGATCTGTGGAGGTTTTTTCTTCTCGCAGCTCAAGGCAACCAGGGCGCCAGATTCAGATAAGAAGAATTGTTTACGTCAGGCAGACATAATTTTCTTTCTGCCTTTCAGTTTTTAACTGATCATTCCACTCTCTCAGTAAATCCAATTTTTGGGTTTGATCTCGCCAATACCATGCAGTGACTTTATCCAAGATCACATTCAATTCAATTCAATTCAATTCAATTCAATTCAATTCAATTCAATTCAAAGATACTTTATTAATCCCAGAGTGAAATTAGAGTTTCAGTACACACAATTCTGAGATCAGACATACATAGGCAACAACACATGACAAGAATTGGTGACTGTGGTCATTCTCTACCCGAGTCGCGCTACCTTAATAGAGATCAGAGGGTTACATGAGGATTGGATCAGGTGGAGGAACAAAAAAGGGGTGGGGGGGGGGGGTGTATTCGTTTCAGCCTCACAGGCTCAAGGGCACCAGATTCAGATAAGAAATTGTTTTGGGGCCAGACAGAGATAATTTCTTCTCTGTCTTAGAGTTCCGCTGGTCCTCAAACTCTCAAAATCCAATAATGGCGTAGATTAATCTATCCCAATCTGTGCTGATTCGTCCACTCGCTCCTTGATCGCATCCGTCTTTTGTGCCAATGCATGACTCTCAGCCAAAGTTCCAAGCTTACGACTCATCTCGACAATTATATGAGTCTGTGGATTCACAACGCGGTGCAATCCATCTCTAAGCTCCGGGAGTGAGCCATTATTCCTCGACAGCTCATTAATTTTCTGGTAAGTCAGGTAACCTCCAAGGCCAAAGAGCAGGAAACCTGACACCGACACGTCTTCAAAATCTTCCACGACCTTCCTATATCCCATCTTGGTTTGAGAGGTGCCTGACGCCAGTTTATTCTAGCTTCAGCTTTGCTACTATAAATGCCAAAATCCTCCCCAGAGTGCTGCGGCAAATCCCGTTTTGCAAATGTTATGGTCTGCAACGTGATGAAGGAGCTATTCCTCCAAGGTTATTTAATCTTTTCCACAGTTCCCTTTGACACCGCGCCAGAGTGCATGAAACAGCCTCAAGGTCATGCATTCGCTTCTAAACTGTTTACTGTCCAGCAATGAAGACAGAAGATGAAGACTCTTTTCTTTTCTTTTATTAAATCAAAGAACTCTATTTTCAATAAAGCTAATCAAAACAACTGTTAGTCAATAATATAATGAGACCAATCTGTGAAATCGCAATATTATGATTAATATGTTTTAATAAGTAATAAGACTTATTCTAGCTCACTACACACACTGATACACTAAGGAAAATAATCACATGACACATTGTAGTACTGATCCAATCAGAACCTTCCCAATCTGAAGCGTGGCAGAGTCTCTGTGGTGTTTATGAAATCTGTTGTGGTTCTTTTTCCTTATCAAAAACAAGAGAGAGACAAGTTTTGTCCAAACTCAGCGTGGGGCGTTTATTTACACTACTCATCCATACATCACCAACACTTCATGGCGACAGCGTCCAGCTTCGATCTAAACACCTCGGCTGGAGATCCTCCTGCAAAGCCCACGTTCTCCTACACCACGCAGCATCATATACTCTTCAACCCCCACCTCTGAGAAATGTACTCAGCAGCTGGGCTGCCTGATAAACGGCTGGTATTGATAAGCAACATGTCAACATGCATGTACACAAAACACTGCTTTTAGCTCCTACAGATCCCCCCCATGGGGGTGTCCACCCCCATTAATAAGCTGGCTACATAACATATAACATAACACATAAGTGAATGTTAACATAAACCAGTAAATGGGTGTCGAATGGCAAAATGACAAATACACTACAAACTTCAACCAAACTATATAGGTATATATGTAACGACGAAGTAACTGCAAACCAACACTTGGATGAGTACACAAAGTAAGTATCAGCTTCAAAACACAATATGGAATGTGACGTCTTTAACCAGCTCAGTAACACATCAAAATGCATGCGCAAACTGTAAGGGGGCGAAAACCTGTCCGCTGTTCTTAACAGGAAAAATTCCCGCTTGACCTCCTGGCCCCAAACAGGACGATCACATAAAGCACAGAGTGAGCATGCAAGCCTAGCCTAAGTATATGGCAGACATTAGGTAACAGTGAATTAACAAAAGAACACACGTAAGAGAAAACAAACTGATGAAACTTTCCAACAGAGAACAAAAATCATAAGCATGATCGAGCATTAATTACCCTTAGCAATATTGCAACCAGTAACTGTACGTGAATATGCAATCAAAAATACAAACTCATGTGAAATAAATGATTGACGTGGATACGAATGAACGACTAGATGATGTCGCTGTGACTAAACCTATAAAAGTTAAACACAACAGGAGGTGTAATGAATATACTTAATGTAACAACACAACTGCTCAACCGAAATAGAGAGCGAAGTCAGAGTCCCAGTTGCAGAACTGAAAAAAGAAATGGAGTGAAGAAAACACAAAAGTCAGGTGCAGTTTTATTGATGACTGCTGCAGGGGTCTTGTCGCTGGAAGTGGACTTTGAGGCCGATTCCTTAGTCGAGTGCATGTAACCACAACAACAACATCTCTGATGAGACGCAAAGATCACTCCACCGTTGTCCCATCAGCCGTCCCATTCTTCAGGCACAGTGGGTGTCGTGCTGAGTCCATTGCGGCCATTTCCATTTGCACATATTGAGACGACGCAGCAAGGTTCATTTGGGCAGCCAGAGTTCGCTCCCACAGTCTCCTCACAACAGGTAGGATGCAACATGCCAATAGAGAAATCAGAATTAGTACTACTACTGCACTAATTCCTGCTTTTACCAAAATAGCTCCCCACTGACCCAATTTGAGGGCTAAGGAGTCTAAGGACCAGCTTTCCTTGCCTGCATTCTCCCTCAGCTCTATCTTTAAATCTTTCAATTTCCTCATTCCTTCAGTAAATGCACCATCAGGGGCCGTATTACTTGGAATGTAGGTGCAACATTCTTGCCCACTGGAGTTCAGAAACTTACAGAGCCCACCTTTCTCGGCCAGCAACCAGTCCAAAGCCTGGTCGTGCTGCAAAGTCATTTTGACGGTGGCATGAAGTTGTTCACCCAAGAGGCCAAGGTTATTTACTGTGTAATTTAAGATTCTTTGCTGATTAAAATAAACATAGTTGATCCATTTCACATTCTTATTTATTGTTATCCACGGAAGAATTGACTCTAAACCAGCTATTACCTCATCTCTGGCTTGAAATTCTATGGGAATTCCTGTTGGAAGTCCTATGGCGTTTAAATGCACTTTATGATCAAACACATCATACCTCTTTGTCCTACGTCTATTGGTAGTCTCCAACTGAAGTAATTCACTCACACCTTCATGCAAGATAGTCACTGGAACTTTCATACGTACTAGCGTACACAACCCAACCCAAAAACTTGGCAAAACATTCATTAGAACATCACCACCACACATCCAGTAGCTGTCGGCCACTGGAATGTCTTGCTCACCCATGAGATCCAGAGTGGGAATCGTCATCGATATGTCATCACAATCCTGACTAAGAGTAACAGGGTTTTCATACCAAACAGGGGTGTCAATGAGAAGTGGTGTCACATTTGCATGCGGGAACCAGGATAATACCCAAGTGACGTTACAATTGACAGATGTATTACCTACGTCCACTCCTCCATCGTCAGCGAAACCTCCGCTTGCGAAACATTCATAATCAGCACGATAATCAATTTTGTAGTCCATTGGAGGACCATTTTGGTCTGTTTGGATCGCAAATTCAGCACATTCCTCTAGGATGTTATATTCTGCATATTTTTCAACATATTTGTACTTATCTCGTGTACCATGGAGCAATCTGCATTGGAATCCACACAATGGCATCTTAAGAAGAGGTGGAATCTTTTTATTTATCTCTATTTCCTTTCTAGTCTTACATGTGCATCGTTGTGTAATGGCACATTCACTAGAAGTATACTTTTCTGGAACAACCTCAGGTAACATTCCGGGTGCTTGAGCGCACACTATGCAGTCATTAGGAGTCATTTCTCTCGTCGTATACAAAGCCCATTTATACCAACTATTTTGCATGGCGGCATCCCAAAGCCTATCCTCTATAGCCAATTGTCTGCTCGCTCTAGGGGAGATAGGCCCTGTGTTACCGCCGGACCTAGGTCTAATTGGCCCAAATAGTGGCTTAGGTACAGCTTTGCGATTGGTCACTTCTTGTTCATTTTGTCCTTTCTGAGTGAGATTACGAACATGGTTACTACCAGAGGTTGCCGTGGGAAAGCCAGATTTCACAGCCACACCTCCTGTGGGAGTTGTAGTACTGACAGGTGGCTTAGCGGTTACGCTTCTCAGCTTGCTAATTGGCGTTGTTTTAGATCTTGAAATAGTGGAGTCACTAGCTGTAAAAGAGAGGAAGAGCTCCAGTCGGCCCTCACCTCTCCAATAGGGGCTGTGGTAGTCAAAACATCAGGGATCACAGTAGTAGTAGCGCTAGTAGTTAAAACATTACTTGGAACTGTGGTTATAACACCAGTTTTAACAATTGCTACGTCGAATGCAGGCAGGGATAACGACCTATGTTGCATCCGGCCTGCTGAATTGTACTTAACTTGATCACGGTGTGCTGCCTCGTCGTTGACCAAGTCGTCTGGCGTATGCTCTTGTGATGGGTCGACGAGTTGCTCCTCGGCCGTCATCTCCATCTTCACCTCCTCCAGCACCATCATCAGATCCCCTAGTGTTATCCAAAACAGAACTGTCATCAGGCTTAGCCCGCCCTTCTTTCCTCCGGCCATCATGCCGGTTTGTTACGTCAGACACAATACTGCCCTGAGTTTTGTCTTTGACTTTCGTGCAGTGCGTCAGATGATGCCACGTCGATCCTCCTCCGACCTGGACTGCTGTTGGCGTTGCTCGAACCACTTTGTAGGGACCCTCTCGTCGCGGTTCGTGCCACTTCCTCCTGAAAACTTTGATGTACACCTGGTCTCCAGGAACTACCGGCCCGTCTGCGCCTGCGCTAGAGACGAGCTCCTTTCTCTTTTCCTGCAAATAGATGGCTTTATGGATGCTGGTTAGTTGCTTGATATAGCTTTTGAATTCAAGCTCTAGCTGTTCCAGCGAAGGCCCCTTGTGGGGTCCTCTAAGCTGAGGAGCTGGCATTGGCCTGCCTGTTAGGACCTCATGAGGTGAAAGATGCGTGCTTCTGTTAGTTTGCATGCGATAGCTCATTAAGGCAAGCAGCAATGCATCAACCCAGTTAAGGTTAGTACAAGCACAGATTTTGCAGATTTTAGATTTCAACGTCAGATTCGCTCGCTCGACCATCCCTTGGCTCTGGGGGTGATAAACTGATCCTAATCGTTGCTTTATCCTTAGTTGTTGCAACACACCTTTAAGGACTTTTTCAACAAAAGCAGGACCATTGTCCGAGCTTATTTCCGACGGGATACCAAAGCGAGGAATCACTTCTCTAACTAGAAACTTTACCACTGTTTCTGAACCTAGATCTTTAGAGGGAACGGCTTCGATCCACCGACTGAATCTGTCAATGATCACCAGCATGTACCGTTTCCCATGCACAGACTTAATCATGTCAACATAGTCAATGACCAAATGTTTGAAAGGACCTTCGGGCACTGGAATGTGTCCCGCTGGGACTGTGATGCCCTTTTTTACATTGTTCTCAGCACAAATGTCACACTGATCTATTACTTCCTCAACCATGGCTTTTAGGTATGGTGACCAGTAACCTTGCTTGTTAAGTCTTTTCAGCACCTCTGCACGACCACAATGATCGGGACCGTGGCTTTCCGAGATTAGCATCGTCAGCAAGGAGACAGGTGCAACGATCAAGCCCTCATGAGACCTCCACAAGCCGCTTGAGTCCATTGTTGCACCTCTTCTTCTCCAACACTGCTGCTCGCTTTTCTCTGCCTTTTCCTGAATCAGAATGATGTCTTCTGGTGTTATTACAGGCTCTAATGATATTACAGGTGTCAAAATGGCTTCTTCACACCTGGAGGCAGATTTTGCCGCCTCATCTGCTGCATTGTTGCCTCTGATGACATCACAGTTACCCTTGCGGTGCGCAGGGCACTTTACAATGGCCAGTTTCGATGGAAGCATCATTGCTGAGATCAGCTCGTTGATCTGCTTTCCATGAAGGATGGGTGTACCATCCGACTTCTTAAAACCTCTTTGTCTCCACACACTTCCAAACAGGTGGCAAACACCATGTGCGTATGCAGAGTCAGTGTAGATAGTTGCTACCTGGCCACTTGCCAACTTGCATGCTTCAGTCAGGGCTTTGAGTTCCGCTAGCTGTGCAGAACAGGGTTGGTTACACTTTTCAGCTTTTACTGTTTCAAATCTGTCATCTACTTTTTCCACAACAGCAAACGCTGCATGGTTTCCTAAGTAGTCTCTAAAACATGAACCATCAACAAAATAGGTGACCTCAGATTGGTCGAAAGGGGTAGATTCCAAATCAGGCCTTAGCTTAGTGTATCTAGATACCTCGGCTATGCAGCAATGTGGTTCTCCTTCAAACTCAAAGGGAACACTGTTCGCAGGGTTTGTTGCGGTACACCTCTTTATGACAACGTCAGGATATGTCAGTAGTGGCATATACTGCAGGCATCTTGCTTGGTTTAACACAAACTTCCCTCGGTTGATTAGTTCAGATATTTTGTGATGTGTGTAGATGGTGACAGGATATCCCATTGTTATCACTGAGGCTTTCTCATAAGCATAATGCAAAGCAGCCAATCCTTGATAACAAGGGGGCCATCCCTGTGCCACATTGTCAAGTTTTGCACTGTAGTACGCAATAGGTTGTTTCCGACGTCCACTGCATGTGTCCTGCATTAACACTGCAGAGGCATACATGTCATGTCTGTTTGCGACGTACAGCAAAAATGGTTTTGTGTAGTCAGGTGTTGCTAAACTTGGCGCAGTTTGCATGTCTTGTTTGATGGTTTCAAAAGCTATCTTAGCTTCATTTGTCCATTTTAGAGTCGATTTTAAAGACTCACTTCCAGCATCTTTAATCAGTGCCCTAAGTGGTGCGGTTTTTTCAGCATAGTTTTCAATCCACTCAGAGTTGAAACCAGTCATTCCCAGAAATGTCATCATTTGTCCAACAGTTTGTGGTTGTGGAGCTTTGCTCACACCTTCCACGTGTTCTGGTGAGATGGCGACAGTCCCATGGGAGATTACTCTCCCTAGGTACTCTACCTGTGGTTGGCAGTACTGAAGCTTTGTCAGAGAGGCTTTGTGTCCTCCCCGAGCTAACTTCTGGAGGACTTTAATGGAGTCACGATGACAATCATCGATTGTTCGTGCGCAAATCAGTAGGTCATCAACATACTGAATCACAGTGCTGTTCACCTCGATGTCTTCGAGGCTCTGTTTCAAAATCTGATTAAAGATGTGTGGACAGTGTTTTAGCCCTTGTGGTAGCCTTCTGTACATGAGCTGTCTCCCACGAAACGTGAAAGCAAAAAGATATTGTGATTCTTTGGCCAATGGATGCTAAAAAATGCTGAACACAGATCAATTACCATGAAGTATTTAGCTTCCCCATCGATGTTACTCAGTAATGTGCTTGGATTTGGCACGTCTGCGTCAAAGTCAGTGATCACTTCATTTACAGCTCTTAAATCATGTACCAGTCTGTACTTGAGCTTGTCTGCTTTTAGCACTGGCAGAATTGGAGTGTTACATGTGCTATAGGTTTCTTTTAGTACTCCTGCTTGAATTAGACCTTCAATAGTTGCATTTATACCCTCTTCTGCGTCTGGCTTTAGTGGGTATTGGGGTCGATAAGGCAGTCTTGCATTTGGCTTCAATTCCACTTGAACTGGAGTTGCCGATGTTACCAGTCCAACATCCGTGTCATGTTTAGACCATAGCTGGTCTGGAACCTGTTTTAGCATGTCGGCTTTCAACTTGTTTTGAACTGTTTCTGATTCTGCTACACCTTGCATGTGTTTTTTGTTTGCGACTGTTACAACCTGTGGTTTTGACATCATGGTGGTGCCGCAGAGAATTTTAATCATTTCTGCATTTTTTGTAGTATAGATTAGCAGGTTATCTGTTTTCTGCCACTCTGTTTTAGTTGCAGTTAACATCATTGGTCCAAGATCTCTTGACTCAAAGTCTTTGTTTACCATTAAGGTAATGTGTGGTGCTGATTCTGGCACAGTGTGCCATTTTTCAATAAATGGGTTTTCTTCCACATTCACAGCTGCACCTTGCTGTCCTATCACGATGTATTGTGACACTAGCCTAACGTGCAAGTCTTTTGTTTCTTTGTCCCATTTTTCTTCAAAGATTCTACTGCATGATGGATCATAAGTCATTGTGCAGTGATAGTCACTGAACGGTACAGTAGCTTCTGGAATTTGAGCTTCAATAAATTTTCCCATTGTTGAAACATCACTGAGACTGGCTTGTTAATGTCACCAAGCCAATAGACCTTAGCGTATTCTGTCTGAGCAGTCATTTGAAAGTTTATTCCAGAGCTATCTACATAAATTCCTTCTGGTGTGCACCAGATTTTTGTTTTTAGTTTACACAATGCATCTCTTCCTAGTAGATTAACTGGAGTTTGGTCTGAAATCAGAATTGGGATTGCGATTTCACTGTCATCAACTGCTAGTCTTACTGGAGCTGTTAAGGGGTTTATTTGTTTTGTTCCCGAGAACCCTGTTGTCTTTACGCTTTTCTCAGACATGGGGAGAGGAGTTGCATAATTTGATTGTATGCATGAGTAGGTTGCCCCAGTATCAACTAACATTGGGATCGATTTGCCTTCTATTTTAACATTGATCACTGGTTCTTTATTGGCGTTAGCTATTAAAATTGGTAGTTGCTCCCCCCCCCCCCCCCCCCCCCCCCCCAGGGCCCTCCGGGCATCCCTAGAATCCTTGTTGTGCTGCCCATGGATTAACTGGACCTCCTCTTCCCCGGTTTGGTCGTGTTCCACGACCACGCCCAGACCATTCAGGGTTTGGAATTGGATTCGGACAGTCTCGATACAGGTGACCCATCTGGCCACACCCCCAACATGAACCTGGTAGTGGGGGTCGGTTCTGCTGCACCCAGCCTTGTCGGGTTGGGTAGCGATTGGGGAAACGATTTGGAAATCGTCTCTGTGGTCCAGGCTGCTGTCTACCATACTGGTTTGGGTAGACATTGATAACCGGTTGAGATGGAGTTTGAGGTGGGGCCACAGCTGTCTGCAATGCTTGGGTTTGACTGTCACTCTTGCTGTCACTTATCTCCACTGCCGCCTGGGTCTTCGCCTTGTGCTGGAGATCATTTATGTGCAACTGCGTGAGTTTTCTCTGAGCGCACTTTTCTTGCTCAATCATTTTGTTATTGTCTTTCCGATAGCGGTCCACTGCGTGGACTACATGGTCTCTGAACTGCACATGTGGCATTGAGTCCAGTCCCACAACATCCTCCAGTTTGTCTCGCACAGGAGTCGGGAGAGCAGAAATCAGGGATGTTCGGAACAGAGAAGTCATTATTGGCGTCCCCTCAGGACCCTCCTCCATCTCCAGCTTCCACCGTCTGAGCTGCCTGTCAACGAATGACGCAGGACTCTCAGTCTCTGAAAGTGGCTCACCTTTCAAAGCTTTGGGGTCAATCCTGTTGGGATATGCTGCTCTTAGTATGTTCCAGAGTGCATTTCTGTATGTGTTAAACTCCGTGCCGTCAGCCATTGGGTCCAGCATCCATTGGACTCCATTGGATGCTAGCAATGTTCCCATAGCTGATGTCCCAACAACTCGAGCCAAAATAGCTTTGAGATCTCCAAGGGCAAGCATTAGCCCAGTTGTCTCCTGTTCGAAGGCCCCAATCCACCTTCCAGCGCCATCTTGAATGTGGGGCAGCCGCGAAACCAAACCAGTGAGGTCGAGGCTCTGCCAGGGAATATAATTAGCTCTTGTGCCCTTAATTAAAATTGGGTACTGACCATTATTAGTGTATCGAATAGGTGGTTTTAAGTCATGTCTGGGTCTCAGATCACGGTTGTCACCGCTAGGACCTGGTTTTTCCTTCTCCTGAGTCAGACCTGTATTTGGGTCACCACGCTCTGGTGAGTGAATGCCTGGTTTGTAAAAAGGCTTGAAATTTTTCTCCTTGTTTGTGCTAGTGGTGTTCTCACTAACCTCATCTGAATGTGTGCCTGTGATGTGATTTAAGGATTTCCGCAGGCCTTCAGATATGTCCTGTATAATTTGGTCAACATCGTTTAGCTCATCATGTACATCCTCATCCTTGTTCTCAAGGTCAATCCAGTATGAGTTAGCCTTCGGTTGCCTTTTCAAAAAATCCTTATGTTCTGCAAAACAATCAATCTCCCTTCGTCCTTCTTCACTTACCGCTCGACGTTCTGTACTGCAATATTTTGGATGCGTTCCACGAGGTGGAGTTGTTTGTTCGAATTCTCTTTCCTCACTTCCTTTTGCATGCTTTTTTTTGCCAGGTGCTTCATCTGATTGCTGTGATGTTGTTAATTTTAAAATGGCATTGTCAACATCTAAACCCTTAGGACCTTTGTCGAATGTGTCGCACAAATCAAAATCTCCCGTAATTGTAACGGTTCCCAAGAGGGGATACAGGCCCTCTTCTGCTGGGGCCTTCACTTCCTTCTGGGGTTTGTCCAATTTGTCTTTCATTTTAAGGATGGCCTGTTTAAAGTTCTGTCTGTAAATCTTTCCTTCATTCCTGAATAAATCCAGGATCTGAATTTCCTTTTCTCTTTTCTGCTGTCTTTTCTTGGACCCATCTGCTTTAAGATCCTGAATTCTCAATTCCAAATTATCGCACGCTACTACGTCGAAAGTGCCTTCAGATGGCCACGGATTGCATAGTTTTCTCGTCCGTTTTGACCACTTCTCTGACATGTGCTTTATCTCTTTTGCTAAAGCAGGATTCTTTGCTCCCAAAATTCCTGCTGGCGTGACCGACATTTTGAATTTTCAGTGACACTTATTATTCCTCTGATTAGTAAACTAATTATTTATAATCTCCTGAAAATAAAACAAGAAGTGAAAGTTGAAACAGATACTGGTGACATATGATGCTGTGGTCTTGAGTAATCTGTTGTTGCTCTGTTTACACAAATGTTGAACAATTTATCTTCTTATTGTAAATGCCTTAAAATCAAATCTCTTCTGATGTAACACTAAAGTAAAGTTAGTTCAAAAAAGCTTTAGTTATTGTTGAAAGAAAAACTTAATGCCTGAAAGTTTTTATAGGTGAACCTTTTAAATCTGGATTCAATATGTATTTTTTTTTTCAGCAGCTGTGCTGCAGTGGCAGGCTAAAAATAGCCTTATGCTGAATCTCAAGCTTGTGTGTGAGCAAACCTCAGCCCACAGGGTGGGGTTTCTCTACGCCCTCTGGCTCACCAACCAATCCACACACAGAGGTGGAGTCAGAGGCAGGATCGCCTCTGTACTTCTGTGTCTGTGCGTGTGTATGGAGAGGACAGCTTGTAGGTGGAGCTTTGCGCTTCTGGACTGGCCCCTCTGTTCAGTCTAAACTTGGGTCTGACAGCTCAGGGTGTCTACGGAGAAACGAACACGCTGACGACACCCAAGAGCATTCAGCCTTCAGATTTTAGCAACTCTCATACAGCTTTATAACATTACAACACAGGAAAAAGTCAACCACAATAGAGACCGAATCAGCAGAAGAAAAATCATTTTCTCTCTAATTTATCCAAGCAATAGTTTAAACAAGATCAGAGTATTTGAACTTTCACGAGTAAAACAACCACACACAGCAAAGCTTTCACACTTGCATAGAGATAAGAAAAACACACTTCAAAGCAATTTGACACCAAAGCAACATTTTATGCCACACACTCAACACGCATAAACATTATTATTTATTTATTAATCATAATCTATATTTCTCATATTTCACATTACCCAGCTGGTAAAAATAGTTATCATGCTTGTGCACTTCAGCATATATTTTTATTTATATATATGTCACTCTAAAAACTTATTATTTTAACTTCTGGTTTTCTGTTTAAAGACTAATCAGACCAAGATCACAGACTTTGAAATTTGTATAACATTAAACATCAAAATTTAGCACTGCAGTGAATAATATTGATTTGTATTACTCCTTTGTTTTTCTTTTTTCCTCCTCTAATTCTCGGGCGCCTGACACACCCCGTTCATCTAACACACCCACTTCTCAACTCGCACACACGCTTATCTCCTCCACACACACACGCTTATCTCACACGCCTGTCCCACACACAAAACTTCTCTCACAAACACACACACACAAACAAACAAATTCTCCAGCATTCGAGCTCCAGAGTTGTTTACAGCCACTTTGCTGCAACTATGACATCAACACATGCCTTTGCCAAAAACTCATGAAATTTACCAGTCCCCGAGGAACAGACCGAATTACTGGCAAGCTTATCTGTCACAACTTCAGCGCTTTTTCTCAGATCCCAGTCTT